TTATTTGCAAAGCGAAAGCATTTTTTACCGAAAGTCATAGCCAATGGATGCAATGATTGATGCATATGTTTATGAGGGCAAGGTTGAGTCATGCAAATTAATTTAAGTTGTAAATTATTTTCATGACAAGCACGGCTTCACTGGGGGGGGGGAATAAAGGGCTGAAGTCCCTCACTTTGGTCAAGATAGAAATTTTTTTTATCATTTTTTCTATTACTTTTTAACAGTGCATGAACTAAAAAACATAATAAATCGTTAAGATACCGTTTCATCTAATTGCTAACTTTTTCACGTATATTTTTATTATTTTTCTTTTATTTGCATTAATTCAGTAAATCATTTTCTGTATCATTGCAATGTTTTAATTTTGGATGTGTAAACATGGCCTTCTTGATACAAGAAACTGCACATTTCTGTTCAGGAAAAAAAATTCTCCCAATCAAAACAACATCTTCCTTCTGTCATTCACAACTTAGTGCAATCTGAAACGAAAGGTTGCCGTTTCTTTCCTTCCCCAACGTCTAACACTAGAGTTTTAGCATGACATCCCCCTCCCTATTTTTCCCAATAAACAATAATATTTTCAATAAACAATCACTTCTTTTAGCACAATAGTAATTTGGTAAATTTTTGTCTGAAAGATGCTTTTTAGCCCTTTTACAACATATAATTTCAAAAAATTTCTTCACGTCGGACCCAACCATGGTGGGTCCTCCTACCTCACTAAACTCGACTCTTAGCTCCACTGGGCTAAATTTCGTTGCGCTGTCTACATCATGTACCTCCCCCCCCCCAATTAGCTGTTTATTAGCTTAATTTTGCAAACCAACGTTAAATGAAGTGAATTTAAAAAAAAAATTACGCTCACGTAGAGAAATAAAAATTTCATAGGCAATGATGTTTCAAGTTTGTTTTTATTGCTTAGAAGTTTGTCCATGGTAAAGACCAGTGTACACTGGTAAAGCTTTCACTAGTAACCTATAGACAAACCGTTGCTACGAGGTCTGCAGGGCACCACTCATTTTTGCAGGGCAGAAACCCTTTTCACCCCCCCAAAACTATTGGCCAAGTTACGCCCCTGGCTTCACTCCCCATATTGATCCCCATTGTTAAAAAACCTTTGAATGAGAATTTAAATTTTGAGATCCTCCGGGTTTAGATTTAGAACCCTCTTTGAATCCGATATATGAAAGAAAACTTAACAATGACGTCATCCTAACTCAAAAAGTTGAATAAAGTGCCCCCACAGATTTGGCGTATATTGTAGAAACAGGCACCGAGGAGAAGGGGGCTGGAGGGGCTACAGCCCCCACTTTTCGCCTAAAATGCAAAAAAATTAACAAATGAATCACCAGTCAAGCCACTTGTTATTCGGTTCTAAACTTCCCCCACTTTTTTAGACCCCCCACTTCTCTCAACGCTCCGCTGTGCCGGAGAACGAGTGAAAAACAGAATGCGCCATATTAACTAGACATCACGCGTGTAGCTTGAAAAACACACCTACGTTATAATGCATAGAATATTTGTACCTTTAGTATGACGTAACTGAAGGGCAATAGAAATACCACAGTGGGACTTTAGAAACCTTTATGCTAATTGAGACTAGTCATTATTATAAGATTACTGAAAAATCACACAAAAATCACATCCAAGAAAGAGGAAATAGCTGTTGAGTCAAAGTATTTGATCCTTTGGGTAGCTAGGTCATTGCATTCCAAATTATTTATGTCATATAGTTATTGGACTTGCTATATTAGCTCATTGGATAGGTAGAGGCCATTTTAGAAGTAATAGAATGCTTAGTCATCATCCGATTTCTTAATTTTACATGGGCTCCGACAAAGGTTGAAAAGTGAGGGGGCCAAGGGAAAATTTAACACCCATACCAAAAGATTTTGAAAAAACTCTATTGTTTTGCAAAAAAGTGGGGGGGGCCAAGGCCCCCGGCCCCCCCCCCCCCCCTTCATCGGAGGCCCTGAATTATTAGCAATATCAGTATCGTTAGGAAATCTGAACGCTCGAGGGCGTGAAACAACCAGGAAGAAAAAAATAGAAAACATAAAAGCTGGGACTGTATCCCTCTCTGCAATAAAACGTATTCGAAACAAAGATCTAGATCAATACATATCTAGACCAGTATTTTTATTTTAGCTTTGTTAAAAGCTATATCTTTAGGCTCAAAGCCTCGCCGGCTTTTGTAGAGAAGCTTCTTTGGAAAAGAATGAGGTAAATCAGGTTTCAGTATTCATGCCCACAGCATGCTTTGATAAGTTTCGTGAAATAGCAAATGATTTTAAGCTTTATTCATTGAATGCGCTAAAAACTTAGGTTTTAGCGTTTGTCTACAATACATTCAATCCTGTGATAATAATCTGCGCACGCTCAGTATGACGTCATTTGTTATTAAAACTTATCGAATCGAGACTACCCGAACGCCTATCAAAACGCCCCCATGTTTACGTTGAGCTCTGTTTACAATTTATTTACGTAAACGAAAGTAAGGGTTTTATTCTGAATCTGAATTTGATTGCAGTATTGCCCAGGTTTACTGTGACCTTGTTATTTGTTTGAGGGAAGACAAGCGTAGGTTATAAGTTATTATTTGTAGGTTTGCACAATACCTACACAAATTTTCAATCTAGAGATACCATAAACAACAAGAGGAAATGTTTTAGAGCATGTATTATGCAAAATACCTTTCTTATTTCACGTGTATTTTTGCTCAAGTATGATGCCAATGCATGGTGTTTTTGGACAGTCGAATGTCACATAAACATCGTTCTGAAAAGATCAAATCGAACTTAGATTATGCCTTGCTTCTGCTAAGTGCTAATATCGGGGGAAAATTCGTACTTTATTTCAGCTAAAAAAGAGGACTTCTAGGGGTTTTAGGATAAAACAATAGGGTTACAAAAGCTACATGAGATATCCAAGGAAAGATTTGCCCTGTGGTTGCAATGAGGAAGCATTTTTACGTTCCACAAGAAGAATAGAGTTATTGGGGGATGCACCATTGTACGCTTGTAAAATTATGACTTATAACCTACACTTGTCGTCCAGTTTTTACTCCAGCTCTTGTAAGTTTGATCCTTTTGCTTTATATTTAATTTTAATAGGACCGTTGTTCAATGGCGGCGCCAGCCACTAAGCTCTGGGGGGATAAACCAAAAAAATTTAAGCCACGCCCTTTTAACAACCAGAAAATGCCCTTTTACCAACCGAAAACGCCAATTTTATCCGATGGGAACGCCTATGACTAACTTTTGTTTGAAAATTGGCAGTTTGAAAATCATAGGATTACATCACAAAAAGTACGGTGGCAAAATATTACCCCTCCCCCAACATTTTCTAATAGAATTTAGACGAACTACAAAATCGATTCTCCTGAGAACTGGGGGGACGTGTCCCCCCCAGTCCCCCCGTCCGCGAGGTTTTCCTGTACATATTATCATTATGCGAGCAATAGTAATAACAGGGATTGTTTAATGAAAACAATTGATTTCTATTATTTTTTGGGGTGCAAGCGCACCACCCAACCCTCACCCCACCCCCTGTTGAAGCAATACTACTTACGGCCCTGTTATCTCTATGTATGTGAATTGCCTTTCTTTTCAAAAACTGCACCATGAATAGCATTTCTGTATTTCATGTCAAAAGCAAGTTTTCTTAACTATTTTTGGAACATAGTTTTGTGAAATTTTCTATAAATTGTTCAGAATTGGTGTCGAGGTATTGGAAGATGATATAGCTATTCAGTGATTAAATATTTTACTGGGTTTTCTCATCTGTCTTATATCTTGATACCCTGGGTACCAGACTCACTATATATAAAATACATTTTATATAGTGAGGCTGGTACCCAGGGTAATATCTTGAAAGCCCTCACTACACAAGTAATTTGTTGAGTTGAAAACCTTGTAGGACTAAGGAGACTTTCACAATAATTGTGACGTCGATGTTGCCAAAAAGTGTACAACTAACAATGAATACTAGGAGAAAGGGTAAAATTTTGTCGTTTTGAGGTTTTTTGCCAAATCAACCAATAAATTACTGCATCATCAAGGGTGCATCTGTTCCCACAAACCCACATTTGTTTCAGCAGTAGAGCAATGGTGAAATTGAGTGTGAAATAAGAGGTACAGTTTAACTGGACTAGGACCAGGAGCGTAGGGGGAGCAACCTTCAGCCCCAGCGGAGAACCTGTTTTAGGGGTCTGGAGCACAAGCTACCGCGGTGTTGCTTTTTTAGTTCAATTGAACATTGACACCTTTTGATAAGAACATATGGCAGACCCCATGCTGAACCCTCTAAGCAAATTCTACGTTCAGTAAGATTTTAAAAATACATCTCTCATCAGCATTTAAAGTTGCCCATATACACTCAGCGGCAGATTTAAGGGGGGGGGGGCGACTAGAGGCATTTGCCCTGAACATCTGGCACCCCTTTTTGAAAATGGTTTGGCATAATTATTTTGAAAATTTCCTTTAGAAGGGGAATAGAGAGCTTTCTGCCAGTAATTAGGGTCTGAAATTGTTGTATAAAGCGCCCCCACTACCAACTGCCCCTCCTTCAGATTTGTTCTGGACCCGCCCCTGCATGCACTGTTTTTTATAAGAACAAAGAAATTCAAAGGCATCGAGTCATGATAAAATGGATTGGGTATACCCAAAGTGCCAAAATCCGCTGAGTCACGATTTTCATGTCCATTGTTTTTCTTCTCATTCAGTACACCGTTATAAAGGAAACATACTACAGTTTGACACTTACTGGAGGGCTCCAGCCCCAAAAGCACCAAACATGGCTGAAAATCCTCGTTTATGAGACAAAACATTGTTCAAAATTGCATTTTATAGTAGCTCAGCCTCAGGTTGATCTTAATTCATTGGTCCTGAATTTTAACCAATTTTGAGGCTCGTGTTCTTATAAAAAAAGAGTGTACAATAATAACAAAATATTTTGGTGGGGTCTTGTTTCTGTTGTTGTTGTTGCTGTAAATCACGTGCCCATCGGTAGTGTTTTGGTTGCGATGAAAGAAACTTGAGACATTACTTTTTTCGTGAGAGCTGTTCTCCCAAATATGTTTATTTCTTTTGATCGAAGTAAAAAGAAGCTTGGCATTTGAAAAAATATGGCCTTTAAGTTATCAATAGAAGCGGCTGAATTTGTACCTGGACCAAAGAGGAACGCGCCGCCACAAACCGACGCTAATCATGGTGGTAGATCCGCTTTTAGCGTTAGGCCTAAACGCGAAACACCTTATCCAAGTATAGGGATGTCTCATTTTGAACACCCACAGACAAATATGAACCCGATGGGTCATTCATGGAACATGTCGGCACCAGAATTTGTACCAGCTTACATATGCCCAACTCTGATTAGAGGCTGCCTGCCACAGAACCAGACTTTTGGGAACCAAAGCAAACACCACATGTTGCAGGACAAACAACGACCTAGAGACTACATGTTTGAAAGTAAACGAAATGAAAAATTTGCCAACGGTACTGCTTCTAAAGGACCAAGAAAGAATGCTAAGGTAACTGCTGTATCACTGTTTTTGTGATCAAGCAACACCCGACGGTTGTCGTGTCTAATCATGAACCAACTTCTTTTTGTCTGTCTTTTCAATATCAATGAGAAGTTCATTGTGTGTGAACTTCTACACCAATTCCTAGAAAGAATAATTTCTTTTATTTATGGTTTGGGCTTGGTTCTAATGATTCAATAATCAACCATTTCATTGCAAGCTTGAAAGCAGAAGTCATCAAGTATTCATAAGACAATCCTAGCTTTTGTTGTATAATAGTCATCAAACACAGTGAACCATAATATTCTGCTATTGAGGCTTGAGTATTGTCGAGTTAGAAACATTTCTTTAGCCTTGTGTCACCCATTTACTTTAGACAGAAAAGAATATGAATGGGTCCTGGGTCCGTCTCAGATTACCTTCAATGTTTATTGTGGGGTTTTACAAGGTTTTGTCATGATCCTTTTTTTTGAATTTTTATCAATTATGTATGGTCCTCAACCTGAAAAACTTAACCATCAATGTATTTTCAGACAATTTTAACATGAAATATGGGGCTGAAAATTTTGCCACTTTAATTTGATTTTTTGGCCCCTGAAGTTGTCCCTGTAATTCCATGAGTCATGACTAGTCATTTACAAAACCATTTTCTCGAATGTTCTTTGAGTGGGCCGTTAAATTTTTTGTAACCTATTTTAAAGCCAGGTTATCAATCATCACTGTTCCACTCAGATATGATCCTGCCTGTCTATCCTGCATTATATCAAAAGTATAGTTATATTCAAACAATAATGTCGGAGTGGCTAGGTTCCCAGACTATCAATCCAAGGATCTGTGTTTCAAATTTCTGACATGACCTAACTTTCATTAGAACTAGGATAGTTGTCAGCTCTTTATGATAGCAGGTATAGGAATCATGAAATGTGGTCACATCAAGAGAAAGGTCCAGAAAACTGCTGGATGAGCACAACTACTTACTGTTTTTAAAGTGAATATAAGGAGCTAGTAACTAATATAAAAATGTATACAAACTAGAATCAACTGCTTTTTTATAAATAACTCCAAATTGAATGAGTTGTAGCCATTCATCATTGTTTCGTTGTTTCAGATACCATTAGAGAGGCTACATAATAGCTTTGTAAGCAAAAATGATTTGCAAGACATCTCTTGCTAGAACCTTTTTCTCTTTCTGTAAAACGTTTTTCTCTTTCTGTGAGTCTCACAGCTGTGGACAGGGAAGTCTCTTATTTTCATGAGATGATTTTAAATGAATTGCAAGTTTCGACAATTTCTTTAGCTAAAAATTTTTTTATTCAGATCTCAATATCTGATTGTCATGGTACCTTTTTGCTCTTTCCATGACAAAGTTTCTTGTCACATAAAGTATCATGCTGGATTGATAATCCTATTACTTTTCTTAAAAGCTATCAAACTTTTAATCCCTCTAAGAAAAGATAAAACCTGATGGAAACAGATTTCAAAGAAGTAAGTAACTGCAATACATAATGCCACAAGGAAGTATGTGCAGAGGCTAAACACCCAGTCATCACCTCTAGCAGCAACTTCAAGCTGTACATCCTCTTTCATGTGAATACCACAAAAACCCTTCATCTTGCATTAACAAAATCATAGTCCATTGCTCCAAATTGCCCCTTCTCTCAAACTTTTGCTCTAAATAGAAAATCTTGTTAATTATCAATATCATCATTGAATTTATCTTTGAATAATTTTATCAAATTTTTCTCTCGTAGAAACAACAAAAAGATGAGCCTGCTCAACCCTTAGGTATGATATTACTTGAAACACATGAACTTGGAATTTCCTTATTTTCACTTATTTTGTTATTTTGGCTGCAATGCCCCCCTCTGGTCTGAGAAGTCCTCCCTTGTGGCTGGTCCAGTTTCCATTGGGCTGGATGCTGTGACAGCTCCCCTGAATATCTGATAAAGTAGAGTGTTATTGTGTCTGATTTGTGTCTCCAGCTTAGGCTCAAATTTGAAAGTGTGATTGAGTGGCTCTGCTGGTAGAGCATGTACAGTGTCACTGGTCACAGGTTGGTGTCCTGCCCTAGTTATGTCACTGGATCACATTTATTGTCAACTTTGTATTTACTCTTTATAACAATTGATATTCTTACCCTTATTTGTGAACAAACATGCCCAGTTAAGAAAGCCACGGGCTATAAATTTAAATCCACAACCCTCTCTTTAGATGTAACTTTTTTTAGATTTTAGGGACTTTTTTTAAAAAAGTACCCTAGATAAAATTGCCAGAACACCAGTCTCAATAGAAATGTTGATTTTCCCTGAAATTTTCATCCCTCTACTGCTAATTAAATTTTTAACCTGCTTTATATGTCATGATTTAATGGACCCAGGCTTTCGTCCGAAAGGCGTGCGATCGCACGCGCACGCACTGGCGCACGCCTGCTGCTTTCCAGGAGTGCAAAACATCGCACGCCTTCTTTTATTATCGGAGCAAAATTCATAATTATTGGTTTTGTGCGTTTTTGAGATGAGTTAATATATTGATCCCTCCTTGGTACAATTACGTAATGCCACTTCAAAAAGGCTTGACACCTTTTCAGGATTGCGGATTAAATATAAAATTTTGAAATAATCATAGAACTAATCTACAGTGGAATCCTGATATTATGAAACCTGACCTGGTTACAAGTACAACTAATTTTCCGGCATGACAAAAAATGTCTGGCCCCTAGAACTCTGTCTCTGCACATTTTCCCTCTGTATAACGAATTCCGTATATAACGAATTCTCGTTATAACGAACCTGATTTAGTCTCTTCATCATAATTTTCCTCAATATGACGAACTTTTCCAAAAATTTTCACCGTTATTTTGGTCTACTTATTCCTGGTGTATATTTATCACTATTTCTCGGTGGAGTCATTATTGCCAGCGACAAAACATACATTGGCAAACATGCACTTTTAATGATGCAAAAAAGGAGAAGAGATTTGTGCAAACGTTTACACCTTTTCAAGGCTTTAAGGCATTTCATCGAACAAATACAAACACCGAAGACTATAACAGACATTTTTTTGTCCCTGAATTTTAAGAGGAACATTTAGTGTTTTCAACAAGACTTTCATTTTCTATCACTAATGTACGAAAGTAGCCGATTTTGCGATAAAAAGGAGCCGATTTGCCAATGATGCAGAAAAAAATAACAGAGGATTCGCAGATTTCGCTACTCCCTGCAGCCCCCTCTTTAGACATCGCTATGCTTTAAATCTAGATTTTAGCAACATTTGATTTAATGAAAATTGGGCCATCATTATCTTTTATGTATCTGGCCAGTGAGGTACACAAAATAGCTGTCATGTTTGATAACAAAGGGCTCTCGATGCACTGATTTACACGCAAAAACTGCCATTACAACCAGATGAACGCCAAAGCATCAATGATTCTACTAAGGATTCATTATTGAAGCTAATGAAAACTGCTTACGACATGGCAAACATATTTCTATACTTGTAGTGCCATTTTTTTTGGATATATTAAATAAGCTCAGTTTATACTTGTTTAGAAAATTGCTCAGTTGCTATAATGTAAGTAGTCGTGGTAAGAATTCAGCGAAATAAATTTCATCAAATTATTGCTGTCATCATTTTCGTGTTGGCCATTTCTTCATAGATCTACCATAATTACCAAAATGTTTTGTGAAAAAATGTCACACGCCATCACACGCCTGGATGTTTTCAGGGGTGCGGTGGTTAGCACGCCTGCTATATTTTTCCCACGAAAGCCTGGTCGGACCCTTCTCTAAGTTTTTGCTAAATTATTTTGTTTCTTCAAGTCGACTCTTGAGAGAAGTTTCTTCAACTTCTTGTGACAAACGATTTCCTGGTGTTTCAATGAATGAGACTCAGTAATTTTTGCTTTTTTCAGAGTCAAGAAACTGGAGGGTAGTCTCAAGCAATAATCCAAATAACACAAGATCAAAAGCTCATGGAACAAATTATGGTACAGTTGATAAGAAAAATGTCTCTTTTTCTAATGCTGCACTGAAATCTGAAAATACAAAGGCTGTACAAGCGACCTCGTCCAGTCTTGATTATTCTGAAAATTTCAGTAACATGCATGCAAAGAGACGTGAAATTGGAGAAGGTACTAGTATGAGAGCAGAACATAGCCAATCGTCGCCGCAAATATCAAGCATTAAGTCAGTAAACAAGGCAGAAGAAAGTGAAAGAGTTGGTATGAGCTGGAGCAAAATTGTACAAAGTAAACCAACCAGCAAACAAATTGATACGAAACCTTCTATGGATAATAAAGACAGGATTGCAGTTGCTACAAAAACTGATGCCAGGAGACAAGACGGACTTATTCAAGGAAAGAATGGAGTTAGATTTAAGGATCGAGGTGACCATTGGTCTAACAAGGTCGCTAGTAATGTTCATTCCGATATTAGAGGAAATTATGCGAAAGAAAATCATCATTACCGCCCTTCTGAGTGGCGAGGTCAGAGGCGAGATATAAAGAATGAGGGAGCGAGAAATCAAATCAGAAATTCATGGGGTGATGATTTAGAATGGAGAAGGGATTCTGCTGAATCAAAAAGGGAGGTTACAAAAAACAGACCAACGTCGTATTACGATAGGGGTAAAGCTACAGATAGAAATTGGAAAGAGAAAAAGCTACTCTGGAAAAAAACGGGGATGGTGACAGAGAATTATCAATACAAATTTGTAACAAGAAAGTTCAGTGAAGAAGTAAAGGAAAAACTACTCGGGAACACTCAAGAGTTTTTTGAACATGAATACAATGACAGTCCTAAAAGTCATGCTAACAGAACCAGAGGTTGGTATAGCATGGATTGGGGCTTGGAGTCACAATGCAAGCGAGCAGTAGATAACAAATTCCACCATGATGAAATTTTAGATGATGATAAAGTTGCCAGCACGTGGGAAGCTTGTGACGTGTCAAAATCTGCTCAAAGTTTAACAAACAGGCCCATTATTACCCCAGATAAAACATGCATTCGTTGTGGGCAGACTAAACCGGTACCCTACAATATGGCTGCAAGACAGACCACGAAGAACATTGAAGATGAGAAATATTGTAGTATTTGTCTCAAGAAAAATTCAAACTATTTGTCAGGAAATTTTAAAATTACTGGTGCTGAAGGAAGATCTTTTTCTAATATTGCTAATGATGATAGGAGGCGTGTTCAAATTATGAATGATAAAAGTCAGCCAGCAGCTATTTCTGTAAGAAGTAATTTACGTACTGGGGAGAATGGAGAAAACCAGGAGACGAAGGTGAGGCTTGATGAAAAAGAGATTCTGACTGATGAACTTAAAGATCTCGATGCTTGTAAGGAGATGCATAAAAGTGATACTTTTGCTAATAGTCGTCACGAATATCTTCAGGATCTTGAAGAAGATGACTCTGATGATGGCTGGGTTACGGTCGAAGTGAAACCTAAAAGAAAAGCTACAAGAGAACAAATTGTACATGATAACAAACACAAGTCAAGCCCCGTTAAACAAAGGCCGTCTGATAAGGTTGACAGTAGTTCCATGATAAAAACAACAACAGGGTCTGAATCTGTGGGCAAAGGTGCTAAGAAAAAAACTGGTGTTAAAAGTTCTGCTGAAGACAACAAACAGACCCAAGAAAAGGCAAAAAGTAATGCGAAAACCAAGAACAGGAAAAAAAGCTCAAAACGGAAAGTAAATACGCTATATGAAAATGATCAAAAGAAAATCAAAGAATTTAAAATGAGACAAATGATAGAAGAAAATTTAAAGCTTGATCTATTAGAAATGACGAGAACAAGGCGACCTAACGATGCTCCAGCAACAACCGAAGTAGAGGTTGGGAAGAAAGAGGAATGGCCTGCAATCGGAAATCCAAATATCTCATCTGTAAATATTCTTTCATTTTCTGAAGCATTGAAGAAAAAAGCCCAACCTAAGGTATGTATTTTGTGCTTACTTACCATCACAACTACAATATCTATATATATTCTAGATATGCTTTAAAAAGTTTAAGAAATTTGCACGTTATTTGACAATACCATTGTAACAAATTATATTGACATGCTTCAGCTTATACCTATGGACAAAAATGTTGAGACAAATTGCAATTTTTGTAATTTTCTACTTTCCCTTACCCCAGTAAATTCAAATACCCTTTTTCCCCCGAAGCAATGTTGGATTTATAGTTCTATCATTTTTTGCTTCATTCAAAATCATGCATTCGACTTAGAAATTTGCCGAGCGTGATACAGCATAGAGTGAGTTACTCACGAAACAGGCTTGTAGAGATAAAACGTGTAGTTTTATTTACTTCAACTCTATGCTATTAATTTATTCTTGTATATTCGATATTCTGTTAGCAAAGTACTCTAAAGCAATGATTCTCATGTTACAGAGTAGTTATCACTTCTCATTGATATTCAAGGTCAAGCTCAGGTTCTAAATGACGAATATTTCTTTGTTATGCTATCAATTTTTGCAGCCGGCTCCTCAAGTCGTGCAACCAAGGAAAGCAGGGATGCTCGTTGTCGACCCTTCGAAACTAACTCCGGAACAGAAAATGGAGTTGAAAAGGAAGAAGATGAAAGAAAAACGAAAAGTGAAGAAGAAGGAACGCAAAGAAAGGAAACGAACAGAGAAGGAAGAAAATACCGAAATTGATACGGAAAAGACTGTTTTTGAAAATAAATCATCATTTAAACTGGACCTTGGCGATATGTTTGATATGCTGCTGAAAGTAAGGAGCAACAAATTTTGTGTTTTGTTTTTAATACAAAAACTGATTTGATCTTTGTATTCTAGCATCTGCAATGAAAAAGAATTGACAGTTCTGACCTGAAGACGTACCTGAAAGCTGTTGGTACTACCTGTTTCTTCATCCCTGGTTATCCCTTGCCATAGCCTGGCCCTGAATTGGTGCCAATATTTAGGGCTGGAAAACGGAAAGGAGTTCCATGTCAACAAATGGATTTTCAAGTTTGCTATCTGCCTGCGTTTAGGCTCTGGGGTTATGAAGAACTCGAGTTGCAATATTTCATTTGTAATAAAAGAACTCATGGTCAGCCGCCAGGGTACCTGTACCTGAAGGCCTGTATTGTATGCGGTTGATTCATCCTTCGTAGTTTGAATCTGGCAGTTTAACTATACTTAAGGCAACATACAAGCTATCTCGCTGAACTTAGAATCTTTACTTTTCAAGTTATTTGTCTTATCAAGAAACTTTAGTGTTTACGCAACGGAAATCAAAAAGAAGTACAATTCCAAAGTAGAAATTGAAGCATGCAAGGAGCTGTTGCGATCAATTCTTAATTACAGATTTATTCTGTCATTAATTTTGGCTTTGCTTTCTTAAACTCTTTCTTCGTTATATATAATTGTTTTATGAGAAGGCTATGATGTCTTCTAATACTTTCCTGTTATTTCTATCATACCAGATGGAATCAGAAAACTACCATGCATAATATGCTATGATATTGATAAATAGAAAATAGAAACCAAAGGCGGAAAATGTTAACTTTTAAATTTTGTGTATTTAGAGAATCGAAATGCATTATGGTACGTTTTCTTACTTTCTCCCGTTAGTCATCGGCTGAGAAAAGCCAATCATCAAATGCACAAACAAAATCATCGAGGCACGTGGTTTTTTCTGCTGGAGTCGTGTCCGTAGCAAGTGGCCTAGCCAAGAAAAATAAACCTGACGGAAGCAAACATGAGTCAACGAGAGGAAGGGTAAAACAGAGCTTTCAATTTCTCAAATTACTGGAATACAGCTTAGCAGAATTAGATTAAAGGGTTCTTAACAGATATTTGAATGCCAATTTTTCCCATAAGACTACCGAAGAGCCACAATCATAACAATTGGTTCTGTTTTTCTTCCTTTTAGTTACTAATAATATTAGATACAATTATCCTTTTTTAAGAATATTTTTTGTTCCGGTTGATGTCTGTAGAAAAATGTTTTGGTTCTTAAAGCACCATCGTTCATTTTAACTTTCTCTTCTCAGTTGTCTGGCAATGCTTTAGACTTCAACCAGCATATGAAGATGAGTGGGAAAGAAAGAGAAACGCCGAAACGAAAAAGGCCAACATTATTAAAGAGGGTACTTTAAAACTTATTTTCCTATTCGGTAGTAGAAGACATGAGATAGATGAAAAATTTATAGTCTGCCATCCTTGGGTCTATCATTACTTAAATCGTTATTGTGCGTACTATTAATGTTGTGTGCATAGAGAAATGGCCTTTTGTTTTTGTTCTCATTTGAGAGTTGCGTGTTGTGCCTGGACGCAGGGTTTTGTTTTGTGTTTTTCTCGTTGTCTTTGTCGACATTGTTTAGTATTTGCTGTGCGCTCCTAAGGGATTATCGTAGATTGTTGTTTACGAGCGTTGATGTTTTTGGAGGGCTGCGTGTAGAGAGATTTTTTGCGTTTTTTGCGTTTTCACTTACGTTTCCTTGCGTTTAAAATCGTTTACGATTCAACTACAATTAATACATTTGTTACTCTCTTTTCATTCAATGAATCGTTAATTTATATTTTGTTTGCAAGGGTATTTGGTGAATTTATCCAATGTTTCAAGTTGTTACAAGATTCTGTTTCATCTGGAAAACTTATATCAATTTTATCTTGTTTTTTAAGGTCATTCTTGCTGCGAGAGAAGCAAAGAGGAAAGCAAGGGAGGCTAAAATGAACGAAGATGTTGCAGCAAGTGGCAATAAAGATCCCGTTCCATCAACATCATCTCAAACTGAAGAAGCAACTCAAGGCGATTCAGAATTGCCATCTAAAGAAGTATTAAAAACAGAAGGTGGTGCTGAAGAGAGTTATAGGTTTGTGCAAGCCTCTGTTTTTGACTGTTCAAATGTTTGAACATAGCAAAAAGTGTGTAACTTAGATCACCAACCCATGTTTAGAGTACAACCAGTTCCTGTTTTAATCACGTGGGATAACAACAACTGTCCCTTAAAATGCCTTGAAGTTATTTGTCGTAGTTTCTGGATTATTGAAAAAGTTTTGCCAAATTTATGAAACGTTAAATTTTTTTTAACCATGTATCCTATAAGACTGACATTTCATTTGAATGTTTCTAGCATAAAACAAGAGGAAGAGCTGGAAGCGGAAGCAGTTCAAGGTGTGTAAGGCCGTTTCTTCATTTCTAAGCCGATGTATGAGTGTTTTCATTTTCGCCTAGGCATAGAAAACCTAATCAATAAAGAACTTTATTTACGCTCTAAAATTTGAATGATTTTCCTTGTTGTTTCATCCAACTGCACTTCTGGTAGAACTTTTCGCATGCGTGTAAGCATCAAAATGCTTTGGTTTTTCTAGAAACAAAAGACATGGCAATCGCTGCTCCACTAACAGATCTTCCAGAGGAAATTATCGCCAGACTCCATACTAGGAAATTTAGAGAGTGAGTAATTATGATTTACATAGAATTTAGGCCAAATGGCTGATTTCTCTTGGCTGAATTTAGGCCAAATGGCTGATTTCTCTTGGCTGAATTTAGGCCAAATGGCTGATTTCTCTTGGCTGAATTTAGGCCAAATGGCTGATTTCTCTTGGCTGAATTTAGGCCAAATGGCTGATTTCTCTTGGCTGAATTTAGGCCAAATGGCTGATTTCTCTTGGCTGAATTTAGGCCAAATGGCTGATTTCTCTTGGCTGAATTTAGGCCAAATGGCTGATCATCTTGATAAGCTATCCAGCCATTCGTTATTCTAGTACCGGTATTCAGAAATTCGAATAAAGCAAGGTGTTTATAATTATTTCAGTTTGTTCTTTTTGCCATTTAGGAATGATAAGATGAAATAAAAGAAAGAGCATGCGAACAAAGTCTTATTTGCACTTGACAAGTTTGGAATTAAGATTGAAAATTTCACAAACCATTATGTTTGTTGCTGTATCTGTTGATCTTAATGAAACTTTGATGAACAAAGTATTGTATTTAGAATTACTTACATTTGACAGGCAAAGTAAAAAATGGCATTTCAAAGCAAACAAGTTTTTGCGAGGGAGCTTCTACACATGATGGACCCCATAACCTTTTATTGATCATTCCCAACCCTTTCAACAGTTGATCCGAACAACCATTTGGACTGCTTTAAATAATTTTTTGAAGAAGCTAAGCTCGCGGTTAGCAGTCAGTTTTTTAATTTTTTTTAGTATTGAAAGTTTCTGAATAGTGTCTTAATTGCCAAGGGTCAAATTGGCACATGAAAAGGTAAATAGCACACAAGAACATGAGATTAACATATCGATGTAAATTAAACAAGAAATAGATGCTGGATCATTGAAATTATTCATTTCCACCAAAGGTTTATGTGCAGTTTCCTAAGGTGTGCAGTTTCCTAAGGTGTGCAGTTTCCTAAGGTGTGCAGTTTCCTAAGGTGTGCAGTTTCCTAAGGTGTGCAGTTTCCTAAGGTGTGCAGTTTCCTAAAGTGATTAATACTATGGTTTCTTGACTGTTAAGTCCGCTTAGGCCTCCGATTCTTTTAGACGGTTGCTTATAAAAGAAATAAGTGTAACTGCCAACTTAATTTGATTGCGTTTTTCATTTCCTAGGTACTGTGACCAGCTGTTGAGCAAAGACATTGATCAGATTGTTTACAAAATGCTCAAAGATTTGCGACGATTTCAGACAAGAGCTTACATAGAAAATCCTATCAAGGTATTGCCGCATATAGCACTTATTGATTGACATGATGAATTCAAGGAGATACCTAAGGGAATGTGTAAATGTTTATGTGGAAATATATTTTTCAACAATTATGCTAACTGTAACAGAGTTTGAAACTGCCTTTCGTTTTCCCATGCCGATCTTCTATCGTTTGTTTAACATTTTGTCAACAGAACAGAAACTCACACCGATTTCAATAAGAGATTGATTCGTTAGTATAATTCATAAACGAATATTTTTAATTTTGGTTTAAGGATAGAAACAAGATTTTTATTGGATGCCTTTTAAACTGACGTATCTGCTTACGGACTTTGCCAGTTAAATCATATTCAATAATTTCTAAGAGGTGCTAGTCAGTTTTTTTTCGCCCACTAGTCACTTTTTAAGGCTCACGCCCTCTCCCCTAAACAAAGAGGGGGTGCTGAAGCTTTTAATTTTCATTTCATTTCTTTAGCTTCTACGTCGATCTAAAACGTTTATGAATAATTCAACTTTTTAGCTAAGCAGTGGAAGCTTCTGCAATTCACCTGCATGGGCCTAAGTTGCCTGTCTAGATATCACTTGAAAATAGGCCACATTTTAAAGTTTTTAATGAACTGATTCCTCAGCAAAATACAGTTTGTGAATATCTAAGAAATTAAAAATAATCAAAAATAATAAAGTCTTTACGAAATATTGGTAACAGAGTTACTTTGCCTCTATTAATTTAGAGATCGAACTCTACGGAGGGTTACTAGAAAGGTTTTCCCTAGGTCCGTGACGGTTGAGATCCAGACGGTTGAGGTCCATGACGGTTGAGACCTGTTAGATTTTGACCTAACAGTAACTAGACACATTATGCGGTTGCTTAGGATATGATGTGTGCTCTAATACTTTGAAGGTTCAGCAGTCTTTTGTTCATGAACTGTGAATAAGTCTAGCATCATTTTTCAGGCAAAAACCAAAAAGCGTCTGGTACTTGGCATCCGAGAAGTGGCACGGCACTTAAAAATGAGCCGTCTAAAATGCGTTATAATTGCTCCAAATCTTGAGAAAATTACAAACGAAGGTGAGTGCTTGCGTGCTTTCGTTTGTTTCTATCAATCTTCTTTCTGTCAGTTTAGTACAGAGAGAGGCTGTTATCCATTGGTTGGTCCTACATCAAAACTTTTTGTCAATAATGACATGTGTTTTGGTACCCTCGAAATCGTTTTTATACAATGACTAGACTGCTTGATAATACCAAGACAACTTGTACAAACTTATAACTGTTTCAACTTATAATTGAGCGAAAGTTTTGAAAAGAGCAATTTTTAACAGTGCCTCCAGAATTTATCTGGGTGCAAAGTAAAACAATATGTTAGAAATAATCTTTTTGAATGAAACAGAATTTTAAAATGGCTTTGAAAAAAGCAAATATTATAAAACATACGTTCGTCTGACACTCTTCGGTGTATAAGACGCCTTTATCATGTCCAGGAGCCTTGTGACGTATGTTACTATCAGCGTCGGGTAAACAATAGCTTGTATTCGAATTGTCCCTTCTTCTTATCATTTCTCGATTGGTTCGTTCATTTTTCTTTTGATTTCAGGAGGCATTGATAGCTATCTTGGTAAAATCATATTCGACTGTAAGCAGTTTTCCATACCTGTGGTTTATTCAATGACCAGACAAATACTTGGGATGATTTTAAAGAGAAACGTACCAGTCAGTGCGATTGGCATCTTGAACTACGCCGGTGTAGAGGTCAGTTATAATTATATAGGCCTTTCGAGAACTTGATAGAAATTCTCATCAAGGGTTCATGACACATAGTGTAACTCAAAAATCTTAAAGTATATCCTAATTTTTTGGTTTTGCTTCATCTTCTCCTAATGTGCCAATTGAATTGGGTATTACCCTTACACGTACCTGTCCCCCTTTTTGGGTGCCACCACTCGCAGGCTGTCCGTTCGCTAAAGAAAGGCGCTTGACAACCACTTTGGCTACCACCACTACACCGTTGCTTCACAATGATGCCGCTATGGAAAGCATGAGGGGTGTGACACCCACTTGGGAAAAAGTTCCGTTGCAATATGAGCTTTTGTGCCATCTATGAGTGCTTAACTTGTGCCATCTATGAGTGCTTAACTTGTGCCATCTATGAGTGCTTAACTTGTGCCATCTATGAGTGCTTAACTTGTGCCATCTATGAGTGCTTAACTTGTGCCATCTATGAGTGCTTAACTTGTGCCATCTATGAGTGCTTAACTTGTGCCATTGAGCCTGTGCCATCTAGTTTTCAAACTTGTTGGCAAAAAAGGCTCACCCACTTTGTCGGCAAATGGGGCCTAGCAACCTCCATTAAGGACATTAGCTAATGTCGGCCCTGATTGGATGACAAGTTACCTCAAAACCACCTGCTGCTATGCTTCAAGATTGCTTGTGATGCTTACAGGTCGTTTTATTATTTCGCCATTATTTTTCCGTATTTTATGTTTTAACTGCTCAACAAGTATTTATGGTTGTTTCATCAGCTATCAATGACTGTTTTTAAATGTTATGAAACATTTTAATTAATGCTTTACCTTGATACCATCATATTGTTTTGACTGCTTCTCGGATTGTTTCTTCATCATTTTTTCTGAATTTCTCATGAGTGTTTCGTCATTTCTTTGTCAATAATCTTATCAGTATAATAGAAGCCTGTATGTAATCATTTCTTTAATTAAGTGTCGCTGTAGGGTTCTTTTGACATTGCTTCAAAGTAATTTTTTGGAAATTTTGATTAAATGTTATTTGACTATTTTCCATTAGTTAGTTGCGAATGTTTCATCAGAGTTTCCTGGCTGATTTAATAGCAGTGAACGATATTCGTTGTTTCAGGACGACTTTAAACAGCTATGTGCATTAGTGAAAGAACAAAGAGAAAAATACGAAAGAAGAGTAGAAGAATTGAAAATAGAAATGAGTCAGCCTCGATCCGAAACTCCTGGAAAAACTTCAAAACGAAGCCCAAAACAACGAACCTACCCCAGCGTTCCAGGGCAACAGGTGTATGCATGGAACCCCGAGGTGATACCATTCGTGCCGCAAGGTGTTATGTATAATTATTATACATCTAACATGATCGAAACGAAGTTCACATTTAATAATACGTGAATATCACGTGTACATGCGTTGAAGTATTGTAAATTTGTTTTAGTGGAGTCTATTGATAGCGTTTCAAAAAGTTGTTGACCTTCTACCAAACCTGAAGTTTATCACCTTAACCTACCTCATTTCAACACAACGCGAAATTACTGAAATAAACAGCTGGACAGTTTTCTGTACCAGATATAACATATAGATAGGGATCTTTCCAGGGGTGTGGTAGAGGGTGTGGTAACTCCCTTCACGGATGTTAAGTTAGGTAAATTTCTTACTTGTGAACTAATCTTTAAACATGGCAGTGGATTTTCCTTGATTGAGCAATTTCAACTCGGCTTTTTAAGAGAGGAATAATGAGGTTACTCCAAAGTTTTTAGCTCTTTAATCCCAGCAATTAGCCTAATATAGACCAAACCTAGCAAAATTGCAAACTAATGAACACTTGCAAAATTGAAATCTTGAATTCAGTCCAGAAGATTTTTCGTCAGGTTGCTGAATTTTCGTCAAAGCTAATACTCGTACATTAAGAATAAGGTAACATAATGCCAAGAAGGTATTTTAGGTATTTTAGGAAAATTCAACCTGATTATCTTATGGAGATTTGATTGAAGTATTTCATCATATTTTTTGTGACTTTCGAAAGCTGTGGCTTTCTAAAAAGGTATATATTTTAATTTCATATTCTCTGGTAGTATAGACCTAAAAAAGGTATCTTGACAGTTGGCCTGCAATAAGTTTTCTTGCCTTAATACTTAAACGGTAAAACTACACTGGACAAAACTATCCTAAACAAACCGGTTCCCCTTCGAGACAAATCGATGCTTCGTTTGAAAATTCTACTGGTATCATTGATTACAAAACAAGACAAAACAGTCAAAATCTTAAATAAGCATCTAAATAAGCATAATAATAAAACTTTTATTGCCCTCGTCATTCTATATTATTGCCGTTCTTGTTGTTTGATTTCAGCATAATCTTGTATCTATTTCCTATTGAAAAGTTTTAATGATTCCATAAACACAACAGAGGCAGGTTGTTACAAATTCAAATATATAAGGTTTGGTAATAATTGTTGCATCTAGAGGTTGCCTATACCTCATTCCTCCAAGTTTTTTTCCTTTTTTTTGTATATATTTATATATATCCACTGTAAGATTACAATACAGATTTACAAACTACGCTACTTTACAAAATAACTATACCACTATATAACTAGCGAGAAGATATCTTTGTGGTACTGCAAGGTAAAGGCGGAGCAGCATAAAGTCTTCTGTATCAACGATACCATCGTTTGTAAGGCACATTGGGTTTATGGTATCCCGAAAGGTGTGCTTGAATTTGTGAAAATTGAATTTGTTGAGACCAACTCTGAAATGAGTGAGATATCATAGACCTTTTGAATCTTTGAATCTACAAGGGACCTGATTATTGATAAGAGCTTCTTCTTAAAAGCAGTGACGGACAGTGCAAGTCTAGTCTCAGGGTCAAGTTCATTTCATTCAAATAAGCAGTCAGGATAGTTTCTTTCCTTACAACAGATTATGTGTTTTCTACATCGAGCAGGATATGTGCTCTGTTTTTTCTACAATTGTTATAAAAATATTTAAAGAACCAATCTTCTGACACACATTTATGCTTCCTCAGAGAATTTCTTTTTTTTGTTATATTGGCCGATCAAACCTGATTTTTCAAATTTGATTATATTTTTAATTTAGCCTTACCATCTGCATTCATTTAGCCCGATTTCTAATGGTTACAGGTAATTATGCTTTTAGAACGGGTGAAGTATTGTGCTTTCAAATCTATGGCTTCCATTTTTTATGCCGTTCTTATATCTTACTAATTTCTAATACTAATTTTACTAATTACTAATTTCATCTTACTTGTTGGTAATCCAGTAAGAATGTCAAATTTAACAGAGATCAAGCACTTTTCTGTTTAAAGACAGGTGTAAATGGAACCAGGGGATTTTAAGCGCTATCCGATTTTTTCATGTAAACAATTTTTTGTAGGTAAAGGTAATGTTTCGATATTATCATTCCACGTTATATGCTACAGGACCAATGAGTGTGCTATTTTCTTCCGTGAATTTGACAATCGCCTCTCACGTTTATTTTATCTAAAAACCGAGTCAGTTCTCCTGGTATAAATGAATGTTGATTAGACATCTTTGTGATATATATATAGGAAAGAGTCTTTGAAATAAATGAGAAGCTACCAAAAGAAAAGTGAAATTTTGTAGTATTTCCTTTTGTGTGTTGTTTTTCCAAATACGCTTTTTTGTGTCTTTCGATAAGCTGAAACAGATGATCTCTCCATCTTTCGACCGACTCTTCATATAAGCTTCATCTTTAAGCTACATACGTGGCACAAGATTCTGTGTACGTGGCACAAGATTCTGTGTACGTGGCTCACCCTCTCGATTTGGACGGTTGATGACCGCTATATGGTTGACTGTTGCGTTTTTTCTCCTGAAAGATATGACGTATGCCCTAAATCGTTTATCTGTGACGTAGGACACGAATGGTAGGGTCAGGAAGCTAACATAACAGGATATCTCGAAAAATACCCTGAGTATCTCTGCCAAAAGCCGATCCATTTTGTTCCTTCGGGCGACTACCACTCCATACGGTATCCAAATTATGCCATAGATAACATTAAGTGCATAGATAATAGTCAGTCGCCTCTTTTCGAATCTGCAGGCTGAAACACCTAGCCTCCTTTTAGAGTCTTTCATAATGTTGTTGATGTACATCAACGTTGAAGCTGTTGTCATTGCCAATGTCAAATTACTTGCTGTAAACCAAATGCTAATTATTGCCACTGATACTTTGCTAGAGGACCTGTACGCTGGAGAGATTCTCTCGACAAAGCTACAAGATACGATTGTAGAAGTTTGCGTCACATCGCAAATATCATCTATTACGATTATGAGCCAAGTTGCAGTAACATACGCCGTACATACCGCTGCAACTTTCTTCGCGGTGTGATTGGTGATCTTTCTTGTTTTCAATGTTATCGTAAGATACCTCTCTGTCGAAAGGCAAGTCAACTGATGCAGCATGACAGCAACGCAGAGAAACAAAAATCGGCTTTGCAAGTATCTTGAAGCATTTGCAAGACGTGCTGGTTGATACCTTAACGATGCAGCAACGATAGATATCGGTATGCCTGCCGAAAATAGGGAAATGAGCTACTCACAAACATTAGAGAGAGTCATAGTCTGATTTTATCCACCATCGTGATCATATCTAAACATAAAACTGCCAATAACGAAACGTTGCTAGGTATGGAATACATCAAATTGATAGACATATCAAATAGACAAGTTGATTGCAGTCAAGATTCTAGGTTCGTGCATATTTATACAACATTAATAGTTTTTAATATACAGCTTCGAACTCATAATAGGATATCATTGCAGGAATTTTCGTTCTACAATCATTCGAAATTTAAACTTAGACACCAAAGATATGACACCAAAAAAATAATACTAGAATGGTAAAATCAAGTGCTTTTTTAATTTTTGACGGACACATGAATGAAAATTTTCATACCAATGACAGAAGCAAGCATCGATACCAATGTAGCGTAGAGTATAAATGTGTGACTTGGTGTTCTCTCCAACTCCGAACTTTTGAGAAGGAATTTCAGCAACAAGCTGCATCCTGTACAATTTACAATCAGGAGCAATACGCTAACGACCAACACAGATACCGAAACCCATGTTGGTATTAACAGTATGCCATCGGATGAAGTAGAGGAGGGTATGCTCGTGTTCATAGTGTTCTGACTTCCTATTTCCCTGCCGCATGTTTTACGATTCGTTCTTGTATAATTGACAAACATTGCGGATTTGATAACAAGAAGTCACAAAATTAAAGAGCAGGTGCTAACTTTGGAATCGAATAGATAACGATTCATATGTCACGTGACGGATATAGTGCCAGGGCTTCAACAGTAAACGCCGCATAGTCAAATATATTTCAATTTCCATTGGGTGGGTCCATGGATGGAAAATAACAGGGTAGGGTTCGGGATTCTTTTCAGCGATGGGTTGGAACCGCAATGATAATCTTGATCGGATAATTTCGCTTCATGTTAACTGACTATGAATAGTATGAAAAATTGTCTTTTTTGGATTAAAGAAGGAACACAATTTTCGAAAGTTACCTTGAAAGCACACAGCACCGGTGATAAATATTTGTTTGTTTTCAAATTATTTCCAGTGTTTTAGATCTTTATTTACAAGGTTCTTATAGTAAGTTTGCTTTGGTTATTTCTTTTTTGAAAAATCAAGGTTTTAGGCCTCTCCAGCCAAATTTTGCACTTGCATTTTATTGGCTAATCTAAAGGAGTTGAACCTGCTGATCACGAATTCGTTATTTGTTTATCGATATCTTTTACAGTTTGTGAGATATAAGCTCTTGCATTTTGATAATTGAATTGAAATAACCGACAAAAATTTTTCGGTTTGGTGACACTTTGACGCAATTTTGACGTCACAGTGTATTTCGTTAGTCTCGCCTCAAACCAGATCGAACGACGGCGATTGGCAAATTGAACACTGCAAGTTATGGTACTCTCAGTTCTGTTCCACCGGCTTTTAGTTTGAGCATTTCAGATATCAATTCTGAAGCCTTTAGTTGTTCATCGTTTCTGGAGAACACCTGAAGTGTCAATTTCGATTAATTATACGCGAGGGAAGAGCTGGAACAGGAAGCCTTAGCTTTGTGGGCCTACACAAGTGCTCAAATCAAAGTCATGACACAGCATGGACATATTCCGACCCGCAAACTTAGAATGATTGTAAACATTCAATATGTTTTGATCCTAAAAAACTCCTGCTGTAGATTTAGATGCAGTTATCAACGCGTGACCATGACTCCTTCGCAATTCGGTGGAAGATATACGAAATTCATGGCGAACGAGAGCCGCACACTGTGACGTCAGAATGTCACAAAACTGATTCGGCTTTTGTCGTTTTTTTTCTCGGAAAGGTGCAACTTTAAAGCCTTATAACTTCTAAACTAATTGGAATTTTGCAAAAACAACTACTTTGCCATAATACACGCACCAGATCCTAACTTTTTAGTTAATAAAGAAAAAATTTTTTTGTAGAGGCCCTTTAAGTTTCCCTTTGAATCTTCCCATATTAATAAACTATTTTAATTAAAGCCATTATAAAAATTTTTCACGTCAACAAGATTCTTCCTGCAATCTGAAAATGAAACTTATATTTAATTCCGCTTTGAATTTATGGTGTCAAATTTCTTTTGTCCAACTTTCAATAGGCATTTTAATGTCAGTAAGCCAAAGTTATTTCAATTCCCATATGCAGAGAGGTATGTTTACGGCAACGTGAATGTGCTTTAAATACCTTGATAAAAGCATAGTCAATAGAATTTTTCTATTGACTATGATAAAAGTAAGCGAAGCTAGTGTAAAACCGTTGCTCTCTAGTTCCCTCTAGTTCTTTCGTTTTTTGTACAGAGCAGACACAAGTTACAATTTAATGAAAGAATTTGTTTTCGTCGTCTCGTAGCAGTTCAAGGGGAAAGTTGCATTTTCTTCAGCCTTCAAAGTAAGTAAATACGAGTTTATCTATTAGGATCATAAATTTATTGAAATACCGTCGAACAAGATATTCCGAAGTGCTTTGGCCTGTTAACGACTCTGATATTTCAATGTTTTTGGCTAGCATCTTCACCAGATTGTGATTGACTACAGATTTGCAGTTCATTTGTATCTTTATGCTTGTAAAGATTAGGTAGGCCAATTGTACTATCATCCTTCTAATGGTCGTATGATTAAATTGTTGCTGAAGGTAATTGTTTTTATTGTTGTTGCTGAAGGTAATTGACTGATTTCAATTAGAACTCGTTACATCTAGATCTGTTTCTTTTGTGCTGTTTATTACATCTTTGGTCAGCTATATCTTCGACCCAATTCTCCATAAGAATTAAAAGGGGCGGTAGCGGGACCCGCAGATTGGTGATATTTTTGTAGACAGATACGGATTTCCGATTAGCTTCGTACGGATTTGCTAATCCAGTTATTCTTACAGATGTAAGATGTCAACGATTAGGTAGGCCGGATTCAGGATTTTCATTGATACTGGATCGAAAAGATGGCTGCGGATTTGTTACAGACAGTCAACAAGAACAATCAAACGGGATTTGAATGTGTAGAAAGTAGCGAATTTGTGGATTATAAGCTAAATGATAGTGGATTAGTGAATTCCACAACCGTCCCCCACACCCCTTATTGCAAGTTCTCCAGAATGGGCTGAAGAAAATGTTAAGAGTAACACTCAAATTCCTTTATTACAATGTAATTTCACTTGTGCTATGGTTTTCGCCATTTTCGATTGCCAACGCCGGGTTGCTCATCCCCAGATTTGATTTTGCCAGATACTTCCTGATCTGTGGTCGATTTCTCCTTGCAGTGGATTTTATATACTCTGCAAATCCCTTATCCATTATATAGAATGCAAAAGGCACAGCTAGAAAACTGACATAGCAAAAGATCTCGAAATAGAGCTCTAGTATCGATGCTAAGAGTCGGTCAATTTGGGTTCGCCGGGCGCTTATAACACCGTATGGTACCCAGACCACGGTGTAAAACAAACTGAGCAAGTACACAACTGTGAGTCGCCTCGTTTCTACTCTTCGGGAAGATACACCAAACCTCCTTTGGGAATCTTCAAGGACTCGTTTGATGAATATTATTGTTCTTGATGTAGCAAGACATGAAATAAAATTGCAGGAAGACATCCAGATAGTTATGATTATCAAAGGCACTCTGCTGGATGATAGATAAGAAGGAGATATTCTATTTTTAAAGCTGCATGTTGTTATTGTACTGCTGTCTGCATAATCACATACGTCATCAGCAATGATCATTATCCACAATATAGCAACATAGAGAGTGATAATAGTTGCCACTGTTCTTGCAACGGGGATTGTGATCTTGCTTGTTCTTGATGTTATTGTAAGGTACCTCTCAGCTATTATGCAGCTAAGATAATGGAGAAGTAGGGCAAAGCAGAGGAACAGAACTCTACTTTGCAGGTATCTTGAACTTGTCTCAAGGTGTGCCGGTCTATACTTCAAAGATGCTGCCACGATGCAGAAAGGAATGCCTGCAAAAAGCATGAAAGCCAGCATTACCAATTACATTAGGAAGTTTCATGACAAGAAGTAACGAAAGAAAAAACTGAATTGTAAATAGTTTAATAGTTGGCGAGAAAAGAAAGCAACCGTCCCACTTGAGTCTAGTTGGAGGGACATCTATTGGGAATAAATAACCGCTCCTCCCCTTCCCCTATGATCAAATCACTCTACAAACACATATCAATATAACGCTTTTCTATTTCTCTAATATCTTTTCGACATAGCGAAAAGTTTATGACGGGACTTCCAGAGGCCAGACAGCCTCCGGATATTCGTAGCAAATAATATATCGTCCTTTTTTCATCCCTCCTGTCCACTGTTACAAAAAAACCCTCAGTTCTGTTTCAGCATATCTCCAGAATCAGACAGTTTTTTTGCTTTCTTTGTCTGTCCCGTCACCCCATTGCTATATTATTTTATTTTTGATTTTCTGTTTTCACGTTATACTTCTTCCATTCGAGCTCTTAGATCTTTAGGGCAGCGTACCAGTTATTCGATCGACGTCAAGACTAGCATAAAGGGAAGGGCTTTGGGGAATTTGGCGGAGGAATCAGGTACTTGGTCAATTCAGGCGTGCATGGATACTTCTTCAAGTCAGAATCCAGAAAAGTTGTTAACCTTCCCCAGACAAAAACATCCCAGAAAAGCAAACGTTCCTCACAAAACAATAGAAAGTGGGCGTGGCTTGGGTGTGTCATAGGAGCTTCTATTGGTTTTCGTGGACCTTCCTCCGGTCAGTGGCCGTGCGACCGTAATGCTTTCTTGCCTAATGATGACGAGATAAGACCTGTTGCAAACGGTCTCAGTGATGCATCCTCTTTAAAAGGGCTTATGGCCTTTGAGGCATGAATAGGCTTTTAAAACATTGATTCTGGTTCAAACCCACTCTTGACTCGACTAATTTCTTTTTGGTTTCCCCAAAATCTATTGCATAGCTCGATTAAAAATTGGACCTCACCTTAGTTTCATTGCTTGTTAAATTTGCAAAATATTTTAGTACGCACATTATTCTCTCAGTTCTTCTACGATGATTATTATGGTTTCTGTATTTTTGGACGATTGAGATAAAGGGAATTGGCCATTTTAGTCTGGACATTTATTGTCAGCAGTATGAATCTTGTTTGCATAAATAAGCTCGAATAATTACACAACTTCTGCAGGTCGTCAACGAGCAGATAACAAAAGAAAAGTAAATAGAACACGAAAACCATGGACGCCTGCGCCAGGGGGGGGGGGGCAGCGGGGGCGGTGGGGGCAGTGGCCTTTGCCAAATTGATCTTTTTTCTTTGTTTTGTTTTTCCCTTTTTCTTGACACTTTGCTGCCGTTACCATCTTCGAGCACATGCTTCCCTGACGAAAGCTAGTGCTTCACAGCTGGTTTGGCCACTTGATTATTTCAATGATAGCCTTTAGCGCCACGTTTTTCAGTTCCAGTATTCTAGCAAGCTTGCAGACCCTTCAACCACAGAAAAGAGAAAGAAATCTCTAATCTGTGCAACAGCTTTGTTGTAATTGAATTGAAAATCAGTAGAGTCTGCAAGCTGGGTCATAGAAACGATCGTGTTTTTATTAGGCCGTATAAAAAGTATTGCGTAGGCAGATTATAGAGGCCTAGGTGAAAACAACTTTTCAACACAGATACTTACTGCAAGTGCGTGATAAATGTTATTCTTATGATATTAGATGCTTAAAAGTCAAGCAAAGGACAGGGAGAAAAACTTTTGGATTCAAGACAGAAATTATCGAACTTAATATGGAATTCGGTAACTATATGTCTTACCAACAATAGAACCAAACAAGGATACCATCGCGATGCATACTATAAATGTCTGGCTTGGAGTCCTGTCCTCCGTAGCGGACTTAAACAAGAACCTCAACAGCAAGGAAAGGCCTGCACAGTTCAGAATCAGAAGAAGCACGCTGGCTGCCAAAACAGATGAAGAAACCCATCGTGGAATATCAACCGAGGAAGAATACGTCGTTATGTTGCCTTCGTCCATGTTTCTTACACTCCAAGGGCCGATGTTGACTTCTGACGTCATTTGTGTGTGAACAGTTTAAGTGAACAATAAAGATTAATTAATACCCCGCGATGCATTTCAAAGAAGGCCTTTCCGCATACCACGCAAGCGGCCTAGAACTGCTCCCTTATTAAGAAGTTTCTAAAACATTAATTTAATAGGTTTTGCAGGGCATATGATAATTAGCGATGAAATAGATATGTGTGAAACCAAAGAAGGCAACATCGAGTTCCAATTCTGTTTATGTTGCCTCTGCCTTCTTGTCTTTTCGCCTTTCCGCCTTCTTGTCTTCTTGCCTTCTTGCCTTATTGCCTTATTGCCTTATTGCCTTATTGCCTTATTGCCTTCTTGCCTTCTTGCCTTCTTGCCTTCTTGCCTTCTTGCCTTCTTGCCTTCTTGCCTTCTTGCCTTCTTGCCTTTTTGATAACCATATTGTCATTGTTGGAGCTGGAATGCGAATACCGATCTCAAAATGTATGTAGATATTAGCCAAGTTCATGTTTTTGCGATCAGAGATTTTGCGATCAGAGTTCTATCAAATTAAATGGCTTACCTATCGTATAAACAGTTTTACACTCAAGGCCGGTTTAAAGCTCTGGGGAGCCGTAGTCCAAATATATTTTGTGAGAGTGGCAATACGAAAACGCGATGAAGACATATTTTTAAGAATTTTTGGATCTTGAACAAATAAATTTAAAAAACATCATAAATGCTTCAGAATTTGCAAAGTTAGCTAGTTGTGTTACAACTTGATGTTTTATGCCAAATGAGTTCAGGCTTTTCCCTATCAGGCTTTTTTAACGAAGTTGTTTAAGACCAGAGTACAGTTATTTTTATTTAATTCATACATAAAACTTGCAAGTTCTATTTCGCAAGTCTGGTTCAATAATCTATTGTAACGTTTATGGGTTCTTGTTAGGACGGTGAAGAACCAGTGAATACCCAGCTCATTGGTAGAGCGATGGGCTAGGCCAAAGGGCCTAGGCCCCGAATAAATAACCCACAAAATATTCGACTTCTTTGGTGTTATCTCTAATGCTTCAACGGAAAGACTAACTTATATCGTGATCAACACACACTAATAACCTAATATCATAAACGGAAGCTAATTAACAGGACAATACGAGCGTCACATTACATTTTGAAAGACAAACACATTGCCATAAAGAGACTTTCACTAACACAAGAGGACTTAACAGAACATGTGACTTTAACACGCAACGGGGACATTACTAAATTGATTACATATAAAAGGCAAACCGTTACACCATCGTCAAGAAAAACAAATCATGCAGCATGCGTGGACCAATAATAGAAAAAGCAATGGTATAAACAATTGAATTTTGCACACATTACACTTTTTGCGAATATATACTACGCGCACAGTACATAAATTCCAACCTGTGCCACTTCAGCGCCTTTTTTTAATGATGCTATCATTTTGGATAAAAAAACTTCGTTTAGAGCGGATCCGTAAAACCTGCGATGCCCTAGGCCATGGCCTAGTTGATTTTTGGGTTAATCCGGCCATTTTTACACTTTAGATAGAAGAACGATTGAGAAAAAGACTCGAACACAACTGCGAACGATCTGAAGTCTAAAAGTTCACCAGCACTGCCAGCAAACCCAAATTTTTATACACGATGCCTCTACAGAGGGATCCAAAGGTTTTTCACACCTAGGACGTGTGTTGTTAGGAAAATCAAGCATGGTGCAGACCCACACACTGCAAGTTTATTCACTTGGCATTAGCAATAACATTTTGCTGTCCAAGTTGTTAAAAACCCATAAGTAAAGGTTTTACATGATTACCTCGTTTCCAAACATTCACTCACATTTGTTGCCATCTCCATGGCAATCTCTCGTAAAAAATGAGAAAACCATGTTGGGTCACCAACATCGTCATTTCTGATGTTGGATGAAATTTGACTGAGGTCAAAAATGTTGGCAGCCGGCATCCAACAATTCTATTGTTTTGAGTGTTAGGTGAAATGTTGGATCGTTTGACCACCTCAGCCAACATTCTTGGCTCTGCGTAATCATCGCATCGTTGTTGTTTTCTTGGGCTAGTTTCGTTCGTCTCAACAATCAAGTTTGCTTACAATCCGTTACACTTTAATTATGGACAATATAATAAAAGAAACGAATTTTGTGCGGAGCTACAAGAAAGCGCAGGGAGGGGGGGGGCGAATTTAGGCCACTGCCTTGATATAGGATGCGACGCTCGTCCTGCAAGACCGCGATGACAGTGAAAGTATCCTAAGAGGAAATAGATAGAGCGATTGCCTTTCGTTTTTTCGGATCGAAATGTCTCAAAACTGTGCAGCCTTCAGCGCGACCTTCTACCCAGTCCTTTTTCGATCTGCGCGTTAAGATGTTGGGTGAAATGTTACGTGAAATGTTGGATCGTTTGACTACCAACTTTGGGTCACATTCCAACATAAAAGAAAAATGTTGGGCGAAATGTTGAGCAGGGCTTAACGAGAAACGCTGCTCCCTTTCAATGGATTTTTGAAATTCACTAGTACATAATAAGGCAGAACATGACCCAAGGCAAGTTCTTTGAGGTACCCTAATATTGATGTACCTTTTTATTCAAAGATTGATGTGACATCGCAAATTCATGAAGATGAATTGCGAATCAACATAAAGAGTTTACTTTTGCTATTTTGTATGAATATGCCCGCTAGGTTGAAGACACCTAAATCAATGGCTATAGTAATTTGTTATGGAAGTCAAGGTTCTAAGAGTTACATTTTCTCCGAGCAGCTTTGGTTGCTGATAACCTATTAACATAACGATTTTTTACAACGTTTTTCCATTTGTTATTTCATCCATTAACTTTTAGATAGTTCTACACGTAAATCAGAACATCGTACGGCTGAAGAAGCTTTTCCTTAATACGATATAGGACGTTTGTTAAAATATCACAGCGAAATCACAAAAATTTACTTACAAAGGACAGTCTTATTTAACCAAATTCACACTTACAAAGTGACAGCTGTCCTTAAAAAGCTTTGATCGCAGAAAGACAAAAGAAGAAAGCAAAGTTTCTGAACAATATTTTCTATTCAACATATATCCATAAAATATTAAATAATTCTACAGAGGAATTTTTGCGTAAACTACAAAGTAAGAACTGTTTTACTTCTAACGATGCAACAGAGTCTTACAATTTAATAAGATAGGGAGTTAGTGCGTAAGTAGGACACTGATAGTACTATGCACATTGATATAAGTAACATTGATATAGGATCATTATTCTGTATACGTACTATCATAATGATTATGACTGCATAATATTATCAACTTTCTTTTAAGTTTAAAACAATGAGCATACACTTCAATTATCTCGGGGGTTAAACTATGCCTAATTTTGGACGGGGACGTGCCATGTTGGTTAAAATTTTGGACCCATAATTCCGCAAATGTCCAAAAAAATGTGACTCATAATTCCGCAAACATGATGAAAACTATACCCATAATTCTGCAGAGCAAATAAAATTTTCTAAAGCATCTAAAAAATCATCAATCAAACTTTGCATGTCCTATGCCCCAAAATCACAATATTACACATTCTATTTCTAACTGGACATTCATTTTGTTAATGCTAAATCTCCCTCCTAATAATTTTGCAATATTTCCCCAAAATGTTACCCATAATTCTGCATGTTTCTTCAAACGATACCCATAGTTCCGCACAAATTTCAAAACAGATACCGATAATACCACACTTAACAGAAAAAAGGTACCCCTAAATAATGGCACGGTGCCCATCCACCCCCCCAGACAAATATAACCTATTATGACATTGCATATTGGAATGGGTGTGCAATAATTGAGGCCTTCGATGCAATGACACTTGACTAACACAATTACCAAGAAAATACAGAACAGTAAGACTAATATGAATAGACCGATTGCAAGGATCTTTTTGTTGCTACATCCATACATCTTGTGACATAGCAATAAGCCAATGTGGTATTATCTAAAGCAACATTAAAACGGACATAAAAGATGTTGTTAATATCAAATATTCAGGCATCGTGCATAAACATCTCCCATATGTTCATTTCATGTTATATGCTGACATTGTATCGTATACGAACATCGCATACGAAGGCGTGACGTTAGATCATAAATACAAACAAATGTTTTATATATCTGATTATATGCGATGTTTAGATCTGCTTTGTTGAGCCTTCTTAGTTGAATTGGAAGTAGTTTTATAAGGTTATTTCCAGTAAGTGTGATGGATTGCGTACGATGTTTCTCGTTCTTCTGTTGTATAATGGTCAACAATTTCTCGAACATATCATGCTAAGATATTTTACAGCAAACGGTACGGTATAACTTTTGCGTGAAATTTTACATCATAGAAATAGCTGATGGCCGCCTGAACCTGACCTTCTCAAGACTCACCGCAGCGATCTTACGTTGCTGTACATACCTTGCTACACTCCGATTTCTAAAGATGATAACCAATGAATTCAAGCTAGAATTGCTGTATATAAGGGCATAAGAGACGTAGAGAGACAACCGCAGTCCCTCACTGTCTCCGCTGCAGTCCATGATGCATTCTTTTGAGTAGCTCTTGAAAAGGGCTAGGGACATCACGATAACAAAAGGTAAGTAACAAAAGCATATACCAAGGATTATAAGAAAAACCGTGGTACTAAACTGGCGCAAGTACTTTGGATTTCTCTGCTTGGATGGCTGTGGGACGATTGTTCGCGAATCAACGGTTCTTCTTGGGTTCCAAACCGTGCTGTTGCGGACGTATCTGATGATATGAACGTATGTCCTAAAATACGATATAAAAACCACTACTATTATGACTACGAATAGCACTGAGCAGATGAGACTAACGATCCGGATTCGGTTGAATACTGACGACATTGTAAGCAATCCGGAGACCAACATCGAAACAAATATGGATATGCATGCAATTAGTTTAGCAAAGCGTTTCGTGAATATCATACAGAAGCGCATTGGGAACTTCTGATGAACCAACCGATCAATAGCAACAAGCATAACCATTGTTATTGAAACGTACACGAGGCTTGTGGAGATAAACTGTGTAGCAAGCTCTAGAGTGCAAACACGAACCGATGCATACTTTGAGTAGAGAGCATAAACCGACGGGAGGGTGATTGTGCCAATTAGAAAATCAGCAATCGTCATGATGAGAATGAAGAAATTAGATACTTTTTTGTATAGCTTTGCGCTGATTATTCGATATAACACGATGGAATTAGAGATCACTGTTATGGGTACCAAGCAGATGTAGGTGATGGCCAGTGACTTAGAGCTAGCAGGACTGATCAGCCAACGATCAGAGTATGCATTCGGACAGTAGTCCCTTAGTGAGCTATTCATACTCTTTGTATACCAAGTTCCCAATCGATATCAAGTTTAATCCTCTTTACTACTCGTTCCATCCAAACGCTATCCGCCAACTTTGTATCGCTCAAGTTCTGGTTCTGTTTTTATTGATTTGTTATCTTTTCATCCCACTAGCCAAATTTCATGCCCGTACTGCCCTATTTCCTTCAGAAAAAGTATTAAGCAGCTTACAAGAGGATTCAGCTGAGGTTCCTAAGTCCAGCTATTGCGCAAGTCATTTAAATCATAACTTGCAAAAATCCAGTAAAAGACGAACGCAAACGATCTTCCGAAGCAAACTTCCTTCTTAATTAGCAAAAACCAGATTCTCTGTGACAGAGATTTGTAGCATTAGATACCTGTGTGTTGATTTGATCCTAAGCTTGTTCTGATCCCCACTAAATCATGGCAGTAGCAACCAAAACATGGGTGTTTCTCTTACCACTGCCTTTCTTACCACACAGAGTTCAAGAACAAACCTCTTTGGCAAACATCTACATTAAAGTACTTGCAATGCGAATGACCTCTCCCTCTTGCAATCAGAAGCTGAAATTTCTTGATAGGAAGACCATAGGGGTCATAATGAATATTTTAATAGGATCCCAGGTCCAAGAAAGAAAGACAGGAAATGCCTTTAGTTTTTCTATTAACAAACAAAATCTGATGATTCAATAATGTTTGTGCTGAAATTTCGTCATTATTATCTTTAATTTATTTCAAATTAGAGTTGAATAGAAAATCTGCAAATCTGAACATATGACGGCGGGACGTAATGCTAAATCGCATAAAATCAAGAACTTAACCAAGATGCAGCTAATTTCAATGTGTGAACATCGTCTTTATTTGATAACGATCAGAAACCACAGGAGAAAGTTTAGACATAAACATCTACAATTCATTGCTATCTTGAAGCTCTCCGATTTAAATAGAACTTGACATGTTTATCACTATCATTACGGTATGTCATTCATTGTACGAAACTTGATGCGAACAGCTGGAAAATAGAATAATGAAGTTTGATCCTTTTCGTTAGGAAGGTTTTTGCGAAAATTGCTCTTCGAACGGGTGAGGCAACAGCGGTTTTAGGGACTGCGGAGCCCGGTGGCAAGAAACTGCGGGGCTTTACAATTTCTATCTTTTTCTTAGGTGTAGGGCCCCTTTTGGCTACCATAAGCACGGGGCCTGGGGCCATGGCCCCTGGACCCCCCTTAAAACCGCCACTGGGGTGAGGTCAAGAATTTGCTTGATGATGTTAAGGCGTGTGTTGCTTTCGATCTTAATGGAGTATTGGCAATGTTAGAAGTGCGGACAGTGGCGACGCAAAGAAGGGGTATGGGTAGGGGTGCTTTATAACCTGGTATAAAGCATTGAAACGAGGCAAAATGGGCGTGGTCTCACTGGCCATGCCCATTACCCTCCCACTCTACAGTAGCTAATTCTGCCAAAAGGGAAAAGCAAGACAGCTTTTTAGCTTAAGTCCAGTTGGGGAAGAACTTGAGAATGGGGGTAGTAAAGCTAGTTAAACAACCTGTTGTTAAAACAATTAACATAAGTAGTACTATAATGAAGCAAAGAGCAAGGCAATTTTTCTGCATTAATTACATTTTGGAAGGAAGTTTTTTAAGAGGGAGGAGGCGGTTAAGCTGCTTAAACAACCACTACTTTGATAATTGACGTAAATGGAAGTAAAAAAAATTTGAATATATTTTAATTGAATTGGAAAAATCTTTTTCATGTATAGACAAGGCCATCAAGTGTGGGGGCTTAAGCCCCCCCCCAGTAAGTGTCAAAATTGTATTTTTTTCCTTCGTACTGAATGGGAAGTAATATAATAGGCAGTTTCCCCCAAATATGAAATTCGTTCTGATGACACTGATAGAGGGCACAGAGTATTTGTTTTCCTATACTTATCAATTGCAACAAAATTATAAGATAATGTCTATAGAAAACAGACAGACTCAAAGTGTAAGCCATATTCATAAATCAACATCAGACATTTTGATTATAAAAAAGATACCTCATTTTCATACTATTATGAAAATTTTAAAACAAAAAACAATAAGTATCACTTAGATAAATGACTATGTTGTGAAATTTTAGTAGAGTTTCAATACTATCATACGTTAATCAACATTGGGATTATCTGATGTGAAAGTAATTTCAGCAATAAATTGTTCTCATTCCCTGAGTTATTTGTGCCATACCAAGTCACAGACTAAAGCCAGATGGTCTGATGGAACAGTCACTGATGGCAATGCAGTGTGCAGTTTCAAAATTTCTTCTGCGGGAAGAGGAATGCAAGAGTCAACCTCAAAGTCAGTTTTGCCAGGAATTATGTAATCTAAAGTCCCTCTGAAACCAACAACATAGTTTGTAAACTTTGGGTAACCGCATGCACTGAAAAACTTAAAATTGTGTTCCAAATTTATATTTGGTTGTTCCTGGGATTCCTCTTTCCAAACAGGATGGCTTTTGTCTATTGTACCCTCCATCAAAAATTCAATCACAGCCCGTTCTGGTGTGCTGTTAAAATCTCCACATATCAATGGTGCAACATGCTGCACATCACAGAATTCAGATTTGATACTAGCAACAAACTCTTTGAAATGATTTATAAGAATGGCCATTTGCAGCAGTCTGATATTGGTTGCCTCTGGTCTAAAATACAAATGTGTATTCAGAATGCAAATGACTCGGTCTTTAACCATAACATCCCTTAATGCAATAACTTGGCCTACAGCTGTCCTTTTCTGTAGGCTTTCAAGGAGCTCAGGACATTCTTCAATTGCTTTTAAAATATCAGTGTTACATTGTAAGTTTAATGCTTCACCAATGATAATATCTGACTTCTTTATACTCAAAAATCTGCTCTCTCTATAAAAGATTGCCTCCCCTTCTGGCATTTCTCCTGATTTTCTTAAGAAGTGACCTTCATACCCTTCTTCTTTCATTGAAGGTTCCATAAAATTATCAAAAATTTTCATATCACATTCTTGGAGACAAATAATGTCAGAATTGTAGCCTATAAGCTCTTTTAGAATGAGCTGTCCCCTGTAATCAAACTCCATTGCATAAGGACTGCAATATGAGTACATCACGTCTCTAGCAACTTCTGTATTTGCGTAAATATCAGCCAAAATGTTATATGACACTACTCGCAGTTTTTCTGGGCCTTCTGTAGCTTTGTTAGTGTATAAGTGCCTTTCTTCAAATGGGCAAATTCCAGGTCCAGCTTCAACACCTGATGATGATACAACTTCGTGGGAAAAACCAAAAATATCACCCCTTCTTGGTATACAGACAAATTTGAGTTTATATCCAATGTCATTATTACCAGGAATGTATTTAAAAGTATTTGACAGAAACTCCCATGCCATGTTTACATCACAACACTTTCCAATCATAAATTGGGCTTTTTTGTCAACTTTGGCATTTTCATGTGCACCTGGTTTACAAGCAGCTCTGAACCACATGAATTTGCACTTTTGCCTCTCTGCAAATTCAAGATCTATCAAAGGGACTACAGGAAATCCTGCCATTAACACAGAGGGTATTTTTGCAGCGGTGACTGCTGGAGCATTCACTCTAATTTTGAATTCATCTTCCCCAATCTTCAGAACATTTTCCTCTCTCCATGCATCTATGTTGCTCACTTCAAGATCCAATGCCACTTTTTGCGAGCTGGAAATCCTCTGGATTTCGATCTTGACGTCATTTGGATAAAAATGTACGAAGCCATTATTCTCATTAAAGTTGCCTTGTTTTAAAAGTTTTTTAGCCTTTTTCTTGCTATACTGATTTGTTAGATTCAGATGTATACGATTGAAGGTGTTCTTGATAGGTTCTTCCTTTTTTCTTAGGTAATTTTGGTGAGCACCATGAATTCTGGTTGTTATTTGCAGTTTCTCCTCGCCATCTACGCTGCGTACTGAAATAGTCTGTTCTTCGATTTTTTCAATGTCTGGCTCTTCGGTGAGGCATTTCCGGAGAACGAAGCAAAGGTTTTTGCAGCTATTAGAGGTGTGCATTTTATTAACAATACGTGAATATATCTTTGGTTGTAGTTTCAAGACAAACATCTGAAACTCTACCCACTTGAACGTGAGTTTAGGCCCATTTTAATCAAAGGTGAGTCGCCTTTGGAACTGAGTTGGATTGTGTACAATACCTCTGCGGCGGATGAATGCTCGGACATGACGAATGTGCGTTGTCGTGGCAAAGAAGGGGGGCCTGACGTTTGGACAAAAAGAGCTCTCCAAAATCATATCCCCTGCCTGCCTCTACCCTATCCAATAAGAGATATGGAAATTCTTTTGAAATAAAATATTCATTTTCTTTACCATATTAATTTCATAATGATTTCTACTCTTTAGAGCATTTTTAACGATCTTTACAAATATATAAATCTTTCAGACCAAAGAATAAAGAGCTCTTTTGAAGCACCAGCAAATTTGTTACTTTCAAAGAACTCTGAATGAACACTATGAACTGCTCTAAGAACACAAACAGTCTCATTTCTTTTTCAACATTCAATCAAGTCTTCTTCAACTCTCCTGAGAGCCCAGAGACAAATTGGAACTGATATACTCTTGATGAGGAGGCAATTAAATAACTTAAAAGAACAAGACTTCAATAATTTTGATTGATAATAAGAATATATGTCATGTGCTCGCCTTTCTGATTGGCCTAGTTCGATCCATAACTGGGTATCTTGTTTTTCATCTAGGTTCTTACATTTTATACTATGAAGAGTGTCAGACAAAAAGCTTCAAGTTTGTGACAAAATGTTTCGTTTTTTCAAAGCCATTTTAAGTGTTTTTTTCTACCAAAAATTGTTCGCAAACATTGTATGCAACTATATTTCAGGGGCTCCGTCCTAAAAAGAAAGAGGGGCGTGCTTTAGACAGCTTCTAGACATCCCTTCGTGTAACAAGAATATAACTGACTATTCTCTATGGTTCAACAATGTTTCTAAAAACGGAGGTCTTGGGTTGTTAAGAGTGAAAAAGGGCCACTCAAAGATGTTTTTGAAAGAATACAGAAATTTAAGAATACAGTGAAAGTCTATATAGCGGGCACTCATCTGACAAAAGGAAATGTATGAAGGCGACCTTTATCTGATTTCATTAACGAGGCCATCCGTTTCCTTCACTTTTTCGAGGCTTTACAGTCTTTCGAGGGATTGGCACACAGAAAAGCTTGGCAATGACTTTTGGCTAAAAAACGAATTTAAAAAAACAGATTCTTGGATTTTGATCTAAAGTGAAGGCAACAATACATAGAGGTATTTTGTGTTGTTCATAATGCTGGTTTGCATATCATTATTAGCAACCGTTATTTTGAAGAACCAATATTAAGAATGAACTTAGTTAGCTATTAAAATTCTGATTTGACACCAAGATATCTTGCGTGCCCATATTTTAATGACCTATTTATGCCTCGTGATTTCTAAAATGGGTTAATATTGTGACAATGGAGTCGACTTCATCCTGCAATCACATTTTATGACGTGTTCAAAATTTTTGACACTTACTGATGACTATCGAAAACGTGCCTTTCTGAAAGCTCTATCCCTAAAGCAACAAGCACTTTCACATGTAGCTGTCATTCTTTAAGAAAGATGGGTACTGAATTTGCTGAGGTAGTAGGGGCTTTGTTTACGGTATCTTTCAGGAGTCATAAAATTTCAAGAGATAAGCAGTTTTAAATAAAGGTTGATCAAATTGATGTAACATCAAGGGACCATTTGCATAATTTTCGCTGCAAGATGAAGAAAATTCTTGGTTGATAAAATTTGGACACCCTGACTGTCTAATAAACATTGCTTAAAGGCTAAATACAGCTGCATTCAATCAACGTTTCTGGAAGGCTTACATTTTAATTACCATAAATGAAATATAGTAACTAATTCTACGAATCTCTTATTTCTATAGTGAAATTAATATCTAGCTATGGCTATTGTTGGAACATCTTTCATTAGGCGTTATACTAAGCAGGCAATTTCATTTAAGGTTCTAAAAAGTACGGGGGTAAGGGGTAAAAAGGGTAAAAAGCTCTCTGGCGTAATATTGATAGTAATTTAACTGTAGTTATGTGACAGAAATAGGCCCCAATTTGGGAGTGGATTACAGTGGCAATAATTCTGGTTATTATTTGGGGGGCTTAGGCCCAAGCATTTCAGACAACAAAACATCTTGAATGGGCTTTCGAATTAAAGGTTTTTAAAATATCCGGCAATTGAGGTCGGGGGAGAGACCGAAACAAAATGGGTGCTTGGCTTGAATGTCCTGCTTTCAGAAAACAGGTTTACTCGCAATTAGGGAGTAAGTCAACAGGGCATACTGTCTTTGTGCTAACGTCAGCTAAACGTTAAACTGCATAAGAGTAATGATGATTGCTTTTTGTTTCAAAACCAGCAAATATAATGATTTGGTTACAAAATGTTCGATGCTCTGTTAACTCAGTTAAAGGGCCTAGGCATCTAAGGTAAAAATGTCTCTGTAATGCTGAAAACTGGGAACTAGGGTAAATGTCTTGCTTGATTGCTCCAAGAGACCCTAATATTGGCAAAATCACGCATGAATTTTAATATACAACTAAGGTTAAAGCTAAAAAACAATGATTATTCAACCATACTTATTAACAAAACAAGCATGACGACGAATAAGGCCATCAGAAGTAGGGGCAATGGCACGGGTGTTAGCTCTCAATTATCACCCAATATCCCTCTTTATTTCAATCAGAGTTTCAATGGGAACTAGGGACCCTAGAAGCAAGGGACTGTGAGGACATCAACTCCAATAGCGGCAAGGGCAGCAAAAGGACAGGGGCAGCAAAAGTTGTCTTGCCAACAAGGGAAAACAAATCAATGCTTGAAGGAGTCATTGGGAAGAAACGGATAAATCCCCGGGACATTTGATTTATCACAAGAAGTCTCCCTGGGCGGGGAATTTTTCACCGGGGTAGGTTTTTTAAAGGGCTTGCTTCAAAGGGGACAAGGAGTGTCGTGAGTCACCTAGCTTTGGCTTGTAGCATATTGCGCCTCTAAAAAATTTCAAGCCCTCTTTTATAATTGTAGTTGTATGATCTGCGGCCCTTAATAAGAAGTAAAGGGGGTCAGTGTCTTCTTACAGCCCCCTCGAAATAAGTTTCATTCTAACGGTCTTCCTGAAAATCACAGAATGTAAGCTCAATCCCTTGAATAGATATCACCGACTATGTATTCGAGAGTGTTTCGAAAGATGGTCAGATCTGGCGAAAGTTTTGCAACATGTTTTACAAGTAAAAGGTCTGAGGCCAGTATGGGATCTCTTATGTCTTGTGAGCTCATCCGATCTGGAAAACCTCCACTTACATCCTTCGTGTGTGCAAATAAAAGGTTTATCACCCGCGTGTCTGCGTAAGTGAGTTTTTAAATGGGAGCTTTTTATATAAGCCTTGCCGCATCCCTTGTACGTACAAATGAATGGTCTCTTAGCAGTAATTTCCTTGGCTTTCTGGCGTGTAAGGATACGGCTTCTTCCCAAGACATCGCTTTTCTTTTGTACTTTCTTTTTGTCAACACTTCCTGCTCGGCTTTGCAAACCAACTGTTTGTTTGTTTGGTACTTTGGACTCCAAAGGATCAAAGGTCATTTTACTCTTCAATGACTCACAGTTTCTACTCGATTTCTGGTTGTGAAATTTGCAAGGATTTAGAAATTCACTCAAACTGAACGAGTCTGTACTTTTACTAGTAATCAACTCCATATTTTGTAAATTAATTTTTCCACTCATGTCATAACCATCTGATATCGGTGATGAAATAGAAAATGTTTCGCATAAATCGTCACGGTCAGAGTCGAGACTGCTTTCTGAAGTTAGGCTCTCGTCTCCCCCCTGCTGGCTCAGCAACTTGTCAGCCAAACCAGCAGAAAATAAATAATCAATATAAATGTCATTGCTCTCCTCGTTTAGTGAAAAATTCTCTGCAAAATCATCCAAGTTTGATTTTGTCAAATTTTCGAACGTTGACTCTTCGCAGTCAGATAAGGATGAGGCAGAATCTAGGCTGCACTGTCGAAGCCAGAGGCCTTGTGAAGTAAATCTTTCACTTTTGCTGTTTTCATCTAGAATGTCTAAGCACTCAGCAAATACCTGGCCCTCCATTTCCTCTTCACTAAAGTCGAATTCTTGGTTCCAAGGTCTTCACTTTGTAGTCCTTTCTCTGTTAAGTTTCTAAATAGCATATAGAGACGCTCCAATGCCTCCTGTTCAATTCTGCATCTCACGTGAATGCAAACAGTAGGGGGCGTGTTTCTGGGGACGTGCATAAATACCAATACGGGATTTACTACTGATCTCAAATCAATGAAGTTCAATGGCTCCAGCGCAGCGTCCTGGCAACTGACAGACAAGGCATGAAATGGCTGTTGAAATCATAGAGATAGGAATATATTCCCATCTCTATGGTTGAAATTCAGTGTGCCCTTCTGGCTACCATAGACGCAGGGCCTGGGACTGTGGCCCCTTGGACCCCCTAAAACCACCACTAAAAAGTAGCAAATTGCCAAATTGCTCAGATCTAAAGGAACTGATATCAAAAGTATTTAGAAAAGGAATAACCAAGAATGTTCAGAACAGATCAGAACTCTGGTCGTGTTTGCGTGAATCTCTCATTTGTTTGCGAGAAAGCTGGGAATCTCTCATTTGACACTGCAGCAAAAAAGCCTGGTTCACACGTGTGAAGCAAGAGGGGGAAGCAAGTGAAGTAGGCATCCTACCTATCAAATTAATCAAATCTGATGTAAAAGTATAGGCTTCCTTGATCGGCTTCAGACAAATCATACATAAACAGTTATGTGGTCTGTGATATAAACAAAATTGGACGCAGAAGTTTTGCTTTCATTAAGATACTCGATACTAGAACGTAGAATACGCAGACAAAAGCAGCTATAGATGAAACAGCCCTGGCAGGCTCAGTCAGTTGGTCCATTGGAAGAATTTTTAGACCGTGCCAGAAAGGTCGCTGTCAATGCCGGGGAAAAGTCTGACTTTCAAGAGAAAAGGCCTAAAAAGAGAAAGCGACATTTTGATGAAGTTATCTCTAACAAAACAGCAAAAAACCCTATGATGGTTGTGTGCGCCTAGCAATCATTTAAGACCGATGTGTTCTACCTCGCATTAGATATGGCCCGGTCTGCAGAGAATGGCACTTTTCGACGAGATCTCCGGTGTGCACGAGTAAAAAGCCTGGCGTGCCGGTGTGCACCACCAAAAATTTCTGGTGTGGTGGTGTGCAACGACTATTTTTCCCTGTTGTGGATAAAATTTGTAAATTTGCATTTCACCGTAAAAATGTGTGTGAAGTACACTGTTGAAGATAGCGCAAGTTTTTATTTGTATATTTGTCAAGTTTTATTTGTATATTTGACTTGTTTTTATCAAACTCAAACTCAAACTCAAAAGCATTTTTCAGCAAATCAATTAATTACATGTTACGTCATTTAAGTATATTGTTCTAAATTCAATTATTAAATCCAAAATAACAATAAGAACATTAAAGAAAAACAACCCTATATACAATTATAAATCAGCTGACACATGAAAAAAACTCAAGATAGAGCTATCAAAGCCCGGTTGACGTGATTTGACGACGAGTTTACAATTCATTTTGGTTTGAATAACAGAAAGAATGAGATAATAGAAATGCGAATGACACTAGAAAAAAAGCAAAGGAAATGAATAAAGAAAAGAAGAACAACATTAAAGATAAAAAATTGGAAAATTTGGTTTATAGTATTTGCTGGTATTTTCATCATATTCGATTAGGTCGGACTTTCTAAAAGGTGGCGCTTAATTTTATTTTTTAAAGATATTTTGTTGTTGGCTTTCTTCAAATCTAGTGGTAAGCTGACATTTTGGCAAATATATCCGCTGACAATTTTCTATGAGACCACACCCAGCCATGCCCGTCTTAGTGGCCACACCCAAAAATACCCGGCGCGCATCAAGTTTTGCACAAAAATATCTCCGGTGTGCACATGTCATACTCTGCAGACTGGGATATGGCCAAGCAGCAAATGATTGACAGATTCAGTAGCCACAGGGATATCCTTCGGTCTTTCCAATGTTTGATGCCAGAATGTCCACTGAATTCAGTCCCCGAGGAGAATAGACGTTGTTTGGAAATCCTTTTCCAGGAATATGGTCCTGATAAAAGCTTCGGAGGCATAAAGGAGGAAGTATTCCAGAAATATTCTTTGTTCCAAGCTAGATTCAAAGAAAGCAGCGGCGTTGAGATAACCATGAAGAAGCGCATTGCCATTTTAAAAAATAACAGAACAGTTTCTAAGTGGAAGGAAATGAGCTGCCAGTGCACTAGTGTTAAGCACCTTTTCAAGTTTTTGTATATTTCAAAACTGTACAAAAATTTTCCAAATTTGTACAAGCTCTACCAAGTTCTTTTGGCGATACCTGTCACAAGTGCCGAGGCAGAAAGTTCTTTCTCAAAATCAAAGCTGATCAAATCTTACCAACGGACAACAATGAATCAGCAAGGAACATCAAACTTAGCTGTCATCTCCATGGCACGACAGAGAGCAGTTGATTTCATCCATGTTCTAGATATCTTCGCATCAATGACCCACCGATGAAAAGATACTTCTCTTTGAACGCTTCTCCAAATACACTGGGTTCACAAAAGTATGGAAACGGTGCTAAAAATGCCAGCTTACAAAAGACCTAAACCGACAGGTTTTTAAAGAAACATAAGTTTAGCGCTAAGGGGTTTTCGTAATGAACGCTTTCGCCACGAATTTTTATTGCGTAAGTCCAATGGCTTTTGAATCAAAACAAATTTGAAAGATTACCCCACTGTTCTGTGGGTAAAAAGTCTGGAAAACGTTGGACAGGTGCTTCAGAAATCTTCTGGAAAATATTTTCGAAGGATTCATTAAAAAATGCCTCAAATTACAGACGAAACTTAATAAGCATAATATAATTTAATTGAACTTGAAATTTAATTGACATAACAACCCTCAATTAGGTGTATGTAGAAACGAGGCTGCACATGTTTGTATTCATTATGGCTTCTCGTAAATTCAAAATTGGAAATCATATCTTTTCCTCCTTCGTCATTCTGCCAGCATGGCAATGAGTAGTTCAACACCCCCCCCCCCCAAATCTGAATTTCCGCCACTGATCACTGTGGTTTCATGTGATATGTATCAGCACAAAGCAACTTCATGTGATCAGTGTCAGGCTGTCAGGCCCACCAATAAACATTGCAGCACGAAAATCACGTATTTGGGCTTATACATAGCCACTGCTGACTTTTTTCAGTTTTAGACAAAGGATTTTAAAAATCAGACCAAGTAGTTACGCCACGGCAAATCACCTTCGCTAGGAAGGAAAATGAAATCCCTGATCAACCTGGCTCAAGAAAAGAAAGTCTAACCACAAACTGTAGCAAGCATTGACCTGGGACAAAACTTTTCGTTGAAAATGTCGTCAATAAACATTGTACCGCTGCCCGAAAAAGAAACAGAACGATTAAAGAAGCTATATCGTATCACTTTCAATGATTTAAATTTGAGATTCATCAGGACAGATCCTGGTAACTGGGTTTTACCTGCTTCATATGAAAAATTCAAGGATCGCTTTGCGAAATGGAATCTTCGTCAGGACGATATATACATACTTAGCTTTCCGAAAAATGGCACTACATGGACCCAAGAGTTAGTTTGGTGTGTAAACAACAATGCTGATATCCAAACTGCAAAAGCTGTCACCATGTCAGAAAGAGTTCCTTTTTTGGAACTTCCCATGGTTTTTAATATAATGAAGGATCAGCTCCCTTCTTTGAAGAATGACAGATTAGAATTTATGGAATGCATGCCTTCACCAAGAATTTTAGAAACACATTTGTCATTAGAACTTCTGCCTCATAATCTGCTAGATACGTGCAAAGTTGTCTCCTGTCTCAGAAATCCAAAGGACACAGTTGTGTCTTTTTACCATCATGAAAAATTGCTCAACATTCATGGTTATACTGGCGATTTTCCAAGCTACTTTGACCTTTTCATGGACAATTTAGTGATGTTTAGTCCTTATTTTCAGTATATTTCTGAACTGTGGAAGTTAAGAAATCATCCCAATATGTGCCTTCTGTTTTTTGAAGACATGAAAAAGGATCTCAAGGCCAGTATTAATAAAGTAGCCATGTTCCTAGGAAAGGAACTCTCAGAAGAGCAAGTTGAGAAACTAGAAACTCATTTAAGCTTTAGAAAAATGAAGGAAAATCCATCAGTCAATAAAGATGGCCTTAAAGATATGCAGCTTATGGATCCTAGTGGAAGCTTTTTTCGTAAAGGTGAAGTTGGTGACTGGAAGAACTATTTCACTGCTGATATGAGCAAAAGAATGGATGCAGCTATCCAGAGATACTTAAAACCAATGGGGCTTGAATTTAGTTATGAATAATTTGGTTAATGTGTCAACAATTGCTTGAACATAGTGAGTTTCAGTTTTTTGAATATTATGTTTGTCACTTCATTTTGAATAACAATTTTTTGGATGACTTTTGAAACAAATTGATTATTTTTTCATACAATGCAGTTCATCAGTATTGTTGTCTTTTTGAATGGTTATAATGAACTAATTTGCTTTCTTCAAGCCATGAACAAACTGCTACAAATTCTTGATTTTGGCATATGACAAAGTAGGATATTCTTGAAATCCTCACTTTACATGTTGATGATTACAATTGGTGATTAAAGGAATCGTTGATGTGCTTCAAAAAAAACAAATGGCCTTGCAGCAGAATGTATTTCGTTTTTTGAGCAAGAAACATGATTCTAAAATTCAAAGTCTCTGGGAATCCCAAAGGTGTGTTTGTTTGACAAACGAAAATTGCTAGATTGCGCAAATAAGAGGATGATGTCACCTCTTTTTATCACCATTGAGGAAAGTTTGCACACAATTTTTCCAGGCCTTTAGGGTTGTAGGCCATATCAGTATCTTCATCTGTTCATGGATGAGATGTTTAGTTTCACTCCCTGTTTTGAATATTGAAGGCATAGCCCCTTAATAAGCACTCTGACCCTTATTTGATGTTCTTGGTGGAATTGTCTCTAGAAGGACACATAACATGAAACAGAGGGGCAATGTAGAAAAAGAAAGCCATAGATTGTTGAATAAAATCTTCTTAGATATGGTTTTACAATAAGCCATAGATTGTTGAATAAAAAAAAACTACAAAAATGGCCCATAAATAAAATAATTGATAATACTAAAAAACAAAGTAAGTGAACAGATGATAATTTGTACAAAAATAAATGATAAGAAAATATTTACATTAATCCTCAATGTTTCAAAGGACCTCTATACTTTCGAAAGGGCTTTTGCTTTTGTTGATTGCTTTGTTAACTTTATCAGGGGGTAAAAATTTGCCTTTGATCTGTTCCATACCGAAATGAGTTTTATTACTGAGATCACTGGTTTAGTTCACTAAAATCTGCTCTGCAAAAAAAAGAATGTACATAACAATTTGTTATACTTAACTCAGTTTAGTAGAAGTGCTTAATATTAGTACAAGTTTAACAAAATTTTAAGTTGTTTAAAATAACTGAATAAATAAGAAAATATTATTATCTTGTTATAAAAACATTACATCTTCTTTTGAAGCTACTGTCTTGTTCAAAACAAATGAAAGTGCTCCAAAATTAAAACAAAGTGCCCCAAAATGGAAGTAATTTTTTTTAGCATAAGTTATGTGTTTTCAGTCAGCTGATTGATAAATACAAATATACAATATGACTTATGAACTACAAAAATAAAATTTGAGATGATACCTAAAATATGACAAGTCCTTGAGTATGACTAGCTTCTCTCTCATCACTTGTGTTTATTTAATTAAATAGTTCACAAAGGCTTAACGCCACACATGCAAGGATATGCAGTCCCAGCATGCACTTCCTGGGTTAATTCAATACCAAAATGATATTTTCAGAGGTTAAGATCTATGGACTATGAAGTATGGTTCTTGAATACAGTGACATTTCAGAGTTAACAACCAGCTGTGTCAGCATACATGTACTCCCCAGTTTCATGGTCATTGCCTTTCATATCCACATACCCTGCTTCCATGGAGGGGGCTTGATAGACAGCTTCATTCTCAGATGTCAAATCTAAATATGTTTCTTTATTAAGGAGTGTTTGATAAGCTGGGTCATTACCAGTTGACATATCTAGGTACTCCTCCTCTTTCTGCAAAGGTGCTTGGTAAAGCTGTTCTTTTCCACTGTAGATGGGGTTTTCAGAAATTGCTTGATATGTTTGCTCAGGAAGCTGTGGCATTGTCAGAGCTTGATATCGCTCTTCATTATTAGGTGAAACATTTTCCCGAGAACCAGGGTTGTTTTTCATGCTTTGCTTTAGCTTAAAAGTAGGTTCCTTTTCTTCTTGTTTGGGTATGTTACCGCGAGCATAAGAATATTCCATTGGTTTTTTTTCATTCACACCTCCATCTTTATCATCAATGATATCAGCACTACTGTAGTAAACGTTGTTCTCTTCTGCAGTCAAGTTGCCTTGCACAACATCTCCAGGGCTATAGTAGTGATTTCCATCTGAGATATCAGAACCTGTTGCATAATATGGGTTTGTGTTCTCCTGGATTGTCTAGAATCAATCAATACTGCATTTTAGCTCCTAAATAAAACACTACAATTACTTTCATCTTCTTTCAAAACTCATTTTCCTAGAATTCGTTTGCTATAAACAGCCTTGAATTTATTTACATAATTCATAGTTAGCTTAATTTGAAAATCTACTATGTATGAAAATCTACTATACTGGTTAACATTGCGAGGTTGATGGTATAATACAGATAAAATTCTAGATAAGAAATGGTATGAGAGGCTGCAAAAAAGGATTTTGGAGAGGGAAATTCTTGTTTCCATTAGTTATTCATTTTTAAAGAGTTAACCTGACTTCACCTGTATAATTAATTTTTTTTCATTGAGCCTATAGTACACCCTTACCAGGGAAAGGAGAGTGGGTAGGGAAAGGAGAGGGGGTTTGGAAAAGAGAGAGGAAAGATAAATCTCGTTAATTTAAGTATTGAATAAAGACAGTCTATTAAACGAAGACAGGTTTTAACAGTCTATTAAAGCAAGACAAGGGGAGAGCGTTTCAAAGTCTGGGGACAATCTATTTGAATTGCTACTCTCATCTGTTGAATTTTAATATGTATCTCTAATAAGCATTCTCAACATATTCATTAAAAAGTTGTATATTTCTGTTGACAAATTGATTGATTTCTCAGCTGGAAAACATTTCAGGCTGGAAAAACCATTCTAGACACCCTTATTGGAACTGTAAGAATTGTTATTAAAACATCGTTCTCTCACATACCTGTGAATGTTGATCAGGAGCAAACAGAGGTATGTCATGTGAACCATTTGTTTCACCTTTGAGAAAATATGCCTTTTATCAGTCTTGAAAAATATAATATTTTAGTGATCATTAGAGTGACAATGGCTAGCTAGACATTGAAAAATAAAAAAGGAGTTTAGTTACCTTGATGTATTCAGTTTTCAAGCAATGGCCAATAAAAAAATGCTATGGACTTGCTCGTGATTAAAGATCATAATCAACAATCACGTTTACATTAACAAAGCATCCTTTCATAAACTTGGCAAATGAATTTAAAGGATGCCCACGTTGTTTTTTATAACAAAAATATAATTTGTTGACGTAAGTAGTCAAGTATCGTTGTTGATAAAGAAACATGCGATCAGTTAAATTGTATGTTTTTGAAGTGAAGTAAAGATGAGCTTTGCACATGTTAAGTTGACTTTGCATTGAACCTGTGCATGGGGTAATAATACCCATTAATACCTAGGGTTACATGAACACCAGCCGAAAGCAAAAAACTACTAATAATATCATATTGGTACTTAATTCTTAGAAATTTGTTGGTTCTCAAATCCTGGAATCTTGGAAAATGAAAATGTTGGTTATATTTTTGTTGAATATATATTTTGAATAAGAAGAAAATCAGATAAAAATGTCAAATGGCAAGTCTTAAGAATGCTTTGACCTTCACCTTGATAATGTGCAAAAATTATGTTTCTAATCAAATGCATGACACAATTGAATAATTGCACCTTTCTACAAGAAACCTTGTCTTGGACTTCCAAACTTCAACTGAAATTATCCGATGGAACTGTTTTACACCAAGATTGTTCACAGACCACTGTCACAGTTAAAGGATATATTTTATAGTAAGTAATGATCTACATCTGATAACTGTTGGACCGAAGTGGAATTAAGAAGAAACTTTACCTTTGCTGGACAGTATCTTTCCTGATTTTGATTTTGACCTGGAAACAGTAAAGATCAGACTTGTCAAGAATCTATTCAATACATACTAGACACCTACAGTATAAATCAGCAATAAAAAAATTAGCAGAACAATACTATAGTAACAATATGTTGCATTGTGTTCAGTACACCAGCAAATGTTAGTTTAAAACCCAACAAAAGTTCAGGTAAAAGCTAGCTAAAAATCTAGACAAAAAACCTAAATACCTAGACACATTACCCCACATCAACAGATTTAACTTAACCCAAAGTTTTGTATAAACAAACCTGCAGATTACAACAAATACATTGATCATTATTATTATAATTTTCATAAAACAATTTTTTTGTAAATAAATTTACTTAGTCTATCATATGGATTCTTGTCATAGGTTTTCAGAAGATAGTTAGTAGAGAATGCGGGAAAATAACCAACCCAAGCGAGGCTCGAACTCAAGACCCCTGGCTGTGTACGTAAAGTAGTCTACCATTGAGCTATCAGGTCATGCTTTAAAGCCATCACCAAAGGCCAAGCCATTCGCCCACATCGCTACTCTTTCTTGCCGATTGTACAGGGTAGCCATCGCAGCTCCATCACAATGTACAGATGACCTGCTGAGTGAGAGAGGACTGCCCACACCATAAGGGCCATCGCAGCCCCAATACTGGATAGGGTGGAGAGAAAGTGTCATTTTCTCCTGGTGTGGGCAGTCCTCTCTCACTCCTCCAGCAGTAAAAGCTGTTTTCATCTTTTCTGGTAGTATCTTTGAGAGTGGTTCTGCATCTTTACAGAACTGTGGTTCAAAATACTTTTTTAATTCAATACATTGAGCAAAATCAACAAGCAAGAGCACCAGAAACAATCTTGTAAAAATAGGGACTGGGCATAAGAACATTACTGCCCACTCCCCCCCCCCCCCAATCCATAACTGGTGGCACTGGCTATGAGTAACCACAATTTTATTAGTCAATAATAGTCGAAAAAAGATGCAGAAATACCTTATACTTCTCCTCTTCATGCAAATAATGACAATAAGAATAATGATGATTACAAGGACACCAACTACTGGACCAATGATTGCACCAAGTGGTACAGAACTCTCATCAGAAGAGCTTATCAGTGTTGTATTTCTTTTCTCCTGTGAAAAATATACAATGAAGAAATAATAAGATCTATCACTAACTAAATTTCTTCCAACACTGATGATGATGACTTTCTTGACATAATAAAATGCTGATGTCTCTGTCTACAAAATTCCCTCTTTAGCATTAGTTACATCTAGCCATATAACTGAGCAATCTTCAACAAAAGAAATCTAAGACAAAATATTACAATGTCACTGCGGCTTGAGTAGCTTATTCATTTTCATGTGTTACCACCAAGCTTCCAAAGGTAGCTTTTAGGAAACTGAAAAGCTGTGCTAATCAAGCTGTGCATGTGTAAGTACCCTAGTCCTTCCTCTCCTTTTTACAACACACTTAATGATTCCTATGCCTAGAATTACAAAAGAACCCAATTCCCCTTATTCTAGGTGGATAAAAGATCAGGTCAGTTACTCAAACCATAGCCTTTGGATCTCCAATTGCACCCTGAACCCATCAAATATGACATTATTTGCATCATGTAACAATTGTCCAATAGTTAAAACCAAGACTAAAAGCAATGGGAAATAGTTAAAGATGATTCATAAAATGAATCCAAGAACAAATCATAAAATTATCTTTTTCAAAAAAGCTAGAGGTCCCTTACCTTTGTTACAGCTATTTTCTTTGTAGTGGTCATTACTATTTGCTTGGTGGAAATGCCTCTATTATCCAAAGCTGTTGTTGGTCTCAAACTTGGAGTTGTTGTAGAGTCTGATTGAATTCAAATTTGATGATAATGGTTTATCAATATTTGCTTTTCTCAGTTTCAAATGAAAAATATATTAGATTTGCTAGTCTTGTTTGGCAACGTGATGGCTAATGTGTCTTCAAACTTCGAAGATACCTCAAAGTAACAGATTATACTTGAGCATCCAAACGTTATTTCACAGTTAATTTTTATTGTGTTAAAGGATAAACCTATGACCCTCGCTGCTTGAAATTGTCATGTTATTGATCTAATACTAATAACACTTATGCTCTTGAGCAAAAAGAGGGACTGGAGAATTAATATATACAAAACATAAAGAGTTGTAAAGGTTGGCTGCTAATTTTCAAAATAGTAAAAATGAGGTCTTGAATAAATATGTGGATGGTTTTAAATAAACAGAAATGACATGATTAAGTAAGAAATGCCGGAGTTACGATATCTGATGCTCTGAGTCAAAAATTTAGCAAATAAGGATGGGGGGGGTGGGTTAGTTAAAAAATAGGGGCTTAGCTTTTTCCTGAAGTAAAAACAGTGATTGCAAAAACTTTTCAAATTTCAAAATTTTAGACATGATGATGTTGTCTTTATGAGATTCCTTATGTCTGACAAATATAACTGTAAATAAACAAGTAAATATTTCCCATTTTTCAGATTTGTTTATCATAAAAACAAAAGAGATGGTGTTTATCTGTCTAAGTGTGTAATATTTCATCTTTTGCAATTCTGTCTTCCTTATTCTCATCATCAGGAAGTGTTTAAAAACAAATTTGAAACAAACAGGTACCACATTTTATAATGTATAAGATGCCTCTTTTGTAACTATTACTTGCTTTGTTTGCAGGGGTGTGTCTTATATATGGTAGCATTGACTTTCCAATCAATTCCTTTTGAAGGCAACCTGTTATTCTGTGGATGAATATTATAATGATATTTAAAGCATCAAGTGTCTTAATTCCAATAACTTCTATAGGAATTTTACTCATTATTGGGGGGGGGGGGGAGGATGTGGCAGTAATAGTATAACAACGAAAAAATTTCAGGAATCAGTTTCATTCATCAAACAGGAAAATAACTTTGTCACAGTTGTCAATTTTATAAAAAAAATCTAACATAAGGCAGACTTTTTGACCCATTTGTTTATCTAGTAAAGTAACATAACATGCGTCCTGCCAGGTAGTTAAAACCAAAGGATGATAAAAAGCAAATGCCCATAGTCAAAGCGTACTAATCACAGGAACCCTGTTATGTTTTCTGATTTATGCAAGTACTGATGAGCACAGGGAGGGAGTTATCATCAGCATATTCAAAGTGGTAATGTTGGCTAGACTTATTTTTACAAAAATGGTACACTTGGCTAGACCAAGTCTCTACAAAAATTACACCTTTGGCTGAAATAATATTGAAAACTACACCCTTGGCTACAATCAATTCTAATTCATTCAAGTTAGCCTTTGTTCAAAACCAACTAGTTACAGAAGGGAGAGCCCTCAAGGAGAGAGAACTCGCTTTAAGTTAAAACATTGAAGGGGAAACCCCTTCACTGATTTTTAAAATGAACAGCCAAGAAAAGAGGTGTACATACTAATACTAATGACACCACTGGATAACAATTATTTTTGTTTTCCATGTAACTTTATATTACGAAAATTATACCCTAGCCCAAACAACTTGATACCAAAGCAGGCCAAAATTTGATATCAAATGATACCGAAGCTGAAAAAATGACTATCCCTAGACCAATATTGTCATTTGTCAAATATTATACCCTTGGTCAGACCCTGATTGGACGAAAATGCAAAAAGTATACTCTTGGCTAGATCAGAAGTCTGAAAAGTATACCCTTGCTCCTGGGAAATCCTTAGGTAACTCTCCTATGGAAGAGCTCTCCCCCCATGTGCTGATGAGAAACATTTGTGAAATAGATATGAAGAAAATTTTATGGAATTTTAACCCTCTCATTTCTATTTGATACTTTTAAAGATAATGGTACACATGTGGGCTTGAAGTAACTTTCTTCCATGAGTTAAATTCTTTAGTACTCTTGAGTTCATTTTATTCTTCGCTCAAACATATGTTACGAGTTTGAAATTAGGGAAGATATATCTTATTTATGGTATTAAACACAGAATCAACTATTTTCAGATATCTTGAATTTTAACATTTGCTTTTTGAAAATAATTTGGCAGCCACAAAGAGGAGTATCAGACATTCTTACCTACTATGGACGATCCATTGACCTTGAACAATATACAGGTTGCAAGCTGTTGTGATGCACTGAGTGAACAGTTTACATCCAAGCTGATCAATTTTCCTTCCATCTTTTTCCATCTTGAATATGTCATATCATTTAGCTGTAAAAAAGATGAAGCTTACAGAAGATAAAATAAACAAGTTTTTAAAATTTATGCAGCTAATAGTACTGAGGAAAATATTTTGACAAGTAAATCTCCTCTTGAAACAGAAAAGAGAAAAATGCTTCATTGTCAATTCATACCATGTTTCTTAATGCTTTCAGACAAAAATTGCTGCAATTTAAGATTTTCTGTATTTTTTCTTCAGGATTTATATAGAAGAATGAAGTTGTCTAGCCTAGTTTTTAACTGGAAGTCATCAAAAAGTCGAAAATAGTCAAATTCCATAGCTCTTTAGGACTTAACTTTTCCTTGTGAAAAGTTTATATAGCCAGCAATGTAAAGGCTGCCAGCCAGTTTGCACAATTTCAGCAAAGCAAATTCATCTGTGAACATGACCCATCACATAGTAGTGCATCTGAGTTGAACTGAGTTGAACTACAAGCTGACAAGGGAAAATCAAGTGAAAACAGAGATTATTTAAAAAAGATAAAAAAGAGTCTCTCACTTTTAAGTTGTGTATTTTAGTGAATGCTGTGTAGGTGTTCTGAATTTCAAAAAAGGACTGCTTGATATTTTCATCAATAATGTGAATGCCTCCATGAGGATTAATTTCATACACTTTTTCTGCAACACACTCTGATTTATAGTCATGAAGTAGATTATATGTATCTTGAGGGACACCATCCTTAACAGAAAGAGGGATCCCAGTGGCAACAGAGATGTCATTGTGGTTATCTTTGAAGGCTGGGATTATAGCCTCTGTCACAAATACAAATCTCAGCTTGCAATTTTGCCCTGAAAGAAAAAAGAATGAAAAAATTATACATTATAGTAATTATATGATCATATAAATTGCATTTAGCATTGACCACAATTATTTAAAATTAGTCAAAAAATTGATTTTTCATATAATATTGTGTTTACATATAATACAGTTCTTGCATAAAAAAGGGTCAGAGAATATGTCCATCGTGTGCAACCCCTTCCCAGCCAGACCCTAATCTCCTGCGAACGGTGTGTCTAGTTACCTGATTGTACATTCAGAGAGTCTTCCCTGAGACAACCCTTTTCGAAGTTTATAAAAGAGTAATTTCCATGACATTGGCACATGCAGCATCCACCATTATGGCACCCTGAAGTAGCACAATTACTGTTCTTTTCAGCACAAAACTTTGGGTCTTCTTCGGCGTTGGTAAAATAGTCAATAGCATCAAATAAATTATCTCTTTTTGAATCAATACTTTCTCCATATGCAATCCTCTCTACCTTCAAACAAAATACTCTGTGATGTGTGTGTACGATTATTGCAAAGAGCAAAGTGGTCCATAGAAACATCATGCCAACCGTGATTTGCAGATCTCCAATTGGTCTTGAAGACTAAATGCAAAATCCTTGTTACTTTAATTATTTAAGGAACAATGTTCTGTCAACATACGCCTCGTTGGGTGCAGCTTCCTTGTCGGTATTCTTTCAAAATCTTTTTATTACTTCTTCGGTTTTGAACTGTCACCACAGGAGCGGAACTGAGTCAAGGAGGCCCCTCGTACATCCTCCTCCACAGCAAGCACAAACTGCCAATCGCCGAGAAAAACTTTTAGTAAAAGGGGTTCATATAAAAATTATTTGCAATCCAAGGTCCGCACCAGGGGCGGCGCGGAGTGATATCAAATTGCTATTTCCTCAAATATATGTACCCCGTGAGTTCTTTACCAGCGAATGTTCAAACGATTGTTTTAGGACCGATATCCCTTCAGGGCCGTCGCGAGGCAAGCCTTGTTGGGGGGGGGGGGGGGGTGTGTGGACTACAAATTTACCTGATTAAAACATCTTTGCCTGAAATTCTTTAGTTGATGTCACAAACCTCTACAATACATTTTGTCAATCTAGCTCTATATAATTCGCAACTTTCATTTTAATTTGACAATAACGGAATTTTCCTAATAGTTTTGTCAAATCTCTATATCGGAACGGCCAAAGGATATAGTTACTACCCGAGGAAGGCACCGATTGCCACCGAAGGAACAAGAAATTTTCGAATTTTGATGCTTCTAGTTCCCTGGAAAATGCATTCTTTCAAGCACATTTCACTAAAGAAATCCTCCTAATCCTATTGAAAATAATTTTTTTTGCGAACAAATTGAACAGCAGATAAAAACAACTGGTACAATTTCGCCGTGGTCTTGAGAAACATCATGTTGTCAGTTACTTCTGAAGCTAGGTAACAAGCAGCACTGGTTGTCAATTTAGATCCTTCTTTCCATCTTAGCATGCCTTTTGAATGTTAAAAAAAATCTGGAGCTCATAGTGAATTGCAGTTCGAGAAACTTTAGGGGAAATGGAAATAAGGCCCAATTTTACCTAAAGAGGGCCTGGATTTTTAGATTTAATGCCAACAAGAATATCATATTTAATCAACGGAGCAACTACCTTTGTTTGATCCTTTATTGATTTTATGACATAAAGGTCTCTAAAATACCTAAAGCGTTTCTTCCACCGAGCGGATTTTACCTGAAATTTCCTATTGAGATACTATTGGAGGGTGTGACAACCCCCCACACCCCCGTGGTCGCGACGCCCCTGTATCTCTTTCCTCAAAGTCCCTATATGGATATGTGTACGGGTGGACCCAGTAATCCGTGCCTTTGGAATATTGGGTTTACCCGTAGGCTGATAGCCTTTGTGAAAGGTGGCTACCTTTGGGGCCGATTAGACACAAGCGGCTCTTTGCCATCTGGTGAAGCCCCTTGCTATCAAAAAGTACACTTTGTAATAGCAAGATTGCCACTGGAGCGTTTGAGATATTTGTTTCTTCCACGTGAAATGTTTGTCTGTAAAAGCAGCATAATTATTAGTGTGTAAACGATTATATGTTAAGAATATAAATAAAAATGCAACAAACAAGTCACAGAAAAGTTCTAACCTAGTAGTATTATAAAAACAGAGATAAAAACACAGCAAAAAACTTTGTTAAATAAAAGCCAATAAGGACAGAAGGCCCCATCTTCCATAACCAAAATTGCTAGCAATATCTGATCTTTTCCACTTGCTATTAAATCTGAAATTTTTATAGCAAAGCACCGAGGGCTGAATAATGAGGCTCCTCTCATGCCGTGGTATTGATTGAATGAGGCAGTTGCAACTAAAACCGTGGTTGAACATGTTTGGGTTTTATCTTTCTTACATTACACAAGAAGTGACCTTGAGTCCGCCGCCACTGGTCTGCACCAAGAATTTGAAAGTTGGGTGCCAAGGCTAAAAAGGTAGGGGGCCAAGGCTTCTTACCCTCTTTACTGCAGCCTTGTTAAGAGTTAAGTACTGAAAGGGCCTTGTTAAGAGAAAACTTCAAATCCCAAACGAACAATTTTAATATTTTATCCAGAAAATATTACCATGATTTTTTGGTCCCCGAAAGTCCGATAGTGCTGTTCTGCATAAAAAGCTGCATCCTTGACATGTCTACTTGGTTATGAGGTTCACTGATAATAAGGGGGAGAATTTCCTTTGAATGGAGAGAATCTTGTTCAAAATGGTTGGCTTTTTGTCAGGTTGATCGTACAAGCATTCATTGTCCAAGGTGTATGCAACAATTCCCCACGCATCAAATCTTCCGACTGATTTCCGTATCAAATTGCCTTTTGTGGTAAAATTGCCTTCAGCAACAAGCAGATTGAGCGCCGCGCCCATTAGCGAGAATTTACATCCCCGTAAGAAATTCTCGGAAGTGTCTACTTGTATTTGGCTGGTATTTGGTCGATGAATCATCGAGCCCTTTTTTTCGGGCAGCGCGGTAAACGGTAGACCGGTTTTCAGGCACCCTAAAGGCTGGAATACACTAGGCATTTTATTGCCTTAGCGTTTGGGCTGTGAAATGTATGTTGCCTCTCTTTTATCCCTTCTAAGGCAAAAATTTTAGAAAAACGCTTTCCCCGCATACACATTCAAGACATTGAAGGCTGCAATGTGTAGCAGCAGTAATCGCTTTTCTTATTGTTAAAATTTGCTCTACGTTATTTTATTCTGAAGCTGGTTTTCTAGATATAATAAACGAGTAGCCTGTATGGAACATCAGTGTAATTGAATAAAATGTGTTTTAATTAGTATTTTATGTTTTGCCTACCGTTTTTCCTCGAAAATAGGCCGACTCTCGAAAATAAGCCAATTCAAAATAACTTGATATTTTATCAAACCACGATCGAGAAGGTCAAATGTTAGGATTACACAACTTTCCCATTCATATTCGCATTCTTAGTCAAAACTTATTTATGAAATTTTGGATTCAAGTTGCAAAAATCGATTTCCCTTCTAGAAACACCTGCTTTTATATAACCACGATATATAGATAGGGCGCAAAAATCGACTTGCCCTTGGCCACCCAAGGGAAAACATAGCCACCCCGCCACTGGCCGTTATCCTTACTGAAACTTTGGGCTGCAGCGCTAAACTATCTAATAAACGAAAAAATGGCGTTCTGCTTCTTAAATATTTGCAAAATTCTAGATACCAAGATATTTTTTATTAGATTTTCAATACTAGTCTTACCCGAGGCTCAACGCATATGTCGAGTATCAATTTGGTGCAAGTCATATGAAGATATCGCTATTAAAATATTGATATATGCATTTTTATGTTGGGCATATGTAGTTTAAGTCCTCTTGTTGATGCTTTCACGTAATCAAAAACAGAAATAATGTTATATATTTCTAAATATTTGCATGGTAGGAATTAGGATGTTCAAATTTCTAGAAATGGGTTTAAAGCGCTGATTTGGTTTACCATTGCGTCATACTTCTTATAATTTTACAACTTCATTATTGTGAGGCGCCGGTATAAGATACTCTTCTGATGTGCAAGAGGATTTCAACTGCAGTGGTTTTCAACTCTTTTCCTTGACGTCCTCTATCTTGGTAATTTTTGTTACTAAGACGTAAACAACACTGTCAAATTCAGTGCAAATTCAAAGTGGATGCAAAACACTACAGCTTGATTCTGGGCCAGCGACATTCCTTTAAGTTTAAGCCCTTCTTTACCAGAAAAAAGGATAACTTCCAAATTAAGTATAATCCCAAAAATTGCAAACTTTTTCAATTGAGAAGCCCGCACATGAAAAAGAGGATGTTTTGATAGAACCAGGACCCAAAAACTGGAATATAGTTTAGAAAAACGGAAAACCCGGACTTGGAATTTGGAAAATTTTGAGACATAATATATAGGCCTATATACACTTCAACATGGTTCACCTTTTCCCGTGTTTTGCGTTAAATGACCTTGCGTACCCACAGTTTTTCTCAGCAAGGATATTTGTCTGCAAAACACAGGGGTAAATCCTTGCCTTTTGATCTCTAAATTTAGATGTCATCACTATTGGCGGAAGAACATAATTTTAAGGGAATTTGTCATAAATTGCGGAAATCTGGCAATTTCTCAACGGAACGAGGGAACACAATTGCCTTACGCACATTTTCTCAAAAATGATACACGGATTACTGAAATTTAAAAAGTTTAGCGGGATTCTTAACCCTTGCTCCTTGTTGGATAGGATGGCATCACCGGATGTTTTGGTGTTATCAATATATAAGTTGTTCATAAAGTTATATACTTTCTTTTGCCCAGTTGCCCCCTATCTGCTATTTTTGGCTAAAAAGTACTTATTTTCACATTAAAAGGGTATGTATGTTCAATAAAAGTTGTGCAGCATGAAATTGTCTTTCAAAAAATGTATTTACTTTGTGATTTTAACGACATCAAAATTTGAACCCTGCTGATCAGTGCGCCATTATGGGATTTGCCCAAATATGTCCAATCGATGGGACTTTTTCTGGTTATTCCCACAATAGTATGGAACCTTTGCGCCAAATTTCAGCTTTATATTATTTTTGTCGGGATAGAATCATAATTCGACTACACTAGTACTTTTTAGGACACGTGATATGTATTGGACTAATTGCCTGAGCCCGCCGGGGCTATATCACTTATAACAGATTCGTTTGCGAGAAGATGGACAGTATCTGTAATGTGTACCGTACTTTCTCGAATAGAAGCCGATGACTTCTCTTTTTAATTTTTTTACCCATAGGCATCCCGTTTCATGCCTGACAGTGTTGATAAATAAATGCGGCTTCTATTTAAGGGCGGCTACTCCATTATTGTTCCTGAACGCAACTTCTATTTTGTCCATCAAAAACTGCGGCTTCTATTCGAGGGCGGTTTCTATTCGAGGGCGGCCTCTATTTGAGGGCGGCTTCTATTCGAGAAAATACGGTACCTTCTTCGCTGCGCAGAATTAGAGAACATCAGCAACATTTGCCGCTGTGGCGTAGCATCATACCATTTCAATCTGGATGTATTGAGCAATGGAGATTGTGATTGACCTAGAAAAATATTCTACTCATGCTTTCCATATTCACCAACCTAGAGCCGAGCAAAATACAAAGTAGAAAATTAGTTGAGATGGCTTGAAAGGGTTATGGCAAGAGACTTAAGTGGAGAGGAGATTCTTGAGGGGTTCCTCTGTCCAATTTGTATGAAAGACTTAAGAACTCCATCACAGCTCTCAGCTCATTTCGAGGAGTTTCATGCTGACGACAAGGATATTCTTCGACAACTTAGGACTGTTTTTGGACGTGCAAAGAATAAGATACTGAAAAAGGAGGATGCTGCAGCACAAAGTGACCAAAATTTTGATGTAAACAATGCCTTTACCAGTAGAGGTACTCCTGGATCCGGTGGCATCGATATATCATTATGGGATACACAAACTCTGGGTAAGGATTCTGCTTAGGTTATAAGAAATTATTGTTTACTGTAAATTATTGTAATTGACAACCCTTTACCGAATGTAATTGATTTTAAAGTTTAAATCTGTTTAAAAAGTAGACGAGCCGAAGTGTCTTGTTTTATCATAAAATCGTTTCATAAAAACAATCATTGTTTTTTTCAGTGAAAGCTTTCGTGTTGTTGCTTGTTAAATATTTGGTCAGTGTGTTCTGCCAGGTAGCCTAATCCATGCAGAGCTCTATTTTCGTGAGACACTTCATCAACGCTTTCATTGTAGTCAGATACACTTTTAAAACGATGAACAATCATAGAGTAATCGAAACAATAAGAAAATGATCAAGGTAATCGGAAAATCTTCAGAAGGATGTAATGAAAAAATTATCAACGAATAGCATGATCAATTAATTTAAAAAAAACAAATAGATGAAAGACATATAGTTGTCAAATTCTCATAAAATTATCAAATTTATCTAGATTAGTAATAATCAAGAAATAAATCTAGAAATAACCAAGCTAAATTAGCCATCACAAATAATCACACAGCATCATTTTTAGCCACACACAGGTTTTTGTTAATTTTTATGGTATTATTACATAAAAGCATTGTTATCAATCAAAATTGTGAGACTAAAGATGGGCCATCAACATTTTTTGAATTTTCTACATTTTCCACTTACACAACAATCTAGAGCAAAAATAAATTTCCTTGACACCACAATTCATTTGGACTCCTGGAAAGCACCCTATTCGTGAAGTCCACTGATATATGCACCCTTTTACATGCTAAATCCTTCCACCCACCTTCGTGTAAAAAAGTGTTATTTACAGCCAAGCACTTCCCTTCAGACGTTTGATCACAGACAACAATGAACTCCACAAACACCTCAAAACACTTCAAAAAAATGTAATCATAAGAGGTTATGAATCTCAGGATATCACCACTGAATTTAGTAAACTGACATATGTCACTGAAAAGGGTCTTCCCCTTCCTAGGAAACCCCACCAACAATGAGACCACCCCTCAGGGCACCAAGACAGGGGGCCCGCACTACCTCAACTTGGAACCCCCTCCACCAAAACCACAAGTCCTACCTTTTGTTGTCCCATTCTACATCAAAACTATAAATATAGGTTCCGTCCTTACTAAACATTGGCACTTGATCTCAGCCGATGCTTATCTTAAACAAGTATGGAATGACACCAGACCGGTTCTAGCCCTCACTAGAAGGCCTAACCTCAAAGACCAATTGGTACACTCTAAATTCGGCCATTAACACAAAGCCGCTTCTCGAAGCATCATGCGCCTTTAACTTTAACAATATATAAATATTACACTAGAGGCACAGTTACATCTAAGGTATGGCATCCACTGATTATTGAATTTTAATTCTTATTGCTTATATATTTATTTTGCAACTGTGATCCTGGACGCAGGATTGCGAGGAGCACCCACGAGAAACAAACATACCAAATTAAAGCCCCGAAATGTCCCTCGTGAGTTTCTGGCTGATGAGTTGCTTTTTTAGCATTTTCTGCCCATTTACAAGCTAGCTGCTCAAAACATACAAGGGGCACCCATAACTACCACCCCCTTCCCTCTGGGTTTGAGGCTGTAACCAGGTGGAGTGACTACTCCTTATCTCCTTTTTTCTCATTTTTCCATTTTGGATTTTACAATTTTATTCGCACATTGTTTTTTTAGGTTTTTACCTTCTATATCTATAAAAACATTTTTGTGGCAAAATAACAGTGGTTGCTTTTAATGACAAAACTGCTAATTTCAAGTTTGTTCTGATCAACCAGGTAGTACAAGGCAGCATACCAATGATTTTAAAAAGATAAGGAAAGAGAAAATCGAAAAATTTGTTGCAGAGAGAAATAATATATTGATCAGACTTGACAAGGTTTGTTTCATTTTAGTTCATTTTATTAGAATTGTGCTTATACCCATGTTGAAAATAAACCTGCCTTGCATGATGTTGGAATTGTAAGAAATTTTCAGATGATAATACGGAAGCCATTTATTTGCTTATCTACAACGTTTCCTTGTATCAGTACATTACATGAGAAATGGTAGAATGTAAAGAGCTTCCCAGGTATGCATTGGTGTTTTTTTTCTTCAAATTATACAACACAATACCATTTTTATCATGCCAAAATATGAATTTTGTAAATAGTCTGAGAGACCTGGAAGATGACTGCTATCTAAAAAAGAAGTCAGGAAGACATAAAATGTCAGGGAACATTCTGTAAAACTTTACAGAGGAAAATTTTAGAGTCAGAGGAAAATTAGGGACAGTTTTGAATGGCTTGTTTGATGATCTGATATGTCATCATCAACTTCACAAAGCAAACAGGGGCATAACTAGGCCAAGAAGTGCGGGGATGAAAGGTGTTTCTGCCCTACAGACATATTCTTGTTTTCAGGGGAGGGGGCCACATTGTCGCAATATGAAATTGAAGGGGGCCAAGAATTGCACTCTTCCAAAAATATCTTCTGCCCCACCCCTCACCATTAGTAGGACTGGTCCCTTATTTTGATTTTGCTTTTTAATAAAGCTTACATATCATGGCATGTATTTACAGCTACATGACAGGGAAGTTTAGTGACCTAGGAGGACCCACCATGGTAGGGTCCAGCACAAAATAAATGGTTTTTTGGAATTTTACTTTGTAGAAGTTCTAAAAAGCATCTCCCAGAGTAAAATTAAATAAGATACTATACCACTTAGAATAGAAAATTTAGCCATTCTCAGAAAAACACTGATAATTGTTTTTTGGGAAAAATTAGGGAAGGGAGGAGTCATGCTTAAACTCTAGTGACAGACATTAAGAAAAAAGGGTGACATTTTGTTTCAGATTGCACATCAATGTGAATGTCAAGAAGCTGTTGGTTGAGAGAATTAGGTTGAGAGTTATATTGGTTGAGAGAATTTTACTTTCTTTACATCTTTCTTGTCTTGAGAAGGCCATGCTTACATATCCAAAATTAAGACAGTGCAATGATACAGAAAGTGGTTTACTGAATTAATGTACTGAATTAATGGACAAATGATAAAAAAAATGCACAAATAAAGTTGTTACAAATGATAGTAAGTAGATCAAACAAAATCAATTGGTATTTAATGAGTTTGATTTAAAAAGTAATGCTTAAAACAGTAAAAAATCTTGAAAAAAGTTGGGGACCTCAGCTCCCCAAGTGTTGCTGTGCCTGCATGAAAAAATTTACAGCTTGTGTCGACTCATTTTATGGACAGCAATCGCAATTTAACAATTTCCATTCCAAAGTCTTTCAACAAACTTCAGAGGTGGCATTCTGGCGCTGCAATAAAATTTTTCTTTTTGTGGCACCCTGCAAGGTCTTGTATTGCCTTGCAAAATCCACACCCCCCCCCAATACCAAAGGGAATTGTTGCACCTGAAAGCAAAGCAAAGCTATGAAGAATATTTTATGTTTTGTCCCCAGTCACCTTCCTTAAAACTTCATTGGCCAGGGAAAGTCCAACGATTTTTGTCTGTCATAGAAATATCTCAGTTCTTAAGGACATTAAGGGTGTATTTATACAGGAAAAAATGATTTTGTATGATGCATATTAAATCTGTTTGATATCTTATAGCTTATCAAGTCTGGGATATACAATTCAGAAAAAACTATAGCTGTTGCCTTAAAAGCGCGGAAAGGTGAGCTGACCTTTTTTTGTTGGGCTCAAAGTTGAAAATTTCTTCAATTATATTGTATGATTTCTTATGGCTGAAGAAATTTTTTTATTAGCACCTGCACTGAATTAGAATTCATTTCTTCAGAAATTTTTGTGCATATTTTCATTTTGTCACTTGTTTTGTCAGATGTTGAAAGACGTGTTGTTCCTTGGGAGAATGATGGAGATGTCAAGTTTTGCAGACTATGTTTCAAGAAATTTAATGTTTTAGTACGCAGACATCACTGTAGATTATGTGGAAGAGTATTTTGTGGCGAATGTTGTGATTTCATCAACCCTTCAGAAGCAAGTAAGTATTTTATAAAATATCTGAATGACCATTTGAAATGTTAATGAAGTATCTGAGAGTTTTTATATTATATATTAATATATTATGATATATTTACAAAAAGACACAATTTGTGAACAAAAACTCATTTCGTTAGTTAAGATGCCAAGAAATGCCAATTTGCATTCTTTGATTTAGGAACGCTGTTAAACAGTGAGTTCTTGAACACCTCAAAAGTGTCTTGTAGGGGGTGGGGGTGGGGGCATCCCTAGGAAAAAGTCTTGAAAAATATTACAGTTGGATTTTGAAAGACACAGTGATATTGGTAAATTTGACAAAATTTCCTAGAGCCATTGTAAGAAATTCATAAAGAAATCTTTAATCGAGGTCTAATGATGCTTTTGATGTTAATAAAGAAAACATCTTCTTGACAGGCAACATCATGAGCAATAAGGTTTCATCTCTTGGTAAGGACTTAGTTGAAAATGGAAATGATGACAAGTCTGGGATTCGTGCATGCTTCTCATGTTTAGAAATCCTACAAAAGTAAGCATTAAAATTATAGCTTTTTGTCTTATATTTTTCATTATCCTACAAAAATAGGCATAAAAACAGCTTCTTAAATTTGGATTACGGTAAAAACCTGCATATAAGCTGCACATTTTTTTCTCATTTTGCCCCCCAAAATCGTAGGTGCGGCCTATGTGTGTAGTGATCAACTTCAGTCCTCATATCTGAAAACGAGGCTTGCTATTGCTGTAGGTAACAAAAAATTCCTTTTGTTTTTGACATAAACGATTATAAAATGCAAACAATCAGGGGCACATGTCTGCCCATGTGTTAGATTCGCTTAATGAAGATGAAGAATTTCATGGATTTTAATTATTGTTAATTTTAAAGTATTTTCAACGATAAAGTATTTGACGAAACTTTTTTTCTGAATTTTGAGGCCTCAAATTTGGGGGCGGCCTATGTGCAGGGGTGGCTTATACGTGGGTTTTTACGGTACCCTATTTTCTAGAATTGAATTGAAGCTGGGAAAATCTTGAGGGAGGGAAGGAAATAAGTGGAAGCCATTCATGACTAGAGTGGCCCAAGAAAATAGAATTTCAAGAGTTAAATGCTTTCAGTACAGGGGCATTGTGATTGTTGGGGGGCACATGCCTCTGGTAAAGTACTTTTTCACAAAACTGCTGGATGTAAACAAAAAGAAATGATAAATTTATATCCAGATGCCAATCCAGATACTGTGTTTCTGTGCTATTTTCAAGCTTTGGCGAAATACACTTTATATATTGTACCAAAAATGCTAAATTAAAAATTACAAAATTACCCATTACTTATTAGGCCTTGATCATTTGATTTTCAAATTGAAATTAACTCTCAAACAAAAGGAAACATTGAAACATCCTTTGTTGTCTGAGACAGGAGTTTTGAACACCCCCCCCCCCCTTAAGTTTGCTTAGTTTGTGATTAAAAAGCTCCTTCTGGCAGTAAAAAAAATACTAGCGGAGGGTGTAGAGGGTGTGACACCTTCAATGGATCATAATTTGTTTCAAAACAAGTCAGAAGTATATCAGACCATCGATATCGTAGAATCTAGAACCTTAACCTGATAGCGTATGTACAGTTTGCTGGGCAATGGGGACCCTGGAGGGGGATCAGTGGCTGCAGTAACTGCTGTCTTTTGTTCCGTCACCCTTGGTTTCTGTTCTCTAGCATTCTTCTCATATGCTAACCGAACATCCAACGTGAAACGGGTTCTAGTAGTTACCAGTAATTAATAGTATTTGTAGGTGTCCATAATTGTTTCGTTAAGCTGTTACCTGTTATATGTTTTTTTATGTTAATGGCCACAGGGTAGTCATTGTCTTTTGCTCCCTGTGGTCCCATCCCTGTAGTGTTGTACACTTTGTAAAGTAATTTGGAAGTATAGTAGGATGTAGACATTATGTTAAGCATGCATTGTAAAAAGTTTATATGATATGAAAAAAAACCTCTAATTTTTTCACCAGCTGATCAGTAAATCTTCAGTTGCTCCAAAAATCCTTAGTTTTTCTATACAGGAAAAATATTTTTAGATTTTATATGCTCATTGAATAGTTCAAATTCAGGGGCCACTGTTTATATTTCAAAGTCTTGTTTATAGTATCAATAGGTATGTATTTAAAATTTTTTCTCTACCTTGAGGTATTCTGATGACAAAGTTGAGAGTCAAACGAAGCCAGAGCTTGTTGCACTGTATGAGGTTGGTTTTAATAATTTTCTATCATCATTTTTAAAGATTAGTTTTCAATTCCTGAAGTACTTGAGAATTTTCAGTAGTCGTTAAGAATTTGTTGATTATTTCGTTTTGAAATTGTGTTGTTGGTTTGACAGGAATGATGGGAAAATGCTTGTCACTGTCTTTAGTCAAGTCAGTTTCATTCTTCTGTTTCAGAGACTCAAGACAAACATGTCAGAATGTGATGTCTTATTACCAAAATTCATCAAAATGGCAGAATCTATCAAGTATGTCATAGATTTTGAGCTGTTTATTTGTAGAACAATGCTCATTTGATACATCATGCATTCGCTTGACTAAGCATCTGTTTAAAGCCAAACTAACCTTTGCCTGTCTATTCTGTACGTCCACTACAATGCTTTAAAAAAGGTACAGAGGTCTGTATTATCTCTGGAGGCAGGGGGGGGGGGGCGGTCGGAGATCAATGGTCTTTTGTTCTAAGACATTGGGAAATGTGATATCATCTTATTAAAAAAAATAAGCTTGCCCCCGCCAATATTTGACCAAGTGTCCGCCTCTGATGACTAGCATGGATCTTATGTCAAAATGCATGGGGTTATCTAAGGGACTTCAGCTGGGGAACACGATTCTATTCTAAGTAGAAGAGTATGTTCTCATAAAGGTGTTCAACAGTGCATTGCTTTAAGAAAAGCTAGGCAACTGTGGCTGGGGGGGGGGGAGGATATTACCCCCTGTTAAGTATATTGAAAGAGGCCCTGATTTTTGATGGGTTATTTTGTTTATTCCAGCATTGGTGAAGCTGAATACAGTTTAGAAACAGCAACCGAAACGAGAGTGGAGTTGTTTAAAATGTTTGAATTTATTGATGGCTTGAGGTAAGCAAAGTATTTAAGTGCATTTTATGGTGTTGTTTTGTTGAAAGCTGCTGCAGTGGTGAATAATATAAGGGAGAGTAAATCGCTTATTTTTAAAAGGTGCAGCAGAAAAAGATCAAAACGATATTCTGAAGAAAATGAGAAAAATTGTGTAATATTAATCACGATTAAAGAGCCTGTCCAACACTACTGATAATTTAATGTGAATAACACAAATAATTTAAAAGTTAAGAATAAACTGTTCTCAAAGGAGATCAAGAACTGTGACATGTACGTAACAACTGACAAACCATTCAAAGAACGAGAATTCGTAGGGGCAAAGATTGCCTAAACCAAAAAAGGCAGTTGGGCGTGACAACGTAGGTAATGAAATACATGAATATAAATGCTCGATAAAAGTTGAAAATGTTGATACTTAAGTGATTAATAACGCATTACAGATCTGTAGTAGTGCCTATCAAATAGAGAAAATAATTGAAAAAACAATATTTATAAAGAAACTAAACAGACAGTTAACTGGTGTGGAATATTAGTAATTGCTGGTATTTCTGAAATCTAGAAAAAAATGTCTAAAAAGACAATCTTTAAGCATTAAAATAGGTTTTCAAGGAGCAGATGCAGGAGGCCGGAAAAAGCGTTAAGCCTTGAAGACATTGCTGTACAGAAAATTGTTTCTTTTTCAATGAATTGATGTCATGCTTGCAATCAATGTCAGTATTCTTAGCCTTAAAAGTCCCGCTTGGCTGTCGGCTTAGTTTCCCGTTTCTTTTTCGTATTGTTCTATCTTTTTCTCCAAGATTTTTCTGTTCGAGCCAGGCATCAAAAGTAGCACTCCTACCATCTTCATAGCAGCTTTATATCAGAAAAATCCAGTCATTCTCATTCAGATCTTCCGCTTCTTTTTAGTGATCAAAAGTTTTAGCTCGTAATACTTTTTTGCAACATAAGGAACAACGTTTTATTGCTATACTTGCTTTTATCTTTTCTAGTAAAAGGATTCAATTTTTGGGAACAAAGGGAGAAAAGCAGCCCCATCCACATACACTGAAGCTACAGAGGCAGATAAGGAACTTTGCAGCTAATTACCTTCAAGCGTATATGTTCACAACGCCTTCAATACCAACCGCAGACCAATATCGCGAACTTGTTCGTATGAACGAGGAGAAACGAGCGAGGGAAAGGCAGGAAGAGAAACAGCGGATGATTAATGCGTCCCTTACGGGCAAAGAAATTCCAGGTGGCCAAAGGCAAGTGGCCTCAGTCCCGCGGAAAGGGGCAGCAGAGAGCGGGAGTCGGGCTGTTGCTAATGCACAACCGCGCTCGGCAGCCGCCAAATCCGATGATGACTCAACTACATCAGAAGATGATGGTGGTGGGATACTAGGAGGGATCTTTACGGGGGCTGGGTTACGGTCGAGGTTCAGCAAGAAAATTCAAAAGCCATTCACGGCTGTATCAATCACAAAAACAAACAATAAGGGTTGGGGGCCAGTTCAAGTGACTATGAGTGAGTCCCCGGACCCAATGATACAGCAAATGGATATTATACGGGGTTACATCAAACAGGCAAAACAAGAGAGAAAATTCGAAGAAGTTGCCTTATTCGAACAGAATTTAAAAGAGCTAGAATTGGAATATATGAGACAAAGGCAAGGAAGATGGTAGTGTCAATGCTAGTGTAGTTGTAATTATAAGGCGCTTTTTAAGTTGGAAATGTTTTACGGTGGAATGGTGCGTTTATAGTCATGTCAGGTTTTTTAAGATTGAATTTGTCCCTAAGTTTTATCCAAGCATAAAACACCCAAAAGTTCAGAAGCCTCACCCGAAAGTTTTCTCGGAAAAGGTTAATGGTCGTCTTTGCGCAAGTGCGTACATTACTTATTTTATTCAAACAATCTTTTGGTGGTACAAAACTTGAAAATGGCTTTCACAGTAGTGTGTAGACAAAAGGAGTTCGTTTTCACCTTAGGACTCCATTGGTAACATTCTCAATAGGCAAGCGGCACTAATTGGTCAACCTCAACAGTCATGTGCTCGTGTTTCTAATTGGCCTATTTCGATCCACAACTGGGTATATATATTTCCTAGCGTAGAGTTTTCGATCTATGTTCTGACGTTTTAAACTCTGAATAGTGTCAGATGAAAAGCTTTAGTTTACTAAATGTTTGCTTTTTTCAAAGCTACTTGCTTTATTCAAAGCCCCAAACAATAAACAAATGGCAATTTCTGAGAACAAAGAACAACTGTTAATTTTTGCCCAACTAAATGGATAAGTCCTGGACAAAACTCTGGCTTCAATCAGCGGCTCTCAACAAATATTTTGTTTTTGCTCTACCATGCCAGTTTCTGATATGACGGTTAAAAGAATAACTTGTGCTCAGTTATTAGAGGGGCGCTAATTTATCTTTCAACAAACATTTCTTCTGCTCTTAGTTTTTTAAAATTGCCTTTTTAAATGTTAAGACCTGTACTATAGATTTTTGTTGCAAATTATGATTGTTGGTTAGAGCTTTTGTTATTAATTTTCTTCTATGATGCTCGTACATTAATATTCAAACTTTAGTTCCCTAAAATTTGTCTCCGTACATTGCATAGCTATTGAGACATTTTTTGAAGAATCGAAACATTAATGAGGTAACTCTAAAAGTGGGTATTACACCAGTACCATTACCTAGACCAGTTCTAAGCTGCAACTTCAAGTTTAACGCTTAATGCGATCATTAAATCAGCTGTTGCCTTTTGCCTGATGATTGCATTAGCTTAACCTCAGAATTGAGACTTAGAACCATCCTGTTCTATGCAGTAAAGCGTGTACAGCTCTGCCTTTACGGCATCGAGCACTATTTGACCGATCGTTAATATAGTAATTTTCCTATACAATTACCTTATGCAGCTATTCAATTTGTGCTATTTGATTATAGATATAGATACAGTGTTTTCATTCTGTAATACATGAAGTACTTCGTTTGCTCTAGAAGTGTGCTTCTCTCCAAGGGCTATACTTTATTTATCTGCGCTAGGTACGAAGAGGACCCATTTTAAAGTGTTGTCTTTGACGCCATATCGTTGATTTTTGGATAAGCAAATTATTCATAAAGCCAAATCGAAGTTTCGTGAGTTGTAAATAGAAATTTTCTCTGGAGATGCTGACTATCAAATGTGACCCATGCCTTTGTCTTCATTTTGTTATAGTGCCCTGTTGTGACGATTAATTTCTTGCGAAGTTGAAATAATGTGAAGAAAAATGTGAAAAATATATTTTAACAAAATACGAACAAGGCTCAAACCTTAACAAATATTTTACAGAAAGGTGCGCTTTTAGAAGCCATGCACCAGTAATTTTTGACAACTGGCTCTGAATAAATTTTCCTGCTAAAATTATTATTATACCATTTTCAATGTATAAATGTTTAATTAAAAATGGCATAATAATATGTATTTATTCCGTTTATATGTATAGTTATGTGATTGCGTATAATATTATGTGATATTGAAATGAACTATTATGTAATCAAGTATGATTTCTTATGACGACTTCAAAGCTTTACACGAAATGACTTTTAGGAGTAATCCTTTTACGTTTCATTAAGTGAATAATTTTTTATAAATTCCAGCCAATAGCAGAGTTCAAGAGCTACTATAAATATTTGACTTTTTTAACATTTTCACATTTTTAACATTATGGTAAATAAATTATTTGGCTGTATTGACGTAAATCTTTAATTTAAGGAGCACCAATGCCCAAGGCCTTGCTTGGTAGCAGGAGATACTTGTTTATCTATTACTATATGGATATTAAATTCAGTATAAATATCTTTATATGTTCACCCATAGAATCAATTAAGCAATTTCAAAAGCAGAAAACTCCTTTGACGGTAAATGGGACCCAGAGAACTCCTTTGAGTACAACGATTCGAGACTGACCTGTCTAGCCTAGCAAGCATGTATATTGCAATGTCTATTTCTTACCCCTTTTCCCAATTCAAAGGGTGCACTTTTTAATTGCAGGAGGATCGATATTGAACGGGGGGAGGCGGTGCAACATCTCGACACACTCTGCCTAGGGTTGTAGAGTTTTAACGAAATTCTCTAGCATATTTTATGAAAGAATTTTGATAGGGTTTTCTCCGTTTTTCGGCCTGGATTTGCTCTTAAATTGTTCCATATTTTCTTAACTTTTATAGTTTTCCCATAGAAATATGGATATTTCCCCCAGTGGCGGAAATTCAGGCTTTCGTTTGGGGGAGGGGGGTCCACACAGCGGCGGCGCCAAGGGATGGTATGGGGGGGGGGTAATTACCTCCTGACTTTTCTGAAAATATGGTCTATATATTTCTTCTAAAAATGAATTAAAAAGCGCTGGGTAGGGGTAGATCAAATTTCCCAAGGAAAGGGACGAATCACTGGAACGAGGCAAGAGGGGCGTGGTCATACTGGCCCATTACCCTCCCACTCTGTAATAGCTGGCGCCGTCACTGGTCCACAGGTCCACGATTTTCCGACAAGTAGCATATTGGATCATACATTAAAAGTAGTATGTCTCAGACGAGCTTTCAGCACATTTTACTTTTGTTAATTACCCGACGAAAGCTTGAGCCCCCTATGCCCCCCCCCCATAATTTCCCCACAAGAGTAGCTTTCGCCTCATTTTCGCATTCAAAATTGTCTCGTTTTCAGTAGACAATGGCGCGGCAAGGACAGTTGACTGAAATCTCTGTGGAAGCAGTCCTCTACAGGCCATGTAAACACTCGATTGGAAATACAACGCAGAACATAAGTAGTATTTGAATCCTGCAGGATCTTTTTTCAAAGTGTCTTTAAATGATAACAGAATGAGTAATGAGCAGCTCAAAAACGACTCGAAGGTGTGGCCTAGGCCCAACAGACCAGTGACACTATTGGATGTTATAGGGTCAAAAACACTTGAGTCTAGCGATCCTGCAAACACAACGGCAAAAAACAAGCAAGGGGATGGATGCAAAGACTTTTCTAGTGGTCATCCATCGAGTTATGATGCAACGGGATCTTCTGCACAACAAGAAGAACTAACGGACTATATAGCATCTGATCTGGTAAGGCCAAGACCAAACAACGAAGTTCCAGCATCACACTATCACTATGGTGTGCATCATGAAATGGCCGAACAGCATTTGTCTCATGTACCAAGTGCATTATTAGATCACGATTTTGGCTTCTCTGGCAGTAATCAGACCCAAAATAGTCAGCTTTCATCTGATTTGAAGAGCAAAAATGAAGGGGAGATAAAGAAAATCACAGGCAATGTTGATGAATTGCAGGAGGCAGAAAAGAAACTTGTGTATGAGTCCAAAGAAGAGGCAGGTAAAACCGAAGAGGCTTCTGTTGAAAAAGAGAACGGAGAGTGTAGTGGAGATAGAGAAATGGTGTATTGCATATGTAGAACAAGTGATACTGACAGATTCATGATGTAAGTAAGAATGGGCTAGATTAAAAATATATTATCTGTTTTGTCTGGCTAAAATCCAATGTATGGTTGTGAATCCATGATCTTGAGCAATGATAAGAGGTTTTTAATCATATTGGCCCAAAACCAGTGGTGGCGTCAGGGGAGGGCTAGGGGGGGCTACAGCCCCTCCGTCGGAAGCATCTAGCCCCCCCATCGGAGGAAATTTTAGTTTATTGTCGGAGCAAATTTGACAAAATAACGTGCGAAAACTGCTTATATTAGTCATTTTAGCCCCCCTGTCGGAAGCTCCAGCCCCTCTGTCGGAAGATTTCTGGCGCCACCTCTGCCCAAAACTCCTAGTTTGCTAGCATCAATGATGGATGCTATGATTCATTGGAACTATGTCATCTTTTAACCTGGAATCCACCTGCCTCTGTTGCTCTACAGGACATGTATGACAAATATCGAACATTAACTGTAAAGAATTTAAAAGTAACTTGATGTTTTAAATAAGTTTGAAATGATAAGCAGTTACCCCAGGTTTATTTCTAAAAATGATTATTATTCTTATCTTCAGAGGATGTGACAACTGCTCTGAATGGTTTCATGGTGACTGTATAAATTTACGAAAGCACGAGGCCAAGAAAGTTGAAGAGTGGTATTGTCAATCTTGCTTAGGTATAGCTTGTCAACACTTGCCTTCAGTTCTGTCTGAAAATTTGTACATAATTTGTATATTTTACTTAACATTTTCTTTGATAAAACTTTCCAATAATTTTTAAATTTGTTGAAAGATTTTAAGTGTTTCTTTATTTTTCTTTTGGTTCATTAATTGTTATTGATATTCAAAGATAGTGTACTCAAAGTTACGAAGAAGTATCTATAGGTCAACAGTGATTAATCAATTTTTATATTTTGATTCATTTGATACCGTTTGGTTTTAAGCAGTTTATTTAAAATCATTTATTTTTTCAGAGCAACAACCCCATTTGGAAATCAAATATAAGGCTCAAAGAATTGATCCTGCTGCAACTCATGATTCATCTTCTCATAACAAGGTTAGAAGATACTTTTCTTAAAAAAGATACTGTTTTATATCTAGCATTTATACTTTAGATACTTATGAGATATTTCATTATGCTATTAAAAAGATACCATTTGGAGTGAACAATTTATTTATCTCCTGTGGCTAACATAAATAATAAAAGTTCCAGCAATATATAAAAGATAATTGCAACAAATCCAGCTTGATAGGGGCATGTTATGTGCCGAAAGTTTAATATTTTAATTAAACAGACCACTTTCGTGAATAATTTGTACATTCAATGCTGGTTATTTCTTGTAAATGTCATTAGCTGTCATCATTGTTATAAAGTTAAAGCTGTGATGGGGACTTGTTTAAAAAATTTGTATGTTTGGATGGCTGTTATATTTCAAAAACTGCAGCAAGAAGTCATTGCACACGATGCAGTGGAACATGATCCAGGGGAACATGGTGGTCAAATGATCAAAGACCACAGGGAATAAAATGAAAACAAAATACATTTTATATACTAACACACCTAAATTAATAGCTTTCACCTAACTTAATAACTTTCATTGCCTGATTAAATGGTTGATTCAATTGAAGCTCTAAACTTCACTGCTTCATAAGTAGCCCAATTGTTATCCTGTGTATGCATAATGATTTTTACATATATGTTGGTTTTGGGAAGACATAGCCTATTGATCCCTGCATGGTATCATCTTTGTAGTGCCAAATGATAATTTTGATATTAATGTATTACTTTAGTCCTTAATATAATACATTATTTAGGTACATTTAGGAGTCCTCTGCTACCTTCTTTTAATAATTTTTTTTACCCTAAAACACATAGTTGTTGTTGGTCTGGACGAGTTTTGAACAGACATTAGAAATATATATTTTTATGGAGAAATTGATTTTTAGAAATGCTCTTTCCCCTGCTAGCAACAACTGGCTAAATCATATTTATCCATTTGTTTACAATGATTGATGCTGATAGCCAAAATAATCTCTCAGTTATTTTGATACTAGAATGAACTAATATTGAAATTAGCTGTGCATGATTTCAGTTTGCTATCACATTCCATAAACATCTTGCTCAAGTATGAATGTCCTCCAGAGTAAATAAAGCAACTAGGCTTTGTTTGACAATGACAATTGATCTACCATTTAAAATACAATGCATAGATTTTGAGTTAAATGGTTGTCTACTTTTAAAGTTTCGGTAAACGTTTCTGACACGATATTTGGTTTTGCTATTAACGGAATCAGATTAAACTATACATCAATCGATGCACAAGAACGTGGTGATTCCAACCATATAAAAATAATTGGCAATTATTGTAAAATGATACTTTCCAGGCAAATTCATTGCTTAAATGAGTGTACCACCTTCAAAAGCTATTTTCTACCCTTGCGTTTGCGGTAACAAAATCTTACTTATATCAGTAGTAATCGCAGATCCTAAGCTACCAAATTATGTCTCATATTTTTCAAATTCCTCCTCCCCTTGAAACTATACCCTGTCAATATTTGGCAATCCATTTTTCTTCCCTGTCATATCTTTATTTGGCTATAAAAAACGGACCTGAGAAAATACAAAAATTTTGAGACACACTTTGCTTATCCGACCTCTGCCCTGGCCGTGTGCAAATTTTTGAGCCATTTGATTGCTACATTGGGTACAAAATAGCTTTTTCGTACTTGTATGTAGAGGAATTGTGAGTCCGGAGAAAACAGGATTTTGCTGATCGCACTTTGAAGATACACTCGTAAACCACGGTGTAATCTTGGTCAAGTCATTTGAAGCTTTAAGATCAACAAGCCTGATTAAATAAACATTGGATACATGCGATAATGTAAATGAGACATGCGACCACGACCGCAAAGCAACGATAATCGGCTTAACAGGTCAAGAGATTTTCAGACCTCAACTAAAAGTTTTGATAAAGAAATTATGGAAACCTTCGTTTACATGGGATTTTTCCTTTTTCAAAATTTCTTTTATTCTCAATTTTGGTTTCATTGTGTGCCTTGAAATTTCGGCTGCTTGAATGTGAAAAAATCGAAAAATGGATATTTTCATCAAGAAAACGTTTACCTTAACCTTAACTGCTCTCGTCAACTATGGGGTTCATAAAATTCTTTTTTATTATAGAGAGGTAAAAGAGTATCAAGAATGTGTGGCGAGTGTATTGCCTGCCAGAAAACAGATGATTGTGCTGAATGTGATTTTTGCAAGGTTTGTTTACACAATCTTTTTGCAATATCTGAAGTCCTTGTTTTGCATGTGCCCCCGTTTTGAAAGCCTTTTTACTAAAAAATGATCCTCTTTTATCCAATGGCATATAATGGCAGTCTGCTCGAAGTTTCAACTATTTCATATATGTATGCATATTATGGCCAGGTTTTGGAGCACTGGATAGAAAAAGTTTTCTTAAGACTATATTATGTATAAATTTATATTCATGACAATTTTATTTTAAGTATAGATGAGCTGACATAGGTGTCCTTATGTTTGAAAATTTGCAATTGTCAAACATCTAGACTCCTCATAAAAATAATCTGTATTATTTACGCCATTTTATGAAATGCACATCTTCATTTTATTACTGATATTTTTTATTTCAGGATATGAAAAAATTTGGCGGAGAAGGAAGATTAAGACAAAAATGTAGACTAAGACAGTGCCTCAAATTGTCAAAAGTGAGAGCCTGCAACTTTGTTATGACCAATGAAATATTAACACGGATAACAGATAATTTCCACATCAAGTCTTTTTAATCTTCAATTACAATGCTTGTCTTTTCTCTCGTAGGCACAGGCAGTCCTTTTTTGAGAAGAGCTTAACCATAACCATGAACTTATTTCCGATTACCACTCTGTTAATTTGCTACTCCAAGCCTCCATCCTTTCTGTCTCATTTATCTTTTATGATATGATCCAAATATGGCATTCTTTGTCCCTGTTCACTTTGATCTTTTTGACCCCTTCAAATTTCAAACTCTCACTTATGCAAGCAGGACTAATGTTTCTGACAGCCTTTTTTATACGTGAAAAAAACAGCATAATTGAGAACAAAATAATACTGAACATTTTTTATTTCCGATAATCCACCTTGTCCAATAGCCTTTATGCCATTGGTTTTTAGACAGAGGCCTAGGGACACTTGGTCATGCTTTGCCTATTAACAAATTAACCACTTTGTCCATAGTCCTAGATGTGTCACTGTATCAGCAGTTGCAGAATATTTCGACCTCCCAGTTCCTTTATGCAATTGATAAAAATTTTCTTTTCTTGTTCTTGATTTGACTAATTAATGTTAAAAAAATTTTGGTAGTTAAAATTTTCAAAGAATGTCTAAACTTGGTGGAGTTATCATAAGTTTGCCTAAACGGTGATGATTTTAGAGCAAAAAACCTTTTCATCAACCTAGGAAAAATTCGAGTTTTCAGATAGTTAAATTATCGTAATTCAACTGTATTTATCTATACTTCCTGATTTAACTGTTATTGTGATAATGTTAATAAAGTTATGAATGGCATTATCTCTTTTTTTCATAGATTCTCCAAAAGAAACCAGGGAGATTTTCATTCCCTGAAGAATATGTGGAACAATATCGACAACTAATGGAAAGGCAGCAGGTGATTGTCCCTTGGTTTATAACGATCAAATTAAGCTACAAAGATATTATAATGCATAGTTTGAAGCTATGTAGCTTGTGTACCTTATACATAAGATCACTTTGAGTATCAAATTATAATTGTAATAACACGAACCATGACTAAATCAAACTGCATTGTCAATGAGCAAGCAATTGTCAATGAGCCAGCAATTGACAAATTGAGCAGAGGCTCATTGTCACCCGTCTTTTTTATATTTAGAATATCTTGACAAATAGTATGCCGTTGTAATTTTAGTGGAGTTACAGCTTGAAACTTTATAGAAACGATTAAAGAACAGCTTGAAACTTTACAGAGAATCGGAAGACTACGTCGTATTTGTGAAAACGCATAACAAAACAAAAATAAAAACAACAGATTTTCTTGCCTATTAAGTTGAACGATATACTTGCTATTGCGAAGTTTCTGTGAATCTTGAAAAAAGTTTACGAAAATTTGGAATAAGATTATCGCTAGAACATATGCTGGAAGTTCCCCATTCCTAACTAAACAATTATATTTGCTGTCACTAGCATTTTCATATGTAAAGTACTCATTTTGAAATGAGCAAGCCGGACTCATTAGATGAATCAATTTTGTTTATGTTACATAGAAATTGTTGAAAAGAGTTTTAAAAAACTCGTGGGCGCTTGAGCAAGGACCTAAACAGTTTTAAGAAAAACATTTTCAAGAAAGTCTTTCTGATAAAATTAAGAATTTAACAAGCAAATCAGAATATAGGGCATATATAATTTCTTCCGCATATAAAAGAATATATGGATCGTTATTGGCTATTCGTGTCTAAAGAATGCATGACTTTTTCATAGTCAAGTGAATACAACAGTTCTGAAAATCGAATGGATGACCAGATGAGACAACTAGATCGCAAGAAATATACCGGTTATAATTACAGCGAAGGAAGCCGCGATAAGCGAAAAGCAGTGAAGGTTAAGCATGCAAAGCAAACCCAATTGACAAAGGAAATGAAGGTATGTAGAAGCTGTATCAATTATTATAGGGAATGCTACATTTGTAGTAGTCAGCCAATTCAGAAAGTAAAATAAAAGTTGTTGTCCTTGAGTTATTGAGTGATTCTATGCACTTCTTGCTTATGCCGAAAGACAAATCTCCTATGACCTTTCACCTGAATCCTATGACCTTTCACAAAAAATCCAAATGACCTTTCACCTGATAGCTTGTCTGATGATTACCGCGTTTATTGATCAATTAAATTTAGTTTCAAATTTTGGACGTCAACACGTCCCAACACACTAACAGCATCCTTCATTTTTTTTTATAATGATCCTTAAGTCAACTACTAATCAAATTTTGCATATATCTTTGCATTAAACGTTTGTTAGTCATGAATTTATATTTGTGAAGTTTTTCCCAAGCAGGCTTGGTTGTCTCAGATATGTTCATTCAGATGAAACAATTTCTACTTTGTTCAAAATGTATTGCCACATGTATTATGGATTCCATTCACATTAAAAGATTCCTTTCATATTAAAGCTAATTGAAATATTTATATAATTTTTTATTTCAATAAAAGAATTCTAGTTATGTAAAAAACTTGCTGATAGAAAATATTGCCTTGTTAGAGAAAAGACAAAGAATTTAGGGACTTGATGAAAAAAGAATTGCGAGAAATGAAGCTTAATGACCTGCAAAGGAAGAAAGAAGAGAGAGCAAAGCGAAGACAAAATACTGTAGCGAATAAATCAAGAAAAAGGTTTTCAGGGGCTAAAGATGATTATGGAAACGCAAAGCGCCTCGATGCCAAGAAAGAAGAGCCACGTCATTGCCTCGGACCAGGGTGTATCAAAGCGGCAAGGTCTGGGTCCAAGTATTGTGGTGACGAATGCGGCGTTCAATTGGCCTTGAGGTGAGCTTAGATCTGCTTTATTTTGCTTTACGTGCTCTTGTTCTTCTTTTGCTTCTAGCTTCACCTTGAAATTAGATTGTATTTAACTGGGCCTGTTAATGATGGAGGGGGAGGGGGTGGGGGGTGGCTGATGTGAAAATCCTTTTTTGATTGATTGCTATTAGTTGAAACTGAGTGGCAACTTAGTAATGTTTAACGCAATGTTCGATCAAAATAAGTCTTCGCGAGTTCTGATCAATTTTCTCACAAGATTTTTGAGCAGATTGAATGCTAACACATCACTGACGAATACATTAGTATCCTAAAGCGTTCATCCTTTAAAATGAAAGAAGAAAGCCCGTTTCTGTAGCTGGCCCAACGGCTTGTTATATATGAAGGTGAAGCAAATATGAAACACCGCAATACGCCGAGAATTAACAACAATAAAAACACGTAAATCAGTAAAGGCTAATATATGCAGCATGTCTCTATAGACTCGGAATTTGGGGTCTAATGTTAAACTTAGTTTATTCTAATCATAGCATAAAAGAAACGCAGAGGCAATACTCTTTTTAAGGACAACAGGTTTAAAGATATGACTAAATTTAACTGCTATATGTCGTAACTGCTATATGTCGTTACTGAAAACATGTATACAGTAATAAACGAGAAAGAACTTTTGATCGACTGCCAATGAGATTTCACACCATTTGATTTTGGAATAAGTGAAGATAATTCTTATTGTCTTACATATTCTTAGGAGATTGCAAGAAATTCTTCCTGAAAGAAGCAAAATCTGGAAAGAAAGTCCATCTTTAGCAAACGAAAAGGGGGAAAAGGCTATCGAAGAAATACATAAACAGCAAGAGGTATTTTAAATGAAGAATGATCATTATTTTTGTTATCAGATCATCAATAGTATTGAATCATTCTGTTTATTTAATTAAGTCTGTCATATTGTTCATTATTTTATTTGTTATTACCGCCTTGTATTTGTTTTGTTGTTGTATGCCTTCGTATTTATGAATCTTGTTTTGTTGTTATATGATTGAACCGTGTTTTCCTAAAATTATTATTTAATCATTTCATATTTTTACACTTTGCAAATTGTTTAAGGGCATAATTTTACATAAAGCTACCAATTTATGCATTTTTTTCTAGTTTGTTATATTAACAGCTTTTTCCAGGAAATTTATCTTTCTCGTTAGGTCCTTACTCTGCATTTTTCATGTAAAAAATACTACCTTGCCTGAAATTATGTAGCTTTTTTTAAAATATCCAGCTTTAGATTTTAGATATACCCAAAATATTAGCTCAAAATGTCATTAAAAATTATTTCATATTATAACTTTTTTCATTCCACAGGTTTGCAAGCAGAGGTTGCTGGATCTGGATAAGGAGTACGATGAGTTCGAGGCTATCGTTGAAAAATCGAAAGTTCTCACGATATGCGAAGAAGAGGTATGCTATATGCATGCTGCCCGTCATTTTTCAAATTTATGTGAACCAAATGTACCTTAAAGTATCGATATGCCTCTTACAATGATACCTGGCACGTACTACCCAGCCTAGCCCTACTGCAGGTCTTCACTATTGTACTAGAGTACAAGGTCCCTCTGCAAACACTATTGCTCTAGATTTCCAGGTCCCTGTTCCAAAAATCGAGTGACATGCGGACCGAAAAGTGCCATAAACACACCTGGATCCGTAAATTTTTAATCGAGAACATGTTAATTTGAAATGCACGCTTCATGTGCAATATTTCTTTCCCTCCTTCATTTTCTAGAGGATATCTTCAAAACACGATTCATTCTGCTTTCCTCCTCCCTTCCTACTTTGACATATAGACCCTAACAATAAACAAATGTTATGGTATTATGGACAAGCCCTTTTAGTAGATACTGATGAAATCATAGGACAGACCGCACAAGATTTGTGAAGATAAAGTGATTGCAAGAGTTTTCAGAGATTTTATAGCTTTCAAAAAAAATAAAAACATAAAGTAAATAACAGTCTGAGGTAAATAAAAGTTATCTAGATAAAAGTTAATAATAAGATAGGCAGAAGAAACACGAAATGACAATAAAGCGCATCCAACATTGAGCAAACATTTTAAGAAACTTTTTCTTGACCAACTTTCAAATCATTTAGCGAAGGACAGAGAGAGTAGTGTCAGTTCATTTTTTCTACAGAGGGCTACACATTCAACTTCGTCTTTATAATGGCTACTCCTCGTAACGTTTCTACAGTGGCTACTCCTCATAATAAATTTTTTCGATCCAACAAACTATCGAGCCCATCCATATCATAAGTGCTACTTTTTTCTGTCAAATGATTGAAGTTTTTTGCCAAAAGAACAGTAAATAAGATAATTTTTTCTTTACGCTGATTCTAGCTGCCTTTTTGCTTGATCATAGATGTACTGGTTATTTTATTTTCTGTTGTTCATGTTAGGATAACGATGACGTTGAGGGGGACATTGATCTGACTGTCTACTGTGTAACCTGTGGCCTTCCACTTGCTCCAAAGATTGCTCTTCGACACATGGAGAAGTGCTATTCTAAGGTAACGTCATTTGTGAGCAAAATTTGTGCTTATGGTCATCATAGAAAGCAAATGTTTTCATTGTTTTACTTATTGTCGCTTACAAAATCTTTAGAATCGATTAGAATATTCATATTTCTATTTAGGTAGTGTTTATTTCTGTTTTTGGTAAAAATCTATGACAACTGAAGATTTGAAGCATGAAAAACTTCAAATTCAAAATGAAATAGTTAATCCCTCTAGTGATTTTAGGGATACGTAATTCAAGGTCTTTGCCAAAAGTCTTTCTATGCGCGTGCTTAGTTGTTCTGGCTGTCATTAAATGGTATTTTACTTTTCCTTTTGACTTGCTTTAATCTCACAATCCCTTGCTATCGGAAAAAATTTTCATAGTATTTTAAGGATGTGACTATTGATTAGTAGTGTCAAGTTACACCAATTTTGTAATAATGAGGGTAACAATGATAATGTATTTATTGAAGTTTTTTAGTAGTAGCACCCTGTTATTCATTTGATATTTCAGCTTGAATGTTTGACATCTTTTGGTGCTATGTACCGAAGTGCAGGGTGAGTTCATGATAATAATGTTTGGCAACAGCAATTTTTTTCCATTAAGCCAAAATGAGTCTATGTTCTTCTTTTCATCGAGATCCGTTACTTAGGTAACTCGACATTCATTTTTTACTTTTTAAATCACTTTAAACATTTTCTTGACATTATCCTCGTTGTTTTGAATCGTTCCTCTCTGCGTTTTCTTCCCCCACAATTTTCAAATTTATTTTTTGTATATACTGAGGTATATCTTTCCTCATGCTTCCGGATTTGGAAACCGAAGCAAAGTTTGGAAATCTTAGCTTACTTTGGATTTATAAATCTAGCTTATTTTTCAGATTTCCTTTAAACTGTTGCTCACCTGGATAAACCCAAATTTGTGACAAATAGTGGTATTTCCGCGAGCTTTCCATAGATCCGCTGATTTGTCACAGATTTAAATTCTCGTGATTTATCATTGATAAATGAAAGCCCAGGTGGTTCTTTAAGATCGGCCAGGTGGATTAAATAATCAGCTGACTATTGAAGTTGTTTTCATATCTGCACAATCCGTTTCTTATCTTGCAAATGTTCAATTTCGAAAAAATCATTTAGTCGAATATAGATTATTGATACGGGCTTTTCAGGCATAATCTTTTAATTCCCAAAAATTTTCAGCTCATAGTGTCCTTTTGTATGGAATGTTTAGCTTAAATTTTTCTGATTTATTATAAGCTAACGTCGAATTTTTTTTCATGCAGCAATCTTTTTTGTGACACGTACAATTCGCAGCAAGGATCGTACTGTAAACGCCTAAGAGTTCTCTGCCCGGAACATACCAAGGATCGCAAAGTAAGTTCGCTTTAAGGGTTTGTTTAGAACTTTAGAGCACCAGAAAGGCGGTGTTTGTGTGCCTTGTATAATTCAATTTTAGAAAAGATAAACTGAGGCAAATAGAAATACTAGTTTAGTTTAGTTGTCTGACGTAAAATGATAAATATTACCATGGGTGGTGTAACGGGAAGGGGGCAAGAGGACAGATTTGAGGACGCTCAGGATATTAGTTATCTCAGATTTCCCAATAACATCGCCATTTTATGGATTTCTTTAAGGCTTTCCAGCTCCTTCCTTGGTTAAGTAGAATGGCTCTTACGCTCTGATATTACGATCTGAAGAGACCTAGAATATATTAAACAATAACTCAAGATGAATTTTCAACAAAGTTTGATCACACGATAAAGAGAACCTTAGTTAAAAATTCTCCTTAGCCTCTACAATATTTATGTTACAGATTTTTGCCTCAGTACTTGCTAGTGCTGAAAACATACGTTTTAGGACTTGGGTTCTTTGAATAGGGGAGCGCTCCAATTTATGATGTAATGATCGAAATAACTGGTTGTGGCGTGTCGAAAACAGTGCTTCTTAGATGTGTTTAGAGGCTTTTCATTCAGAGTATAGTTCATCATCATCAGGTACCATCTTCTATCAGAAGGTTGGCTACCATGACTCTCCAACTATCCCAAAATCTGAGTTTTGGTTGGTTGTTTTGGTCATAGATAAAACTAAGGGGCTAATAGTAGAGATGGGCCTCCAGAACCACCTCTACAGTGTTTTAAAGGGACACCATCCCTCTTTCGAGGAGTTCTTCCACCCGAAGCCGTTGACCCCTGGAGTCGTAGCTCATCCGCCTTACTTGCTGGTCTCCCGCCGAGTTAGCCGTTGGCAATCGCTCGTAGCCCTGAGCTAGGGAACCCTGCCAGGTGGTACTAGTCGGGTCAGACTGGACCTGTAAGCTAGTGGAGGGAAGGGACGCTTTAATTTCCCATTCATGTCCTGTCGGAGCATGCCACTGCCCTTTGTTAATTAGAGTATAGTTGCCTTTGTTAATTAGAAAGTAGCGCTTTTACGAAAAGATGCAGTATAGAGGACGCAGAAAGTTTTACATATTTGAACTTTTATTTTGTTCATGTTGTCCCTTATTGAAACTTTTTATATGGCATTTGAGAAATATCTAAACGCCTTCTTGCAGATTGGCACAGACGAAGTTTGCGGCTGTCCATTGAGTGAAGGGAAGCCAGATGAAATAACAAAGTTTTGCAGAGCACCAAAGAGGAAATGTGCTAAACATTATTATTGGGATAAACTACGCCGAGCGGAGATTGATCTTAAAAGATTGCACGAGGTATGGATGTGTGGTTGTTTGGGCTTTAACCCAGCGACTAGAAACCTTTATGTTTCTTATTCAATACTTGATTGTGAAGCTAAATTCGAGCAGACAGGCCACTATCTGCTTCTTAAGTCGCTAGTACACTTTTTCATACTTCTCTTAAAAATTTACCTCTAGTGTAAACGGACAATAGGCAGGCCCATGTTGCGGTGCTGTGCAGTAGTTATCGACTGCTTCCAGCAGGATTTTTTTCCAAGCAATTTATTGCTGTTACAAAATTTAAGAGCCGCTTTTAATAAGAGATAGGGTATGAAGGCTATAAGAGGTCAGATAATCATCGAAAGCTCTAAGCTAGGAATTATATGTAAACAAATTTGGGTTGAATTTATTTGTGCAAGCGAGTCATGCAGGGTTTTACTGTGAAACCTACAATGCCTGCCAAAATACTTGGAAAACCCAGCAATTTGCGTTGTATATATTATATATTTTTCATTCCTTTTCCAAAGAAATTACTTCTTCTAACCCCCTGTTCCCTAGAATAATTTCATCTGTGGCTTGTAATTCAAACTTGATTGCCAACTCTTGTTTGGCAAACAATGAACATTATTTGTGCTGCTAGCTTAGAATAAAGTTTAATTTTTTTATTGTATTTTCTAGTGGTGGAAGCTCGAAGAGGGTCTAGAACAGGAGCGAGCGATTAGAATGTCCATGAATTCAAGAGGCGGTGTTGTTGGTATTCTGCTTCACCAAACTATTGACCATACGAAGGAAAAAACAAGTTAGAGACAGTAAAGTCGTGATGACGTCACTGATGCAACTATCTCTTGAATTGTGGCATTCTGTTTATATTGTATAAAGTGTTGTATATATTTCTCATTAAAGAAGACATTGTTTTAATAAAGTTCATGTCACATAGATTCGTTTCCTGAAGAAAGCGTATCTTTCCTTTTGTGTGTACAGAGTTATTTGCTCCAACATGCAATACTACTCTTGAAGCAAGTCTTCGTCACATTGTGCTTGGCTATAAATTACAAAAAGATAGACGATGCATCGAATGCGCATCGATGCATGACAGCGCAATACACACCTCGGGATTATTTGAATGGGGATTTTCTTTAAAGCGAGCGAATTTTCTTTCTCCTAAAACCTCAGCCCTATCTTAAATTCGCTTATATTCACTGCGGTGTAACTTTTACAGTATTTCTAATTTCCTCATGTGTAGAGGCAGATTGTATTTTATGGTCCTTCGTGTTGTTTTCGATTTGGAGTCATTTTCGATTACAATAGTCGTTTTAAGAACATTTGTTCAGTGCGATTTAGCATCAGTGCTTTTTAGTTAGGGTTTGAACACATTTTGCACATTACCCACGCCTCTCGTTAGCATGACTGGAACACCTGTTATCCATGATGATCGGGCTTCATCAATCAACAAGATCAAGCCCTGGTGCCCTATTCATGTATGAATGTATGAATGAAGATACCCGCTGGCCTTGGATTTGTTTGCGACTCAGAAGAATTGGCGCTGGGAAACCACCTTTCCTGAGCTCCTTTTCTGTTTGTTTTTTAATCACTTTGCGACCTAAATTCGGCATTCTGCATACTAAACGACGATGGATTTGCAATTTTGGAACTAAAATAGATAGCTCAGTTTACTTTGGAAATCAACAGCACTCTTTGTCTTATGGTAAGCGATTTCTGTTTCTTTAAGAGATTTGTATGTTTACTGCTTTCTTTAAAAACATTCCCCATCTACCCTGATGATCATAAAGATAAGATTGTGATTTTTGTAGATTCGTGGCATATCGGTCTGCATCCAATTCTTAATGCATAAATTGTATGTCCAATATAAGTAAGATTGATTAAAAACGAAAAAATATAAACACAAATTATCACAGTAAAACTATTTTAAAATATTATAAAGACTGGACTCGGTACTATAGTTTTGAAAATTTTTCTATAGGCACTCAGCACTGACGGGACAACCATACCGGTCTTGTGCTTGTGTTTTTTTGATTGCCCTATTTCGATCCACAACTGGGTGTATATTTTCGATCGTGTTCTTTCGGACCCTCATTCTGACGTTTATACTCTGAAAAAAAAGTATCAGAAGACAAAGCTTTCAGTAGTATGTTGTGAAGTACTATAGTTTTAGCCCTTAAATTAAATGCTGCATCTTAAATTAATTGCAACTTTTGTTGCAAAACATTCAGGTAATTGGTTTTAATTGTGATTCTGTACGATCTAAAGAACATGCTCCTAGCCTCGACGCTTTGAAATGCCTTGACCTGTGCTTTCTATACTATAAATCTTCGAGGCCTTATATATTAAGGACCCAAAGAGCAGGTTTATAAGGTTTTGTTAGAAGATATCGTATGTAGGAAAGGCCTAAAATCATTAATGTTCATAGCTATTGGTTTTGTATATTTTAGAAGTGGCTTGTTTCACTAATTTATGCACTAATTTCAGAAAGGTTTCAAAAGAAAGAGAATTTCTAATGAAACTTTGTCTGCTACGAATTTGTAGTAGCTAGTTTATTAATGTCTAGGAATTTTAGAAGCAAGAACTTTTCTGATATTATTGGATAGAACAGCCCTGCACTAAAAAATTACGATATTTCGAATGTTCTATTATTTGATGGACATTTTTTATGAAGAAAATGTTTTAAACGTTTCGTTTTATCGCAGCAAGATTGCTACCAAGTTCCATCCACTTTTGATCTTCATGTTTGCTACATTAAATTTCTATGAGGTTGCGAAAGCTACATTTTCTTCTAGTTTGCAGTTATTTTGCATAGTCTTGCAGCAATACCTATCGTCACTTATATTTCCTAATTGCTTTGTCTATTTTAGACGCCCGATTACTGAATGTTCACCGATGTTTGAAACCAATGCTGTATTGTGCAAGATTCATTCTGCCGTTTGTTGCAGTCATACATGTTGCGTCAGGTGGGTAAAAATACCTATTAACTTAGTATCATCGTGTTAAGCCTAGCTGTAGGGGTATGAACAAGGGGCATCTCAGTACTAATATCTCATATGCAAGGGGTGGTCACTGTATGACATGAACAAGTGGGGACTGTGACCCCCCTGCATTCGTCACTGCTTATAGGTGCCAACAATAATCTTTCTTCAAGTTTTCCGTTGACTTCCAAGAAATTTCAAAGTGCAAATATGAATTTTACAGATCGAAGTCAATGCTAGAGTTACTTTGCGTTGTAGAAAGCTGTCCGTTTTATGGAAGTCACTTCCACATCAGGCTTTTGTCTGCAGGAAAAATCATTTCTACGTTGCCTCAAGGTTTCCGTCACTGGAGGTGTCCATTAACTATGGTTGCACTTGTTGTACTTTACCGAATTACTTTTGATACTCGAAATAGTCCTCTATAAATTGTTGGAATTTGTTTTCGATAATTTGAGATGGTTTAAATAACTTACGGTTTATAGATGACTGTCAAAATCTTGTAATTATGCAACGAAAGTTTTCATGTAACTTTCGACATATTTAGATATTCAATTTGTACCAGATCTACAATAGGTAACAAGAGAATAGGTAACAAGAGAATAGGTAACACGCAAAAGTTTATTCTTCGATTTAGGTTATCACTATCTTCCCAACTGAAGAACAAGATACGAGGGGCTTATTTGAGGGGGGGGGCTTATTGACAATTTGTAGTTCTAGGGTGGGGCTTATTCGAGGGGGGGGCTTTTTCGAGGAGGGGGGGGGGGGGCAATTCGAGGATTTACGGTAAGCAGAAAACTAGCAAATGATGCAATTCCCGACGCCACATGTTGGGCAGCTAACGTAACACAACATGTCACTGGAAAGGACATTAAACCCTTGATCAACTAGAAAAGCTCCCTATTAACACCACCAAATACGTATCTCATAAAGAATCATAGGGGGGCTTGCCTGTTCATGATTGAAGACATGCGTGCTCAATTCACAGAACAAGGACTACATGGACATTAAAATTCTGAGGTAAAGTCCTGGGTATACGGATAAAAGCTTGCACTATTCGGGTCTTTTAGCTTGGAAGGATATCCCTACCACGATCAATGAGCATTTTGCGCTGCAATAATTTCAAGAACACCTCTAAATACACTTGAGGAGGTGAATGTGACTCCCTGGCAGATCAGCTGCACCCTTCTTTAATTAAATTTCCATCATATATTTTTCGTATGCCTGTTTTTTTAACTTTTTGCTGAGGGGGTTTTTCTTGTATAAAAAATGTACAATAATAATGATAAAGTATTATTTATTTTGAAGGTTGCTTATCAATAAACGTGATATATGGATTTTTATCTGAGTTCGTTCAAGAAATGTTCTTTTTCCTTCTAGGCATCGACATTCGTAAATGTCCTCCGCTGCGGCTCCCTGTCAATGGCTACGTCGTGTGTGACCATCTGATTGGTGCCTTCTGTGCGCCTGTCTGTAACCCCGGTTTCGTTCACGAATCACAACCGGCTCAGGCATATGTATGTAACCCTATGAGAAGGGCCTGGGCAACCTACCCAGGGGGTTATCCATTACCATGGCCTGACTGTGTAAGAGCAAATACACGGTGAGTGCTTGGTGTGTATGGTGTGAACAATCTTTTGTTGGAAATAACCAATCAACGTCGAGTTTGCTAGTTCTAGAAAAAACTGATTTAAAAGTACTTTTGTTAAAACTGCTAAAATATGATTGATAAATGACGATAAACTTGAGTATCTTGGGCGTTCCCACCTTCGTTTTAATAACTTCATCAACATAACATCTTATCGTTGGAAACCTTAAATGATGGTCGAAAATGAACATGTTTTTTTCTACAGAGCTAATATTGCAAAAGTAGCAACTGCCACGAAGAAGTCAATAGTTGATCAACAAAATACGAAAGCTTCAGGGCCTGGGACGGGAGAAGGGAAGGAGTCTCTATGGCAACGTATGCTGAAACTTACATCACAGCTAACTCAATCAAAACTGAAAGGGGAGACTGCAGGGGCAGCAAGGTCGATGCAGAGTTCCACTATTGATGCTGACAGAAATGCCTATGAGCCACAAACCAGCCAAGTAAACCCTGCATTAGGCCAAAACACCAACAACAATTATTATAGTAACATCGCTAATAACAATGTTAATACATTTAGCAGAGAACTACCTTCTTCCTACCAGCAGGCAAAAGACGATGTCGATGACCTAATGAGAAAGCCGATTGAGTACAGGCGTCTGCAGCAATACTGGGACACGTATTACAAGAGATATTATGAGAGTCTTGGGCTCAAAAAGATGCCTGATTGGATGACACGGAGCCCCTGGAGCAATGATCCTGAAAGAGTGCAGGGGGCGCTTGATTCTGATACCACAGGCAATGGGGATGTCCCTGGTAACAGCACTGTATATCAAAACTGGAACAGTTATCTACAGAACTATTACCAATACCCTGGGCCTCCTAATTATAACGAGACTTTGTTAGATGGAACATTAAATTCCACTATTGCACCACCTAACAGCACAAGCGAATCACTTATAGAAAATGTCATTGAGAATGACCTCTACTCGAAGGGGCTTACGGACAAAACATTGAATCGAGACCTCTATTTTGAAGATCAGCTGATACACAATGAAGAGAAAAAGCGACCTCGTCTCAACTTATCGCGTTTTGTCCCAACGACACGGCTAAGAACAACAGTTTTAACCACGACAGTAGCAACCACAGCGGGCCCTAGAACGACCGCTAGTACAACAACCGGTTCAATGAAAACCGGTTCAATAAAACCCGGTTCTACAACCACTGATCATAAAACGACTACTCCATCGCTATCACAAACAACAACTCTTACCTCTTATAAAACAACGTCCTACCCTTATAATCCCTCGAATTACACTAGTGCTTTTTCCGAAAGTCAATATTTCACGCAAAATAATGAGACGATGGCACGAACAAGTGATGCAGAAATTGCAAAGAATTATTCTTCAACAACTCAAGAGGGTATGTCTGCAGCCGGTTCTGTTAAGCAAAATGCCACTGATGATTCTTATGCTAGTTATTTGAATTCGTATAAACAGTATATTGATAAATGGCAAAACAACACAAATCCTAAAGTGAGCAAGCCTACGAGTCAAGCTGGAGCACAGGCAGCGTCGCCTTACGCGGGTTCTGCGAATGCAAGCTCTTCTCGCGGGAACTCTTCGTCGAAAGCTAGAAAATCTGGAAAGAAAAACCCATGGAATGCTTACAAGGTATCAAACTTCGCGTCTTCACAAAACACCTCGGTGACAGAAACGAACGATGATGGACAACGCCAGCAAATTCAACCAATGACAGCAGGCGATGATGCTGACGATGACGATGATAACGATGATTTGGAACGATTGGATATTTCGACGTTGGTCCGGGAATTGATCAAACTGGAGAACATCCGCAAACGGAAAGAGCTTTTACGGCGGAAGAAAGTTCAGCGTGAGAATTCCAAAGCAGTGGCAAATTTGCTGGTTGGTGATCTTTTTAAAGGGTATTTCAAAACGAAAAAGCCCATTTCACAAAAGGGATTGAAGAAACATTTGCTTCATAAAACAAGACGTTTAATTAAAACGAAAGGAAACCAATCACCCCTTCCTAAATTCAGTTGATAATGCGATTAGTTATCAAATAAATACCAGTTCTTTATAGTTTATATTTTTTATGAGATTCACCAGGTGAAATTTTGCAAAATTGAATTATTACTTTTCAGGATCTATTTGTTCATCAAGCCAGCTTCTTCTAAGAACAGATGAATCCTGTTGAGTCGGGTCTTTAAGACTACCATGGCTTAGCGAATGTCTGACTTATCCGCGGTAGATACGACATTTCACTTGAATGGGATAGGAAAATCGAATGGGAATGGAAAATCAGTCCGACTTAGGGAAAGTCCGAAATGTCCGTGGCACGAATTTAGGGGATTCAACTGTAAATGTAATTGTACACGTAAAATGAGTCGCGGTAAGATCCATATGAAGTTGAAACACACGTTAAAGAAAAAGAGTGTTCTTTTAGGTAGCCACTCGAATGCGTTGTAACATTTCGTGTGCTTCATGGGCTGGTTAAACAGACTTTTTAGGGAAAGGGAGGAGAGGGAGGGAGAATTTAGCTGATAAGAAAAGAGGTGTGCCTCAAAGATCCAGGATCCACAAGAAGAAAGTATATAATGTAGAGGGGACAGCTGGATGAAGGTTGAGGCATTTTGTCACATTCGGTACTTTGTTGTAGTGACAGTGAAACGGGTTCATGTTTTTAAACTATTTTCATAAGGGTGGGCTGCCCTGCTGGTTAGCAAAAGCTTACAATAATGCAAATACGGTCAAGCTTTTACCAGTTGTTTTCAATTTTGCAATTTTGATTGTTAATTTTTTGGCTTGATTTTAATTTTGTTAGTTTTAAAATGAAACCATATTGGAGTGGTCTACTGATATATTAAAAAATTTTGATTCATTTTTCAGCCTTAAAAATTTTTGGCCTCACAGTCGTACTGCTTTTCAGCTGGTGATATTTAGAACCTTTATCGATCTTTAAAATAGCCAGTTAGTAGATTAGATGTCCAGTGAAATCTATGTCAAGGGAACTTCCCATACTGATGGCTAGATAAACAGTTCAACTGGGTGACCCAGAATCAGAATCAGTTACAGCATTATTTCTGCGTATGTTAAGAACAATCAACAGATTTTACAATTGACAAAACCTATGACTAGCAAACAGGAATTTGATGAATTGATAAAATATGCTGTAAAGCATTTTCTTTAAAAAAAGGTTATTTCATTGAATCTATGACTTCTAAATTGAGAATTAAAGTGAAACAGCTTATGTTGTTGCTTTTAAATAATAATCTATGTACAAAAATAACAAGCTTTGCTTCTATTTCATTTCATTATTAAACCCAGATATTAATGTCAGTGATAATAGTTTGCTGCCAAAAATGGCATCTTTACAACTTCTGTGGGTATTTCCTTTTTATACACCTTCAAAATCATTTTTGTTCCAATCTTTGACTGACCCAATGGAACATATGCCATAGCAACATTTTTCTTTAAAGAAGGAGAAGGACATCCACTTGTGACGTAGCCTGTACAAAAACAACAGTCAGTATTTTACCATAAAAATTGTGTAAAGATTAATTGGCATCATCGCCCAATCCTGCTATAATTTGGAGCACCCAGCATTATAGGGTGAATGAGCAATAAAAAAAATAAACAATATTAAAAAACCTCTATCATTCAGGATATCAAGAGTTGGTAAGTATAAACATGCTTTGTTATTCATAATAGGATCTCAACTTAAACATTATCTCTTTTCATTTTCCCCTAAAGAAAAATGAAAGGATTTTTCAAAAAGTTTATGGTATTACAGTAACATCACCACAGGATTTATTATTAATTGACAATATACAGATTACCAAACAAATCTATGACATTTTGTTAGCAGAAAACAGAAAAATATCAACTATCTTAGTGTTGGGTATAAAGGATGACTTACCTATTTCCTTGCCTTCTTCATTAAATACTTTTGTGCCTCCTGAAATGTGGAGTATTTATTTTATATCAGAAGAGACATACCTTTATTTCAAGTGAATGAACCCAGTAGTTAAAATATACCTCTCAGCTTTATGTGCACCCAGATGGGTAGGAGATCTTAACAACAAATGTTTGAAGAATATAATGTCATGTCAAATTTGGCCTGCATATTGCAAATTGCCTGCCCCTGTCATATCAATACTTTGGGATTTAAATGCCACATGTTGGTATTGTCTAGACATTTCATGGGCAACAGCGTATGTCATCAGAAATTGATTAGCTAACCTCTTGCTGGGGGGCCACTTGACAACAAACCAACTCTCTTCATCTTTGGCTTTGCTTTAATCTGATCCAAAATGATTTTAGCACCTGGAAAATCTTTCAGAGTTCTTCTTCTTTTCCCTATTATAATAACAAAAGGAATTGTTCACAAGCAATACTACACTTATATTTTCATTGCTGCTACAGCTTCTGACCAATAGTGGAATCAGTAAGTTAAAAGGAAAACTGAAATAAATAATAAAAGCTCTCTAAAATTTTAGATATAATATGAAAAGATTAAAGGAATATTTATATTCACCTATGGTCCAGACAAGAGTAGCCTCAACTGGTGTTGTCTCTTCATCGATGTCATTTCCATACAAGCAAAGACCAGCTTCTAGTCGTAAACTGTCTCTTGCTCCAAGTCCAGCAAGCTCAACAACTTCTTTTCCTGAATCAAGAAAGGCCTCTGCTAGGGCAACAGCCTTGTCACTCGAAACTGATATCTAGAAAGGTATAAGGACTGACAAAATTTTGTTTAAAAAGTTAAATAAATCTTGTAAGCAATTTGTAGTACAGGATGTGCCTGATAGAGAGGATACTTTTCCTGGGCCAACAGCATGATGAGGAAGGGTGACCAGTTCCTTTTCGGGTACCTTAAGCCTAGTCAGGGTTGCCAGCTAAGGATACTAATTTACTTTTCCACGAGTTCTAGTTTCCATTTGTACCAGCATTCAAATTATGAGTTGAGCCTAGATTCCAACTGCCAGTTTCCATCATGCAGTCTAGCCCTTTAGCCACTTTGTCCATATAATTATGTACTTAAAAATCTACTGAAAATAAAACTCACTTCAAATCCATCTTCTCCTGTGTATCCACACCTTGTAATTCTACATCCAGGTATTGAGAAAATATCGGATGTAAAACTGTTCATAAATTTTAAACTACTAAGGTCAGCACTCACTCCATTTTGGAGAACCTTTGCAGCTTCTGGCCCTGAAAAGCATGTGATGTAAATTACCATCTAATATGTTAAAATTTTTGACTCATAAATGAAAGTGATGTAAAAGAATAAATATTACAAAAAAAAATTCAAATAGAGTTATTGTGTAAGACAAACCTTGAAGTGCCAGTAATGATTTGTCATCTAAAAACTCAATGGCCACATCCATGTCTTTCTTTGCATTGTTTACATGATTCTGGAAAGAATTTGGCTTTATATTGATGATGATTTGTTTTTCTAAATGTATGCAGTGTGATAAGATTACAGGTTATTGTGCAAGCAGTTTTCCTTTTTCTATGCTTACTGTTATGGACGATAATTTATAAATGCTTACTGTTTTAAACAGATTTGTGCGCATTACCTATTATTGGATATTTGTACATTATCCCATAGATAGATGGATAAGTTCTTGTCAAAGTTCATTCAACTCTAACTGAATCAGATTGATAAGTTCAGGTTTATAATTTGAGCTAAAAACTCTGAATTGATTGTCATATGATAGCAAGATGCTCCAAGTTACATGATAAAACAATTTAGAGAGACCTTAACATAACAATCAAAACATAACAATCAAAACTTCTTTGTATCTGGACTATGTCACATTTTCAGAATATATGTTTAATGAAAATCTTGAATCGTGTTGTATATGCCATAGTTGGGTTGGAAACAAAGAAAGTGAGGAATACTTTTTTAAACAAATTTACAGTTATATATACTGTTAGTGCTTTTGCACACTGGCACCTGAGATGCTGAGGCCATTGGTAGACCCAAGATCTCGTCAAAACCAGCCTCACCCTGGAAGCTGGGGGTCTTAATATATATAAATACTAACCAATAATAACAAATATTTCTTGTAATGACCAATAAAACAATGTTTACCTCAACCAAAGGCCTTATTTTTTCTGCACATCCTGCATTTGATACAATATATAGGCAGTCCTCTAGTCTGTTTATGATACAGTCATCCCTTATGCCACCATTTTCATTTGTAAATAATGACAGTCCTCCAGTGTTATCACTCAAACCTTCCACATCTGCAACAACTAGCTGTTCAAAGCACTTAATTCTATCTCTTCCAAAAATCTTGAATTGCAACATATGAGAAACATCAAACAGTGATGCCTTCTCTCTTGTATGCAAATGAGACTGGACAATACCTAGCTTGTACTGCACTGGCATCGAGTAACCAGCAAATGGCACCATCTTCCCTCCATGTTCCAAGTGGAAATCATACAATGAAGTTTTCTGCAATTCAGCCTAAAAGGATAATTGCTTTAGAGTTATAGAGGCTTTGATAATCATAAAGGTTTCCCACAGAATTCTCGAAAAAGCTACATTAACATCTGTGGAGTATATTTATAAATCGAGATAAAAAAAAGGAAAGGTACAGGAATGGTAATCTTTGCAAGAGCTGTTTCAACGACAGCCTTCATACATACCTGTTCCGTTAAGCTCCTTCGCCACCTAAGCGACTTGATGGATTTGGAAACGCAGCCATTAAGCAACAATCTGGTTTGTCTTTGCATTTCTTTAGCAAACTGACGCCAAACAAAAATTACTCCTCTGCCTCTGAAGATCTGAAGACAAGACAAACTTTGCAGAAATGCAGCCTCTTTGTCAAATTTATGAATGATACTCGAATACGAGGTTCAATGTTTCTCCTTACATTTATCAATTTTTGTTTTAATCAAATGAAATGATATATATAGTCTAAGCAACAATTTCAAGTTTTTTCAGCTATAACATACTTTTTGATGTATTTATATCTGAGAAATGCCTTTGCATCGTTGCGTCGTAATCAGGCACCGCCCAGCCATTGGGCTAGCAGGGGCTATAGCCCCTCCACTTTTTTGCAATAATAGATAAGAAATATTGGATAGTCTACTCCTAAGAAGTAGTAGTTTTTCTTGACTGGGAACCCTTTCTGTTCATTTTCTATGTGTTTTTCTTGAAGTTTAATTATCCCCAAGCTAATTTCACCTACTTTTATAGCTATTGACATATTCTCTGAACCAGGGGCGGATCTAGACGTTCGCACCGTTCGCACATGCGACAGTCAAACTTTTTAAAATTATACTAAAAGTCCGTCTCGAAAGAGACTTTTCCTCAACAACAACTTTCTCGCATATTGACGAATTTCCCATTTGTGTTTTAATTGTATTTGCTCAGGAATTATGCTTCAGTTATATTTGACAATGGACACCGTGCAGGAGCAGAAACATCCAAGGTCTGAATCATACCGCGTACCATTCAGCACCAGATTCATCCCCAGATTCATCCCCAGATTCATCCCCAGATTCGAAAACTTGCTTGTACTGCTCGAAATGTATCGAAATAACAATGATTAGCAAGAAAATATGTTATTTCCAGAGTTTCCTTTCTATTTCCACTCGATAAAAATTTTTTCTTGCCAATTTATTTTTGATGTTTTTAGCGGGCCTAGGCATGCGTATTTTCCATCCCCAGATTCATCCCCAGATTCATCCACAGGGATACCAAACGACCACAGGGATACCATTGCCAATATTGAAACTGCTTGTACTAATGTATCTATTATAATTATATACAAAACGTAACAAAACTGGGAATTATATACAAAACTGATTATAAAACAAGGCTTAGTTACTGCAATTACATAAACTAATCAACATTTTGGTTAAAATACATTAATATTTAAAAAAAGAATTAAATCAAACATTATAATCGTACATATTTTCAATCGTAATATTGCTACACATTCTCTCGAATTATTGTCATTTTGACACATCTCATGCTGTTTTTAGACCCATATTATACAAAACGCGAATCTGGGGATATACCTATCTGGGGATGGAAAAATATTGGCAATGGTATCCCTGTGGCCGCGAATCTGGGGATGAAAAGTACTGCCTAGGCCAACAAGCAACATTGGAAACAAAGTGGTAGAAAAGTGACATTTATCTAGTAGAAATTGACGGAGAACCGCATATTGCTACATATTCTCTCGAATTATTGTCATTTTGACACCTCTCATGCTGTTATTAGACCCATATTATACAAAACGCGAATCTGGGGATGAATCTGGGGATGGAAAATACGCATGCCTAGGCCCGCTAAAAACATAAAAAATAAATTGGCAAGAAAAAATTTTTATCGAGTGGAAATAGAAAGGAAACTCTGGAAATAACATATTTTCTTGCTAATCATTGTTATTTCGATACATTTCGAGCAGTACAAGCAAGTTTTCGAATCTGGGGATGAATCTGGGGATGAATCTGGGGATGAATCTGGTGCTGAATGGTACGCGGTCTGAATCATGTATGATTCAAACCTTGCCATAAACACAAGCAAAATCTTAAACAAAATCTCGAATTCTATCTCTATCTTGATTCAATCTGATCAAAGATTTCAAATCTCAAAGCATCCTGATTAAAAAACAACAGGGTATCAATGTAGTAAGATTAGGGTATTTCGGTGCACAGTATGATTAGTAGCACGTTCGCACCGATTCGCACAGCTTTTGTTTTAAAATATTTAGCCAACCAAATTGCTAGATAGTGCGAACTTCGGTGCACAGTATGTTTTTTAGTAAGGTTGCACCACTGGGCAAAGATTAATCCGTCGACATTGTGTGCTTTGTACAGTTTTGAGCTTATTTATTCCTGGCATGGGGAAGTTTTTCACTGGAGAAAAGGAATTTTGTGCTATGGAGTCGACTCCTGGTAATTTGGAAGACAAGGGTCGCTAGATTTTCAGAGTAACATTCGACACGGGATGTTTTCAAGTTTCGATATTCATTACTTCCTCCATGGATCGAGGGCCTAGTAATGTCAATAAATGCACTGGACTGGGGTGATACCTGCGATTTGGCTCTGGCGAAGAAATAATGTTCAGGACGTTGGCAGAGTGAAATTTTTATTTGGACAAAGCTTTCAAAGTGAATCTTTTCAATGTGGATTTTCAGTTCTTTATCAACTTTCAGATATTTCTGGGTAATGTTTACCTGCTTGGGTATTCCCCTGAATTCAAAGGGGTTTCTTTGGAGTAAATTACATGTTTACAAGCTGATTTGGTTTAGCTATTAAATAATATTAGTTATTAATGCAGGTTTTCATGAATATTTGTGTAAATTTGTTCTTTTTGAATAGTTCTGAAAATTCATTGCAATAATGTTTTTCATTTTTTTGTGTGACCTCGTTTGTCATCGTATACCATAAAAACAAATCAAGAGAGACAACTCGAATTTTTGCCTGATTATGAAAGGAAAACTGTGTCAATACGCTTAAGAATAGAGTCTCTTGATTTACGCTTGGCTAAAAAAAACAACACAAGATTGATTAGATTATATGAGGGTGGATGAGTAATTGAGACATAGGAACATATGAAAAGCTAGGGGGCATGCTCTTTTGTGTAAAATTTGTTAATGATTCTGTAGGATCAATTGAAAACTCAGATAGGGAATAAACAACAGTTTGACCATGTTCTAATTGAAGCCAATTTAATGTGCACATCGACTGTTCAAATGAGAGGGGGGTGAATATCCTTAAAAACTATGGGTGCGGTCACGAATGATTTTTTCGACCACACCCTTGTGTGCGACAGTCAGAATACTTTCTAGATCCGCCCCTGCTCTGAACCATAATGTTTATATAACTTCCGTAGATTAAGCTAATGTTTTCTAAAAGGGCATTTTTCGGCGTTCTAGAGGGCGTGGCCTCAAAAAATTTCCGGTCACGCCTTTTCAGCCCTCCAACATTTAAACTGGTGCGCGGTCCTTGATCGTAATGACTTCGAATAACTTTCTAAACCTAAAGCAAGATTAGCACAGCTGTGGAGGAGGTTTCTCGCTGGTTGCTTGAGAACGAGGGTAAACAATATGGACCCATCTTAACCATTTGACTTTTGATCTAGATGTCTTGAAATTTTCTTTCCCAAGGAGAAACCACTTCAAGTATCAATATGTCATCGATAAAGAACTGTGACCCAAGACTTAAGGCATATTTGCTACGACATCGTTTGCCAGATATTTTCGAGGTTTGTAACCATATTTCATATGCCCAATAATTTTCAAATATCATGGCACACAAACATCACCAAAAACCAACGAAGGGTCTAAATTTTTTATTAACCAATGTTTATGGTTAGGATGGTGGCTTGTTCTTTCTGCTATCTTTTAAAAGAATAAGCATTCTATGAAAATTTGCTAAAATGGTCTTAAATTTTTTTATGAACAAGCAGTATGATAGATGATAGATACCGAAAATAATTAAGAATGAAGAACGATTTGATAATAAAGAGTTTGATAGTTGGCTCTGCCTCTAGGGAAAAGATGATAAATGCATCCCATTCGCACACCTTTCTATGGCTGAATGCTTCAATTCCATGTTGTTCTTTTATGTCCACTCACAATTACATGTCCACTCACAATATTAATTATTGTCATAAAAAATACCTTAAATGATTAAAATTGAACAGAGGTTTTGTGGCCTTTTGAAAATAAATGGGTTTTAAAAAATATGACTGAAATGACTGCACATATGGCATATATAGTCAAGAACAGATGTTTTCTTTTTTTTCATTTCAGTGTTTGTAACAACAATTTTTCTCTGCAGAGCTTATTAACAGCATTAGCTGTGAACAGGCCAGAAGATTCAAAGCAGTTTGTCATTGACAAGATAAAAGCCCTACTGAATGACAAAAACCTTTTGGAGTCATTACATTGGTAATAACAAGTATCATTTTCCATATCTGCTAATATGCAAGGAGATTTTAACATTAAGTTTTGCAGCAAATGATACTTTTGCATATCATTTTTGGATTAGAGCTGAGTGATATCACTATTCTAAACCATCTTGCAATTATCATTACTAGCAGTTTCATTCCATTCAGTCCAGGCAGTGCTTATGCAAATTTTGAGTGGGTGAGGAATTTCAGGTGTATGGGGTAAGGGGTGGGGCTGAGGGAACAGAACCCCTTATATTTCCCAGAATATAACTAAAACATCTTTATTTTGGCTTTTAGCATCAATGGGCCACCAAAACTCTTAACTTTTTAGCTGTAATACATGCTTCTGTCCCAAGTGAATGTAGCAAATATTAATTAGAAAAAAGAGAAGTTGAGATATAGTTTCAGACCAGAAATAATGCCCCACATTTTTGTACCAGGCATATTTTAGATGACTGCATCTAGTTTATCCCATTCTCCCATTTTGTGTAACCAGCTTTGTTGACAAAATGTGGTTTTAGGACTTTTAGTGTTCTTCTAATAGAATTAGATCAACCAACCTTTCACAGAGTCTCAATTTTTACTTGATGTATTCCTTTAAAAGCTTTTTTAGAAAATAATCATGTGAATACTTCATTTGGACTCTCATCACTACCCTATATATTTTATTGCATTAAGTATGGCTACATGGCTTACGTTTAATCACTTATATGATATCAATTGATTTAAAGGGATACATTCATTGATGAAGAAAAGAAACCACGAAACCCTTTTAGTTCCAAGTTTTCTGACTTTCTTTGGGCATATGAAGATGAAAATATGCAGGTAATAATAACAAAATATATTTCAAGTAAAGCAAATTTTTCTTTCAATAATTTTCTTTGGTGGCTTTGTTCATTTGTGAACATGTTTAGAATGTTTGATAACTTTGTTTAGACCCATTATCAACTTATAGAGACAATTATTACAGTACTCATATTTAGACTTGATTATTCTTGTATGAGTGCTATCTGATACCTTATGCCTTATGTTTTAGCCTACAAGTGAGATGTATGAAAAGGCATACAATTTCTATAACTTTAAACTAATGAAGATGTATTTTGGGTAAGTTATCTGTATTTATGCCTTACAACATCAATGTATTTCAACATGCATGATCATTTAAAAATGAATATTTATATCTTTTTTTATGATCACAAATAAAAATTTTTTAGCAAATATTCTGAGACTTCATGTTGCAGTAAAATAGTTTTTGTCCATTTAATTTTCGTCAAGTTTTAGATTAATTTGCTGGACCATATTTTGACATAATTAAGAAATAATTAACCTCCTTGGCCTATCAGCAATATTAATTTTTCTCAAAAATAGTGGTATAAAGAAGTACTGGCAGTATAAAGTGGAAAAGAATCAAGCATTAACAAGAAAGTTGACCTTTGCTCGATCATATTACGCAAACAGATTCACAAAGAAGCATTTTGATGCATTCCTTGTATCCTTTCAATATTTTCAGTTTTTTTGCATAAATAAGCCACTTCAGTTGATGGCCTGATTTGGGACATTTCACACTATTTTTCATAAAAATGTTTGACCTCAGATTAGGAATAAACATCTAAACATCCGTCTTGCTACATATATTTACAGTAATAGTGCCTGCTGAAATTTAATTTTTATAGCAAGATGAAGTTTGAAAAGTTTCTTTGTTTCTTCCTAGCATCTGAAGGAAGTTTTTTAGGACACTGAGAAGTTGTGCTTATCGAGCATTGTCCTGGACCACACCCCGTAATTTATAAAACCTGGAATTACAGAGCGCTGGCGATTCTCCTCACTCTAAGTCTTTTTTCGAAAACTAAGATCAATAAGCTTGATTTTTCCCTCTCTCTTCTGAATCCCCCCTCCGTTCCCTTGTTATGGCCTTGCTATATGCTTGCAGGCCTCTCCTCTAACTCACTACCAGCGAAAAATGTCAGCATTAAAATAAAATTTTAACTTGTTTCAAAACAAGGCTGCTTAATCAAAGTGGTGTATAATGAGGAGAGCTTTACGTGAAAACTCTATTAGAAAGCCTCATATAGTAAAAGAAATAGCTGCATCACACAGTACCATATCGATTATCTGATATCGCCGCACCAGAGACGTCAGAGGAGCTGTAAGGCAGGGGGAGGGAAATCTCCAAGAGAAAGGCAAAAAGTAAAATAAAGAATATTGCTAAGTTTCGCGAGGGCAAGGGGACAACTGCACCTGTGCGTCTTCTTGCTCAGGCGTTCCAGCACCACACCCTACGCAGAAAAATTATGGTAAAAGATCAACAACATTTTGTCACAATCTATTAGTGGATCCTTTTTGGACAAAGCTGAGATATGTTTTGATGCCAATATTCATGTTTTCCGTAAAATTGTGTGTTTTATCTTGACGTGTTTTTAGACATTAGTACGTGCTCAAAAAGAAAGAGAGTTTGGTAAGTTCATGTAGTATAGTTCTTTAAAGCTTTTTGCCACCTTGTAAACTCATAGTATTTTGTACTACACGTAGCCTTTTGTTCTTTTTATTAGGGTCATGCTTTGTATCTAGTGCTGCATTCATAACTGCTGCAACCGTTTATTGTTTTAATGCTATCTTTGACAGCTTAAATTTTTCATTAATTTGCTGCATTGAGTCAAGAATGTAGGAATGGCTTAACAGATATATATTTTCAAAGTCTTTAAATTTCGTCCGCATGATATAAAAACTTGATTGAATACCCCTGAATGTGTAAAATTATTAAGAATTATTACAAATGAAAATTCGGTAAAGAAAGACCTGACTTTTTATAAAGGATTACTGCCAAGTAATAGTGATATGCTAGGAAACAACCCCGTGTTCGTTTGGCTATACCTCAACAAAGACTGATTTTTTATACATGCATGGTTAAAACTTCTACCACTTCATTACTCTGCCATTCTATTTATCTGTGGTGCAGTCATTCAGTAGACCTAAGCCCAAGAATTATTTGATGCTAAGCTGCTCTTTTATGCTATTTCTTCTAGCGTTCATGAACAAGATAAGATATGTCGTGAATATATCTCTGTTGCGATTGATTTTTGATTCATGGAGACATGTTACAAATGATTCAAGGCGAACACGAGAGTACTTTGAGGTTAGTATGTCCGCGTCTCTCTACTCTGGTACTAGTCTAATGATTCTTTTAAGTTCTTTTTAGTAACTTGAAGCTGTCATGGCTTTTTTGTATCTTGGTAGAAACTGGGCTGGGGCAAATTTAATTCGGGGAGGAAAGAGCTGCGACACCACTTATCTTTTTTTCTGATATTTGGCAGTCCAAGCCTGAAATAGGTCAGAAGTGTCTCCTGAATTTAGGAATTAGAAGAAAATTAAATATTCGTGTAAATCTTCGTGACCTGATTTTACTTTATCTCCCAGTTTGAGAGAGAGAGAGAGAGAGAGAGAGAGAGAGAGAGAGAGAGAGAGAGAGAGAGAGAGAGAGAGAGAGAGAGAGAGAGAGAGAGAGAGAGAGAGAGAACTCACTCTATTGGTCCTGGTCTAAGAACCGCCCTGAAATATTAATCACTTTCTGATGGCATCAACCTTCACGATAGAAATTACGTTCTATCCTGATCGAGAGATAGTGCCTTGTAAAAACTAGCAGGCCTTGTTTTGTAATTATCTATTTGGCGGGAACAATGATTTATGCTCGCTTTTGACTGCTTTCCCCCTCCAACATTTCAGATATCAAGCACACTATCCAAGTTTTTTTCACTTTGAATGGAACACTTATTAATCATGTCAGTGAGGAGATTTGCCACATGTGCAGTAAAGTGTGTTTGACCTTTAAATTATTTTGGAAAATATGTTTAATCTTTGCTAGTATTTGATTATAGAAATTAGAAAAAGGGGAAATTCCTGATGGTGTTGAGAACTCTTCAGACGGCAAAGATTATATTTCTACATTTCCAAGAAAAGTTGCAATAATGGTAAGTACTGGCTTTCAAACCTTGAGAAAACTTTTATTTTACTTTATGTAGAAATATATATCAGTTTGGTTTGTTATCTTGCACTGTGCAGGCTTCAGTCTCATAAGCTTGAATACATTTGGTGGTTTTTTAAGACAATCAATTTGAAACGAATTTCAGCTTTATAATGGAAGCTGATTCAATTTTAATTAAAACATTTTTATCACCTTGCATAAAACTTATTATTTTAAAGCTTGATTTATGGTATTCTAAAGGTGATCAACAGATACTACAATGGCTTAAACGATATTGCAACCAACAACTGGCTGATCAGTGACCGTGATTCCATTCATACGGTTTTTTGATTGGCTGATATTGATTGATAAATGGCTGGAACCACTTAAGTATCTGTAGATTGCCTTTGAAAAAAAGTTATTCACACAAAAGTTTATAGTAGGGCCTGCAAATCTGCGAAATATACTTAATTGTCTACTCTTATAAAAAAGACTGCTAAACATCTCATATCCTTTGTGATTTTGTTACTTCTTTGCCTGGTAATTTTCAAATTCGAGATCATTCCTGTATCCTTGGCCTCGATCTATTCTATTTTTTTCTAATTTACAAATTACCCATAATTTTTTTTTAAATCCTGCCCTAAACTTTAGCTGTATATTGACAATGAAACCATTTTGTTTTATATTTTTTGGTTGAAACAATTGTTATCGGTGTCTTTCTTAGATTTTTAGCTATGTTGATCTTCCGGATCTCATCACGTGTTCACAAGTGTGCCGGACATGGAAAATGATCACCCAGTCTTCGTATTTGTGGAGTCGGGTATGTATTTTTCTGTGTTGTTCTGAATGACTATGCGAGTTGTTGTGCTTGCATGAAAAGCTTCCTTGCTCCACCTCATTTCACCCCAAGATGATTTTCTCTTTTTGACTTGAATTATGATAATACCTTACTTAATTTACTTTCATAAAAGTACTAATGCTAATACACGAAAAATTGAAGCAAGAGTTCAAATTATCGAGAGTATTGATAGCCTGTGCATTTATTTTTTAAATTAGCAATCTTTTATGTGTATTCTGATTGAATGCCTTTCCAGTGTTTATACCGTTTTAAATACCACGTAAAAATTGAAGATGAAAGTATTTCACATATTCTGTCATTTATCTTTGTATTTCTCGTACTAGTTTGTCAATATGAAATTTGATAACATTTTCTCTCTAGATTGATCTAACAAAGATTACAAAAAGGTGATTAGAGCTTTTCACTCGATATATATCAATATCTTGCTTTTTAAACTCAGGTCTTTTGTTGTGCAAATTTAGAACAAGCAGTAACTCACATTAATAGCTAATATTTATAAATATCATGTATACAGTAAATGACTTTTGGGATTTTTATTAAATTTATTCCAAATAATTGTGAAAGGATTTATTTTATTTCTGTTATGGCTTAAAGCTTTATTCTCTCGTGGCTAAAGCCTTTATCTGTCTCTTCAACCATTTTAAATTTCTATTTTCTCTTTAAAGGTATATCAACAAATAAAACGGTCTTTTTGATATACCAAAAAATTGCTATGCAGATGCTCAATCCTTGCCTGTTATGCTAAAATTTAATTTTCAATTATTTCTACGAAAAATACAAATTGCAATCGCTCGGTTGTTTTCTTTGCTTTGAAATTCGCATGAAAATTAACCATTTACTAATACATCGCTTTTTCATTTATCAAAGTTGATCTATTTCTATTTTCAAGGATTTCCAGTAAGGCAATAGCGAGTTTGATTCACAAATGTCGTCCTTTTCTGTGTCACTTAAATCTTCGTGGGATGGATATGGCCACTTCGAAAGGCTTGAAAACCATAGGTGTGTATTTGGTTATTTGCTCTTATAGGACAGCTTCAAATCATTGTTTATTTTAGAAACGTGTAATGTGTTTATGGAATAACCCTTACTATGAGGATGATTATTATTATCATCATGAAATTCTTAAAAGTTTGTTTTTATATTTTTGGTATAAATAAAACCAATACAGACCAACCAATTAATTTACCATGAATACCCAGATATAAAGAAGTAATACAGAATTGTTAAAATTAAGATTATAAATGGAATAGAATGTTTTAATTTTTTATATATTTGGCAGTTGCAGTTCTCTCCACTCTAACTTTTTATGCGTTTCTTAAAAGTGAAGTTGAATCTATTCATGCCTTGAATTTATTTGTTTTTGCTATTTAAGAATGTTCTAGGAAATCTGTAATTTCTAGGAAAAAAAATGTATCTTATCAAGTACATTTTTTATTTTTGTAGGCGAATGTCGAAATCTTCAAGATTTGAATCTTTCCGATTGCAGAGCAGTCACTGTAATTATTCAATACCTCCTTCTTCACGTACAATATTTATGGTCGATCGTAAAAAACTGTGTTATTAATAAACATATTGATCTTTGTTTGTTTTTTTCCATTGGCTTTTTGCATTGACTAGTAAATCAATTTATCAATTTTTAATGTTGTCTTCCAGATTTTTAATTTGTCTTCCATCCTCTCCCCCCTCCCCCCAAAATTTTTTTTGGATTAATATCTATGTTGCGTGATTTTCAGTGACAATCTTACTGGGACGCATAAACACTTCTAATGAAATATTCACATTGAACGATGGGGGGGGGGGGATATAGTAGTAGCGTTATTAACTTAGAGAGGTAGTTAAATCTTCAATATTAATCTTCAATGTCAACTTTTGAACGTCAATATTGTGGTATTAAAACTATTTGGGGAGGGGTGATATGTTCTTAAAGAGCATTAACAGTGCTCTGTGTTAGGAAATAAATCTGGTCAAATAGCGTTTTTTGATTTTGACAGCTCGACCTCTTTTTAGTCCTTTGTGTAGTTTTTGTTTCAGAATTTCGCTTACGCTTGTATTTTTAGGCTGATGTAATCAAAGAAATATCGATCGGCTGCACAAGTCTTTTGTATCTTAACGTTTCATACTGCTACCTTTCCGATGCTGCATTGCGAAGTCTTTCAAGGTATTTTGCATTGCGACTATTTTTGTCCTTTTGGGTAGTTTTATTATATGAAGGGAGAAGCTATTTAAAACAGATTACTTCTTTGCTTTACTTAAAGTACGCCATTATGTTTATTGAAACGAACAATATATTTATTGATTTCATTATCAACTCTGAAGAAAATATGTCCGCCTTCCTTGCAGCGATTAAGTCAATTTAAAGTATTCTTTATCTTAGAGATTAACGGAGAGAGATATATTCCTTTTTTATAACTGCATAAAAAGCCAGAGACGTTTCAATGTCAATTTTCTTGCTACATTGTATTTTGCACTGCGATTTTTAAAGACCGATAATATTTATAGCTTTTTTTGGGTGTAACAATTAGAAATCTAGACTTGAAAGTTTGTGACTGTTTTCGTGTGACTAATTTGATATTTTATCTTACAGGAATTGTAACAATATTCAGTTCCTGAATTTAGCATTTTGCTCAAATTTTACCAACAAGGGGTTGCAATATTTAGCATCAGGAAAGGGTTGCCAGAGATTAGCATACCTTGAGTTATCAGGCTGTGAGCAAGTAAGTCTCAGGAGATATCTATCTGAAATATTTGATACCTAACATCAAAAGTTTCAGGTATTACTTCAAATCCTCTTCATGCGAATCACTTTTTTATTTGAGTCGTTTCATGTCTTATTTATTTGAAATACTTGATAACTTTTTTTAATATTAAGAGAAAGAAGATGGAAGCATATCCAGATCAATTATGAATGAGGCATTTATAAAAACAAAGAAGCACGTGTATACATGTAAAAAGATGTATTAGTCTGAATTAAAATGATCATTAAATTTCCAGATCTTTTAACTGGACATATCGTTTTACATGTAAAAGGTGACTTCATTTTGAAATAAAGGTGAAGACCTGAAGATGAAAACTGAAATTATTATTATATGGTACTTGACAAATTTTATTTCAGCAAACAAGAAAGCCGAGTTACCAAATACTTAGATGATCTTTAGGTAGTCTTTTCCCATGGTATAAGTATTTTTACAGGTCTTTCGTTAACTTGTCTGTAGTGTAATCTTATTTACTCGTTATTGTAGGTAACAACTGAAGGTTATCTGGAACTTGGAAAAGGCTGCAATCGACTGGGAACATTGGTTCTTGACCACCTTCCGTTTTTGAAAGATGAGCATATTCAGGTATCGACTTCAGGCTCACTGTTTCTTGAAACTCAAGAATGAGGCGTGTTTGTATTTCTTTCTAGAGATTAACTTATAACTTGAATCGGCCTATGCTGTAAACTGTATTTGAATGTAAACTGTTTTATCGACCAGCAGGCTCGTAGCACATAACAAGCAGAAATTGTTGGGGATTAAGTGGCTTGTTGAAAGGCATTTCAGGGTTCTTCATCGACCTCTTGATAAAATTTTATGCTATCTGTGATAGAGTTACGTATTTCTACAATCGTCCACAAAAATTGTGAGACTGCTTTTCCTTCCCATCTCACAATGATGCCAACGTCTGTTTGGTGTATTTTACGCAAAATAAAACCTATCGAAATTATTCTGTAAACATTTCGTAGTTTTGACATAGGCTTCAGACAGACTAATTTTGTTGCAATATAACATTTTGAGCATATAACATGAAATACCTCTAATTGTGCAAAGTAAGTAAGATCTGTTAGAGATTGCATGAGGTATGGTCGCATGAGCACAGGCTCTTTCTCAATCAAATCAATGTAATTTGGCCATGGTTCTAAAACGTATAAAACAAGCCAAAAAACAGTAATTCTTTAGCGAATTTCATATCTTTTTTGGCTATATCTTAGAATTTATGCAACAGACTTTTTTGCAAAATTAGAGGTATAGAGTTCTAAAGCGATGAAGTCACAAATATATATTTTAAGAATTTTTTAATTTGGATCCTAAAGCCTGAAATTGCATTATGAAATACCTCTAAATATGCAAAATCAGTTAAATGTGTTACAAATCGGCTCAAATATGACCACATGTGTATTGGCTCTTTCCCCATCAAACCTCTGTATTTTAGTCTCTGTTCATAACTTTATGAACAGAGCCAAAACAACAGTGATTCGTTAGCAAACTTCACATCTTTCATTGGCCATATCTCAACCGATTTTAGGCATAATTGGCCAATTCTGCTTATTTGGAAGTATTTCATGGTGATCTTATGTTATGTGGTTAAAATTCAAAAGTTCTTAAAACAGACTTTTGGTAACGTCACACTTTAGAACTCTTTTATGATGTCATCGTTTTGTTGATTTTTTAGATCGTTTGTAAATGATCATTATAATAATAAATTCCTATCAGCATTTCACATTTGTTGTCTTCCTTGTATTGAAATTTGAACTTTTCTCTGCTTTTTTATTCAGGCTTTTGTTTCTGGTTGTCGATCACTTCGTTGTTTCTCAGCTATGCATTCTTCGTTAATCACTGACATCGGAGTCAAGAGCTTGTGTCTTTCGAAACGTCTCCAAGTTCTGAAATTAGAAGGTAGCTTTGTTAGTTGAATGCTTTTAAATTAACAGTGCCTACAACAAGATGTCAGTTGAAAAACATAAACAGTGTGGTGACTGGCACAGCATCGAGTAACATAGGTGTTGTATTAATGAACATTCAGAAACATTTCCCACCAGACGTATAACCAAATTGTTATTTTTAAGATTGATAAGGATTACATTCTGTTTTTGTTGCTTTATGCTGCTCGATTCTGTATAGACAGAGTTTTTTGGGCCTTTGGGTTTGAAACAGTTGGTTAGTTGAAACTTCGAATTACACGCTTAATGCGATCAACAGTCAAATTTTCTACACACCAGACCATTTCTAATTTGATAAAATTGCTAATAAAGTTAAAATATAATCTTAAAGAACCGGATGATATGACACTGAAAAGCTTTGTAATTTCCTAGCTGATGTTACCAGATACAAATGCGATCCTGGGATATAAAGGGTCTCTTCGAGCAAAGTGTCTCTTTGATGTGAAACTTGATTCATATTCCTTTTTATCTATAGAATATCATTTTCTTATTGCATTGTTCATTTTGTTACTCCTCATTTATTGTTTCCAGGCAACAACAGAATAACAGACAGTGCTGTGCGAAGCCTTGTCAAGTCTTGTCCAGATCTCCATCACCTTCATTTGGTCGACTGCGAAAGAATAACTGATCTGTCCTTGAAAGCCCTGAGTCAATGCAAGAACTTGGTTGTGGTCAATTATGCTGATTGTATAAGGTGAGTTAGACGCGTTGTTGTTGGAAAACAAGGTGCACTTAAAGAGGTAAAAGAATCTTCTTGTATCGTTTTAAATGTGCTTTTTCGTTCATTTTGCTTAGGGAGGTTAAAGCAGTTTTCGGATTAGGTCTGGTTTTTGTTCAATCAGAGGATGAAGTTTATGCCTGTTCAAAGACAGTAAAGTTTTGCATCCTGTGTAACACCGTCTGATCTCCATTACCATCCTGGAAAGTCGCTGTTAAGATTTTGCACCATCCCCTACTTCAATGCATATTTCTCTGCTCTAAAAGTGCTGTTAAACTTGACTTGAATGAGAAGAGGGAGTGGTATAGGGCGCGTTATCCAATATACCTATGTTATACAATATTAGTTTAAGCTCCTGCCTTAACAGCGATGTCCAGGATTCCAGCACGCGGAGTTAGGATAGAAGACACAGTGTCCAATGAACACATCAAGCGTCCTTCCTTCGATAACGTTACTGGCGTGAGGATTCCAAGATCTTAAGGCAACCGAGACTTGAAATTATAATAGCAATTATAATAGCTTGTAGTTATTAGAACTTGTTTAGCCCAGGCAAATTATATGTGCTATCTATTAGAACGTTTTATTTCTTTTGACACTTATCTTTCCACGTATCATTTATATCCATTAAATTAAAACAGGCAAGAGCTGATAATTTGATTCAAGTACTGACTTCGCTGTTGCTGGATTATTACGTTTGTGTTCATTTTTTTAAAATCTTTCAGACTCTCTGATGCTGGAGTTCGCTATATTGTTGAAGGCTCATCAGGTCCTAAGTTACGTGAACTGAATTTAACCAACTGTTTACGAGTTAGTGACGTCAGCGTTCTCCGTATTGCACAGAGGTATGTTATTCTTAGATGCTGTCTTTTGGTTTTTCAAGGGTTGTTTAACATCAAAAATGACATTATTGCTTTATGAAAATCTTTTGATTTCAGCCTTTTGCTAGTATTTTAAAATATCTGTTTTTATTTGCCGTTCTTTGAAAGAAACATTTACTGCCTTTATTGTGGTACCCTTAAAAGCTGTTCCGCATTTTCTTGAAGCAATCAAAATTGTTCACAGTAGTGGACATTTTGAAGCATTTCTGACCTTTTGGTGCTGTCCGACCTTCTGTTAAAATTGTAAAAAGGGCTCACATGCTGTAAATTTTATGTCATTTCTTATTGTTTGCCGTCACAACCTGTTTATCGCATAACTGAAAACTGTGCTGGCATTTTTGTCACTGTATAAAGTTCAACTTCGACTCTCGGTTAAATATTTGTTTTGCACATAAACCCATATTTTTTAGACTGCTAATTTCAGCAAGAAAGGTTTAAAATTGAATCCGGTAAATTAAGTCTAGAATTGATTGCATTCCGGTTCTCTTGGAACGGCATGTTATGATATAAGAAGAATTGAATGCTTAAGGTTTCTGCAACCTGTTGGCGAAATATTTTTAAATTTTTGCTCGCACTTCAACATAGTAGGGAATTTCTAAGGAAACCTACAGACAAATTTCTGTAATTTTTGGGAGAGCTTTTCACATTTTTCGAAATTAAAGCTTTAAGATCTATTATTATATCAAAGAATACTGTTTTGAAAATTGTGAGCCTTGACATTTTGATGCTAACAGTTAATTGTCATTTGTTTAAAGGTGCAATTCGCTGACGTATTTGAACCTAAGCTACTGTGAACACGTAACTGACGCTGGTGTTGAGCTGCTTGGGACAATACTCAGTCTGATGTCGGTTGACCTTTCGGGATGCCTCATTCAGGACCAGGGGATTTCCGCTCTCGGTAATAACCCTAGGCTGAGGGATATCACCATAGCAAGCTGCAGCAGTGTCACTGATATTGGAATACAGGTTAGTAACACGTATTTACTTTACTTGCTTGTAATCAGGAACTGGAGAAAGTATTATGGATTGGCTGCAGATGGTTGGCTAAAAGACTTTGTTATTCTTCTAAAGAATTTCAAAGGAACTACAAAACGATTCCACCAGGAGCTAAATGGAAAATATTTATCAGATGACCACTACAATAAACAATACAAACTTGCAGAAAACAGAAGATACAAGTGCAGTCTTATTTTACATTAGAGCCCTTTTTAATCAAAGTGTGAGACTCAATACAGATTAGAAAACGAAACTATGCCTCTGAGTTGACCAAAGAGAAAAATTTAAGGATCATAGGCCCGAATCCGAAGATTGATGTTAATTGTAAGAAAAGAGAGTTGGCTGACAAGTAAATACAAAGTAGATTTTTCAGAAGAAATGGGGAAATCTAATGGTCGGGATCATGCAATTTTAGGATACGTTGAATTCTTGAAATACACAAAGTAATAGATTTTAAAACGAATTTTTGCACTTCAAATGGCAATTTTTTGTCGCCGTACATGATTTTTAATATGAAGTTTTGGATGACTGAGTGCGTCTCGCCATTGTCATAAGCAACTACGTATATAAAATGATCCACTATTTATAAGCATATTTGCATCGCTTGTTGATCATACGTCAAAATGAGTATTCAAACGTGTTAAAATTGACATAAGGGATACCACGTGATGCTGTGTGATTCTTATGGTCATTACCTGACTTCTCAAACTTTTTTTATAACATCCCAATCTTTAGAAACTTGTTCAGCAAACAAGGGATCTAGAAAATCTTGACGTATCAAGCTGCAAGGTAAGATTGTCAAAGTTTTTTAATTGATTGTAAAAGTGTGACGATTTTTGTAAAATTTTTAGCATTCTAGTGCAATTTTTTTCTGGGATGGGGTCTTACGATTCAATGTCAAACACCCAAACGTCTACACTATGTCACTGTTAAAAGGCAAAATACAGTTTCTATCTGTCAAGAAAAGTTCCCTTTTTGGAATGTATGTAATACCAAAAACCAGGTATTTACCTACTATGTATTCAATTGCTTCAAATTAGTAATCAAAGGGATATTTAGAATGCAGAGAAAATCCAATGAACCGCTGCCCAACTTCTCTATTTCCAAGACATTAGGGTAGTAGCTGATTGTTTGCTTGAATTAGTCGTAATCTGTATGGTCCTTTGTCCCTTACTACTTCTAATTTTCTATGGAATATAGTTTAAATGGATTTTAAGATGATGATTAAGTGACATCGATATGAATGTTATTATTTTTTTTATAAGAGAATTATATCGGTGCGATATTCAATGGAAAATTTACTCAGTAGCTGATCGAATGAAAGATTTGCTTAGATGATTAGAAAAAAATTGATGAAATCTGGAGTAGGTTCTTGATTATCTTCTTACCTGAAAATTGAAGATTTCTTTATCAGATGATAGTTCTTATCAAAGGTGCCAGCCAAAAGTCTTCCGCTAAAGTAATGTCAGCCAAAAGTTTTGAAGCACCAACATCATTTTGGTTATTTACATAAGCTGTTTTTCCTCTGCCCTTTCAAACAATGCTCACTTATTCTGTATATAAAACACTTTAAAACACAACCTGTATTTGAGAAACTAGGGTGGCTGAGAACATATGGAACATTTTTCGGAGGAGAGGGAGCAACTCAAATTTTTTATAACATGAATTGAAAATGGATCGAAAATTGACTGAAACTGCTTAGATGTTCCAAGTACTTTTTCAACGATTGTACACAAGCCCAGTGAATAGCGCTATTTTTCCCCTTCATTTTTAGCTTTTAACGGATCATGCCATTAAATCTCTGGCATTCTGCTGCAGAAGGCTTCGCACATTAAACATTGCTGGTTGCAGGCTGGTACGATCATTTTTTCTACATATATCTGGCTCTTCGCATTCATGATTTTGGATATTACAATACAGCAATTTAATTACGAATGAAAAGTGATATGAATTCCAGTTTGTAAATGATTTCCTTGTTGTTTTCACCAGACACGAATACATGCAATACATGCAATTGTTATTTGCTGCAAAGATGATTGCAGTTGAATTAAAAAAGGATTAAATTTTGGTTGTCGAGAAGACGTCTTCTTCTGAATGGATATTTGTGTTCCTTTTTACAAACGCTTCTTCCGACTAAACTGAATTTCTTTTTAAAACATAAAAGCCAGTGCATTTAGTTTAAATACATTACTTAGAATGCTTTAGCTTGAATGAGTGATCTTCGTTTGTCTAAAGATAACTTTCATTAAGTTTTCATTACCATTCAGTTGTCAGATCAAAGCCTTCAGTACCTCTCTGGTGTCTGTCACTACCTCGATACTCTTGATATATCTGGATGCAATCTTGTCAGGTAAAATATCGTTAAGATGTCTCATTTCAATTGGTGTTTAAAATACTTATTTTGCCTGACAAACTTTTGACATGAAGTAGATGCTATGAAAAAAAACTCATTTTTCATTATTTTTTGCTCAAATTTTTGATACTCTGTGAGTACGCTTTCTCCTGTCAATTTTCTTCCTTGTATCTTGAGTTTCTCTAATCAAATTTTTAAAGTTAAGATTTGTAGTCTTGAAAGAGGGTTGCAATAGCAGTTATAAGAACATGAATAAGATATCTAAGTTGATATTGAGGAATGAATTATTTGCTTATATGTTATCACCAAAATTGATAATTATTCAGATCACATAGTTAACAAAGAAAATGTTCTCAAAAATGCAAAAGACGAAAACACACAAAGGTATCCCAACATGGTAAAAAATGACTCGAAAAGTCGTTGTAAGCACAAGCCTCACACCCGTGTCGTCCACAGAGCTGTCATTCACTGGTCATGTTGGCTGTGTCTACTCAGAGTAGTTTTCTTTTGATACGCCTTAAGATGGGTCTCAGAATTTTGTTGGAGGAGATTTGAAACGATTTCTAAAGCCAGGTCTCTTTGTTGCTGTATGCTGTTTGTCAGCAAACATATCGTAGCAGACGTTTGCATTGAATAAACGAAAACTTGATTCTTCCATGTTTCTGTTTATTTCAGCGATAAAGCTCTGCGATTTTTACGCAAAGGTTGTCGCAACCTCAAGTACCTCTTTATCAGAAACTGCCGTGGAATTTCAAAGTGAGTATTTTTTTGTTTTTTCAACCAATCACATCAGAAAATCCTCTCCCTCCACACTTCTCCCTCCACACTTCTCCCTCCACACTTCTCCCTCCACACTTCTCCTTCCACACTTCTCCCTCCACACTTCTCCCTCCACACTTCTCCCTCCACACTTCTCCCTCCACACTTCTCCCTCCACACTTCTCCCTCCACACTTCTCCCTCCACACTTCTCCCTCCACACTTCTCCCTCCACACTTCTCCCTCCACACTTCTCCCTCCACACTTCTCCCTCCACACTTCTCCCTCCACACTCCAACCCTTCAAAATCAGCTGCACAGGAAGGATGCAACTTTATGCTGAACTTAATAAAGGGGGTCGTTACTTAAGTATATTTCTTATGTTATACGTTCATTGCTAAACTTACTCTTATCGAAAGTATTCCTCCACTAGTAACCTGTACTTTGTTACTTTTGAAAAACGAAGCAAACTACGGTAGAAAAAGACAAGCCATTTTCCATAAGTTCTTAATCATTTTTTGCATCGATAACCTATATATTTAAAACACTTCATTCAGACGCTAGATCAAAATATATCTATAAGTTTTCTATAATTTAAACATGATTAATTTAGATCCTCAAAATATGCTTCAGGTTTTCAAGTTTATCCATACCTTGTAGATAGAACTTTCAGCAATAATGGTAAAAACGATAAAGATTATTGATCCCTGTCATTAAATCACGATTTTATAATGCACTTGACTTCACCCGCCCATCACTGAGTTTATTTTTTCTTTAAATGCAACTAACCTCTCGTGTCCCCCCTTCCCCCTAGATTCGAGCACCATTAAACTTTCCCCGCGTGAAAGCTTTTTCTTTTTCCAAAATAATATTCAATGCATTTTTTCTTTGTTTAATATTTGTGCAAAATGCAATGGTACATGTCAAAGAGACATTTTTGCTAGATAAATTTCTCGTTGCATAATCTTGCTACTCTAAATGCTCAATGTCATTGCTTTTGGTTGTGTTGCCATTTTTATTTGAATTAGCAGACAGGCGTGTCTCTCGGACAATTTTATACGTGCAAATTGAATGAGACTGATACTTCTACAATCAACTTATGTTGTAATTAGATGCCCTGTATATCAGGCCCTGATACGATCATACTAATTATATTTCATTACACATTATATTTATATACAGCATAAAATATGCTAAATACTCTCTGGCACTCTGGATATATTTATGATTAATGAATAAGATGATCTTAAACCTCTTTTAGGGGAATGGTACAGAAAATGGCTCCAAAGATCCAGTATCTATTCCATGGGTTTGATGAATCAAATACGTTTGAAAGCATTTATGGCTCTGCATGAATACTGAAAGAAAATGTGGATCTTTTCTCGCATCAAAGGGCTCCTGCCCATGTTCATACGAATTCATGCCAAGCAAAGTAGAGTTTTGCGCCACTTCATTCGTTGTTGATGTGGGAATTTTTATGCTTACAACATCGCACTTTAGGCCACATGTAAAAGCAAGGTTTCTGTGAGAATATATATTTGATATTAGAGTATATTTTTCCGGTTGTCACGCATTTATTCAGAAACTTTGATAGGCATTTATTCTTGGTATTCCCGCGTTAAACTTTGTTCAATATCACCTCGTGAATGTTAATAGTACAAAGTTTTGTAAATTAATGTTTTAGAGCCAAGCATACGGTATCAACGACATAAACATGTTGAGACTAGGTGGAAGGCTGGTTTCAGAAAAAAGCTTTGAGTGAAATGCTTTTACCTGTCTCTTGAAATCAGAATTGCTACACATTAAGTTATTCGCTCTTGAATCCTACTTAGCTCTTCATTATGATTCATTATAATATTTTACAAACGAATTCAATACTTATGGCCCAAAGCTTTTATCCTCTATCATCATATATACATCAAATATTTTTAGTGTTGAGCCAGTCTTTCATACACTATTGTCGTTACTTAAGATATGTTCCCTATGATGAGGGCTTCATTATTGCAGGCCCTAAAATGATACTTAACCAGCCAGATGTTCAGTGTCGTGAGCCGAAATGAAGATAATTTGTATATATAACTCGATGCATAAACCACATATTTCTCAAAAGTGTATTTATTTTCAGAATTTTTACATAATATATTTTTGATATTTTGAAATGCGCTTCATTTTTTGCATTCTTAATCTTCTTGCCTGGTATCAGTTCCATAACAGTTGGAAAGGATGGATATTTGGGCGAAAGAATATTCTGTCTGAAGCAAGAGTCATGTCGCTTTTTTTATTTGGGGAGGCTTCTCTTCGCCCCCTCCCCCCTTTACGTCCGTCAATGCTCGTATTGAGTTGCTTGCTGTAACTCTTGAAGAAAATCTTCATCAGAAATGGTAAGATTATGATAGGAAAATCTTAAGCGTAATCTAATTTTGTCTGAAGAGTCCGAAGCTATAACTGTTCGAAAATCTTTTTTCCCCACAAACTTTTTTCCGCAACTTTTGAATTAGAAAATAGAAAGCTTCGACGATTTTTTGGATCAGATTTGGATCTTCGGCGAGAAAGCCTTTTGAGTGGATCGAAAAAATGCCTGCAGTTTGTTACATAGCAATCGAACAGGTTTCGGAAGTGGAGAAAGTAGCGGGTTTGCGAATTATAAAGTAAAAAGTGACGAACTTGTAGGTTAGGGGTCTGAAGCACAGGCTAATCTACCCCCTCTTGGACCAGAGGTGCCGTGGAGGGGGGCTCAGAAGTGCTAAACCCATTGCTAATATTGAGAGATATATTTGGGACTCAACACCTCTCTTAACCAGTTTGTACATGTTTGATTAGAATTGGACGAATTCTGTGTTCGCAACTCTTATTCCCTATCGTTTATTTTAAAGGTGAAAAGTTTGAATTATTTCGTAACACGACAGATAATCTTCAACACAAATGCAAAAATATTTAGTGTGGAAAGGGGTGTGGTTATTGATGTGACCTTCTGAAGTCGCCTACAGCAGATCTCCCTTCCTAACTCTCTTATGTTGGCACCCCTGTCATGGACTCGCTACATGTCTCTAACAACCAGGGCCCGCGCCACGAATTTGAAAGTGGGGGGGGGGGAAGCAAGGCTAAAATGTAGAGGGCCAAGGCTTTTTGCCCCTTTAATTGCAGCTTAAAACTACTTGCTTAACAAAAAAGTGGGGGGTGGGCATGGCCATTTTATCGGAAAGATTTCGATCTTATGTTTTCCTGCTGTTGGCATGCGAGAATCTACACGGACCTCGTTTGTACTCACACAAGAATGAGGCAAATTGATGGCTAACAACATGGCGGCTGCATAATTTTTTTGGGACAGCGCAAAGTACCAATTTAGCTGCATGTATTGGTGAATCTAATATGGAAGTGGCACTTGGTGTTTTTGATGAGCCAATAAAGAAAACTTCGAATGATTTGGATGAGGATTTTCTTTCAAGGCCAGCCACAACAGCCTTAGAATACCTCAGACAAGTTCAGTGAGTTTTCTTTGATGACAATAATAATGATATTGTCGTCAGTATATCATCTGTCTGTTGCTTTCAATAAGTATAAAAAGTTGGTACCCTGCTAAGATTCTTCTGTGTCAAAAAGATTGAAATACTCGAGCCTTCGTCTACATCATCTATTGGCCTAGCTAGGCCTTCTCTACGTTGCAGGGCCATAACAGGCATTTCATGTATGTAGAGTATTTTACACCCAAAACAAGAAAAAAAATCTTGACTGAGACCATTATGTCTATATTTAAGTCTGGCTGTCTGTTATGCAATTGAAGGCTACAAATTTCAAATATCTTGGTCTATGAGAAGTTTTTAAGAAACAGGCCTAGGGCTTCATATTTTTAGTTAAGAATAATTGGGGTTTGCTGTCTGTGTTAGAAATGATTTGGGCAGCACATAAATTATGAATAATTTTTATTGGCGTAAACATTTGCTGTTTTACACTATCGTTTTAAAATTGCATAACAAAAGATAGATTCTAGAGTCAATGAATCGACCTGATCTATGATATTTAGGAGAGAGGCAGCTCAATGTCCAGATGTTGTGGTTGCTACACAGTTTACAAGAAATGAAGGAGAATCCATCAAAAACCAATATAGTGAGGTACTGTGCTTCTTTGTATTTGGCTACCGTTTCTGTTGGTAAATCTCTTATTATGACAAAAAACAAGGAAAAAGGTGTGTTCTATAACACATTTTGCATAAAGAGCATGGTGATAATTGTTAGTTAAATTTAAGCCTCTGGTACCTTTAAATTTAAGAATACCAGAAAAGGGCATAAGCATATCATATCATATTATATAAAATGAAGAAAACAGTTTGTCTGACAAAAAGTGCTTGATTCCATATAGGCATAGTTGTACATGCTTTTGGTGTATAGAACAAGACAGTTCTAAGTTGCTACCCTGAGTTTCACACTTTACCTATATATGAACCCATATGTCTCATATGATCCCTGTCTTCCATGCTATTTTCAAATTGTCAGTTATGTGGCTTTCTAACTAAACAAAGAAAAAACAACAATAAGTTTTTCACTCATATTCAAATATACATACAGGCATTTAACGTCTGTCTCAGAGGGTAATTGTTTAACTGGGTTTATGGGGTTGTAGTCATTCGATTTTCCCAATTTCTTTCATAGATCAGAAGCAGATTGACACCAGCACCCAGTAATTTCATTCCCAATTTAGCATGGCAACGGGAACAAGCATCAAATTTTGCGGAAATTAGGCAGGTATGAAATTTAGTGATATATGGAAGCGAATCTTGTTCGAAAGTTACTTCTAGGGATGACTGTATGTTATATTTTATATATCTTATTATTAAAATATTTGACATCACATGATTTTATATTGAAATGCTCTGAATGAATTTCAACTCTCTACAATGTGGGCCATATTATGTACTCTATTTTCTATTCCAATAAATCTGGAAATATTTTTGCTGTGATTAAAACTCTTTTGTCACAGTGTCCCATTAAGGCTCCTAGATTTTCATATACTTGATGTGCTCCATTATTTTAATTCTCATATTAGTACAGGTCAACAATTTAACTGTTACTTCTGAAATTAGGTTCTCAATCCTTATCTGTCCAGCTACCAGGGACCTTTGCCTTTTATGCCTTTAAGCCATGCAGCTCACAAATATAACTAATAACCAGTCTGTTGCAGATGATACTATATGATCAGAGCTCTGGACAAGTGCATGTCAATTAAGATATTTTATTTATTTTATTCAACCCCTTCGATAAGGAAAATGGTTCTCCATTTGGCTCAAGATATAGATTTATAGAGATATAAATAAAGATATATCTTAAGCAAATAACCATCAAAGCAAAAACAACACTCTCCTAAACAAAAGATCCGAATTAATCTTCAAGTGCCAACACAACAATAATTTTATCTCATGAACAATAGAGCTCTACCTAATGTAGATATTGAGACAAAGCTATGATAAAGAAAGGCAAGTGGTTATGACACTCACAAGAGTGTGTCATCATCAACACAATTGTTGTTAATTGATAAATTCATACAAAAATATAAAGCTTGGTGTTTTTTTGTAGCAAACAAATTGATATTGGTATTAATTTTTGGTGTAATAAAATTGTACAAAAAAAATCTTTGTATTTTTTTATAGCAACTGAACTACTTCAAATCTAGAGGTTTTGAGCGACCTTTGCATGAAATCAATGACATTCAACTGGTAATCTGTCTGACTTTTTAACCTGTCTGGACTCATTCACTTTTTATTCTTTACTGAAGAATGATTAGCAACCTTGAGTTGTCTGTTTTCTGCATTTTTCTATCCATACTATTTTTTGTGCATATTTTTACTGCATTCATGTTTACTGCATTTTGTGTTTCATTGAAAGTGCAGATGCCCAAATCCAAGGTGCTTTCCAATCAATTGGACAATTCTTTTTATCTTACAGCCAAACAGAACTTCTGAGGGTGCTTGGTGCAGGTTTTGTCTAGGTAAAGAAAAGTTTCAAGAAGTTGAAAGAAGAAAAAGGTGATTTCTGTTCTCTTATTAGTTTACACGATTTTGATGTTATTGTTTCATTATGTCATTAAAGGGACTCTGCTTTGGCCTTTATTATAAATCATACCTAAATTTTTCTTCTTTCATAGTCATTCCCTTACATTCGTACACCACAACGCAGGCATCCTTTAAGTGTCTTGCAATTTCATACATTTGCTAATCTCTATTCTTTACTATTGTAACACTTACAGTCTCTATTTACAGATGTTGTAGTTTATTCTATTTCTTTATTCTGGTTTGTTAAGAAATGTTGAATTGAATTGTAGTCATGATTTTCAAAAGAGCTATTCACCATGTTAAAGTCCAATTTACGTAACGTTATGGGCACTGTGTACCAGCAAACTTCTGACTTTCAAAATTTTCAAATCTGACAATATCATTGGAAAGAGCTTGCTAAACTGAGTAAAAAGTTGTGACAAATCTATGTTATCTGACCTATAAAAGAAGTGGTTGTTGAAACGTTTTGTTTTGACATTAAACTTCAGAAGCAAGTTTTTTGACAAAAAGCTTGCTTTTAGCACTTGCAAATACACAACTTTCTCTCTAATTTTCAGAGGCCAGTCAGGTAATGCTACAGGGGATGCAAGAAAAGATGACAGCGATAATGAAAATCCGATCGGTGCAGTTTCTAAGGTATCACTTCAACCGCATTAACTCTAATTTGGTGCGCTACAATACCTTATTTAGAGTTGATGATGGCACAGAAAGACGTGCTAATGTGAAGTAAAGACAATAGACCATCTTTGAGTTCTGGACGCCATTAAACAAGTGGGCAAAAAACGATAAATACAATGGTGGCCTATATCATCAAGATTTGTCAATTCCTCTGTATCTCAAACAATGTCTATTAATAATCAAAGAAATTCAGATATCAATTGTTAAAGTATTTTTCTCTATTCTAAAGAACTTTCACGACAAAAAAATTCAAGAACAGCCTCTATCCATCATCAATTTTTCACTGGCTTGCCCACCTGAGGGATTGGTACTAGCTATAGAACAATAGAATTCTATCATGGCGTCGCGAACTTCGAGATGGACTATTCCAGAGTGCGCTAAAACGTTAAGTAAAGACAATTTTATATCACCTGTCAGACAAAATTGTCTTTTCATTACGTGTTTTGGAGCATGTCTACATCAAAACTAAGGATCTCGACTTGTGTAGAAGACAGAAAGGGTTCGTTTTCTAGCTTGGACTCTTAAGGACGGCGAGAGGGTTCCGGTCGCTGATTGGTCAAAACAAGCAGCCAATCAAACTTGTCTTTCTTCCTCTCACGTTACTTTCGATCCTCACCTGGATATCACGTTCTTCTTACCTTGCGTCATTTACCAACATTTATGAACTAAGGAATATCAGAAAAATAGTCAAGAAAATGTTTCCTCTTTCAGTGCTTTTTTTAAAGTCTTGCGATACCAAAGGCTCATTTTAGAAATATCGTTTTGGATTTCTTTACTTTTATCGACAATTCAATGTTACTTGGTCTTAATTATAATTGTTTTCTACTTCCTGAAGTTTGATGATTTAACACATATAGAAACACTGTCAATAGTCTATCTTGAAGCAAACCGTATGCAAATAGTCTATGACGTACTTGATTTTGCTTGTAGGGTAATGATCCACTGCTCTCGATTGTCACTAGAATGAACCAGGTAATCTAACAATTTCACGAACCTTCATTTATTGTATTTGGTTCTTTTCAAACGTCATTGACTGTGCTTTGCCACACAGAAGCTAACAGTATCTACTGATTTATCAGAAAGGGGTTATTCTCTACATTCGTTTTTTTTATCATACATGTTTCCCTTCAACTGGCCAAGGAACAAGGATATTTGAACAAGGACCTTTTTGTGAACCTTTGAGCTAATAGACTATTTTCTTTTTGGTTCCGTATTCGATATCGAATGTTGGGGAATGCACTGTTAGGGGCGCATCGTCCTGGGCCATGGCATTGTGTGGTAGGGTGGCCAGTTCCTTTCCACGCCGCTTTTACCTCCCTAGAATGTTTCAACTAGGTACTCATTTTCAGCTGAGCGAACTGAGCCCGTCCGCGAGCCGGGATCGAACCCGGAGTGCTGGCATGGCAGTCGAGCGCCTTAACCACTTGGCTACCGCAGCACCTATAATTTACCTAAATATTTATGAATATTTGTATTGGTGCACTTTGTCCTTGATTTTACATTCAAATGTTCTAGAAAGTAGCTACTTGCAATTTTTTCGTCCAGATTTTTGCATTGTTCCACATCAGTTACATATGGAAAGTTTTAATTGATAACCCTGAAGTGGTGCAATATTTGGGGATGACACTAGACATTGACGCCATTTATATTGCGTAGATGTGCTATTTTGAATTGGGTCATGTCATGTTTTCACAGTAGCATCATGACTTAATTTGTTTTCATGCCATCCTAAAGAGATCTTTGCATTTTATGGCCAAACTGACCAGTCTAAAGGCTTGATAATGCATACAACTTTTCGCCTTGCAAAACACTTTTTATGAGTCCCTGTAAAGGGATTGAGATTTCGGGAGTAAAAATATAAATGTATAGGTTTTTAGCTTTGAAATATGAAATAATGTCGATTCCCATTATGAAGTATCAAAATAGTGTTTTATTAAATTCTGTGTGAGAATTATTCATTTGATCAAACGCAGTGAGCATTGTGCTGTTCAGATGATTGTCGAACTCAAAACTCCGAGAAAAGACGAGAAAGACAACATTCCTTTCCGTAAAATCTTGCCTCTGCAAAACGCTTTTTGTGACAGCTTGGTACTTTCTATCAGGAATAAACATATACGCAAACTATTAGGAGCAAAAATCAGCAAACTATTAGGGGAGTAGAGTTGAAAAGACTTTTATGATAGTTGGAAGAGTTAGAAGTGTTGATTGTGTACACGTAATGAATATCACGATGTTCTTATGTTTTAGTGCACTGTTACTGATGTTTTGGAATACAATGTTACTTGGCTACAGTATATCGGATTCTCCGAGAGACAGGTAAAAAGCCCTTAGCTAAATCTTAGTGGATTAACATACAACCACTAAACGAACTTTGCAAATGCTAAGCGGACTTTTTCTTAAGGTTAGTAAAAATAAGAATAAGAACTCAGGTAATGCGAATACAATGAAGTTTGATTTGAAGGTTTAATTTAATGCTATCGACGTCACAACTCATAAGTCATCACTATTATTAGGCCTTACTGACCAGGAGTTTCTTTAAAGTAATGCATCTGAGAATAAATATATTGCAATAGACGTGCTTATATATGGATAAAAAGATATTGGAATATTTATGTATTTGCATTTTCCCAATCTCTGACTAGAAGCATAAAATTTTATGTGTGAATGAAGAAAAGGTAACTGTAGCAGGCTGCTCAACGGGCTCCAAGGAGTTCTTGCTGCGAAAAGTCGATAAAAATGTAGCAAGTAAGAAACACCGCAATACGGCAAGAATAAACAACGAAAAATACACGTAAATCAGTAAAGGCTGAAATGAAATTTTATGCCATGTTTACCTTCGAATGCTTTGAACAGCAGCATGTCTCAATGTGCAACAAATCATCACCGGTTTTCTGTCACCTGTTTATTCTATAGCCAACTCTTACATACTTTAGTTGCTTTTTGGGCCTTATTGATGACAAACAAAAGTATCGATCTAACCAGTTTTGAAAGAACAAGCAGAGGGGACGTCGGTACTGGGGCTGCACCACCAGTGGCATACGCGCCAAGCATAAGGACTCTCGAAATCCTTTCCTATTTTTTGCAACTTTTTCAGTCTTCTCAGATGCAGAATCTTGAGTAGCAGTTCGGATTTCAGAATCATCGTGGTAGACTTGTAGGTTAACAATAGCCATTTGCAAAAATTTAGACAAATTATTGTTATCTTCGCGCCAAAATATACAAAAACTAGGATCATTACACTGATCATTCTGATGCAGAAATAAAAAGATATTCCAGAAAATTATTGGCGCGAAAGCCTTTTGGAAAGAGCGCTTATAGCTCCTTTTGAGTTACAAACTGTCATCCTTGTGGCAGGTTCTCTATCAATTTCTGATTTGTTTCTTTTTAGGGGAAATGGCTGTTTGCATTACTGGTTTGTCTAGAAAAACCCTTGTTACCAAGTGTCTCATCTTTGCTTCGCAATTTGGCAAGACGATGTGCTGATCTCAGAGCTTCATTGGTATGCTTTCTCTTTAACGATTTCCTATTTTTATGTATATCTGAAAAAAGAGCTGTTACTAAAAAGTGCGTCTTTTGCTCAGTGTGATTTGCTAAGGACACTTTTCTCTCACTGTTTTGCAGACACTTGACTACTCTTTGCTTAGATAAACAGTTTGTCCAATGAGCTCAACACGTTCACCCACTACTTGTCATCAATCCCGTTTAAGAACCAAAACCGTTCAAAAATCGACATGGCGAAGAAGACGAACAAATAGTATCAAAATTCCCGATTACAGCTGTCGAATCAAAAAGGGCCTAAGAAGCTACTGGGTAATATTCATGTATTTTTTAACTCCCCCCCCCCCTGTTCAAAGGTAGTACGCCTGCATCTTAATAGCAGATAAATCAATATTTAAGTGAGAGAACAGGGGGGATTGGGCGGGAAACCTCAACACCATCTATCAGACCCTTTTCATGGTGATAGTTGACGAAATTTGGTTTAGAGGTTTCATACGTAGAGCTTTTGAATATTTCCATAAAGAACAAATTGTTGTATTTGTGATCAAATTCAATTAAAATCCTTTTCGACTCTTTTAATTTCTTTCAGTCAGATGAAAATGATACAAGACTGCCTCCACTCAATTTGATTATCACTGTTGTTACTAGGTAAATTTGCATATATTTCATTGATGCTTATCAAGAAAAACATTTGCAACGAGAGGAGACGCACATTTAGAATTTTAGGATGAACATTTAGGCCCCGTCCACATGGTGCCGGATATTTTTAAAAACGAGATTATTTTTATTCGTTTTCAAATAAATCTGCCTTAAATGAGAGTATTACAGACTTATGTTGACAATGAACCTTTGCGCGCGTGCCAAATCGTCAAGGCGACGATCCAAACATTAATCGTTTTAAATCTAAAATGCATTGTTGGATGCCTACCCAGCGCAATAGTTTATTTTAGCAATTGGTCTTTAACGTTTTTCTTATTGAGCGAGGCATGGAAACCTTCATTCATACCCTTGCTCTTTGCCTTCTTAAAAGTAAATAAAATCAATTGATTTAATTTGTTCATTTAATTTATTGAATGCCATATTAATAGGCTAGTTTCTCTTGTTTACAGTGGTTCATGAATTTGTCACGATTTGAGAGTCTTTTCCGAACTTGTTTTTTTCAGTCGATTGAATTCCAAAGTAGAACAAACACCTGACATACACAAGCATATATGTCGTTTGAGTTTTGTGATGATATGTAAAAACCATATTGTAGCAGGTTTCATGAACTTCGGACTGTATCAGTTTCCTTACACTGCTTCGTAAAAAAGTGAAGAGAGAATCTCTATTTAATACGACATAAATGCAGCAAACACATTTTTCTCATTTTTAAACACAACTTTCCTCTTCCATGATTCGTCTCAGAATAAATAAAATTAAATTAAACAACTCCAAAGGTAAAGATGTAGTAACAATATATACGTATTAATGGATAAAGAAAATTAACTAATCATATACAGATTAATCTGTATATTCCTTAAGTGTGCTTTATATGCACCCAACAGTCGTGTTGCTACAAACAATTACATAGTTACTTCAGCAACTGCGCCACACCAATATAAGTCAAGTAACGATTCGCGGAATACTGCGCAATAACGCGGGTTTTCCCGACAGCAGAAATGAATCCATGAAGAAGAGGCCGCAATTATAAATGGACGCGATTTTGTAAAGCAAATATACCGTATTTATTCCATTATAAGCCACCCTCGTTTATAAGGCGCCCTCGTTTATAAGCCGTTCTTGATTATAAACCGCAGAAAAACATGCCAAAATATAATCATAATCCGCGGCTTATATTTGAATAAATACGGTATACCAACTAGTGTTTTGCTCCGGCATATAGGGCTGTGACTTTATTCGTTGACGTTCTCATTGTTATCGTTGATGGTTATCGTTATTTGAGAAAATCTTGTTGCAATTATCGTTATCCCACAGATTCGACCTCAAAGTTTTATCTCTTTTCGAAGGTACTTTGATCAGACTGATCTTGCAGACGAGCCTTGAGCATCTAAATGCCGGAAGAAACCTATAAACAAACATACAAGGTCCAACAATGCACATGGAAGCAACAGCTGGACGATGATTGGTTAGGCTAGAGCCTTCTGGCCTGTTGTTGTTGATAAGGCCGAATGCTGCTGTATATGTACCGACGAAGAGAAGGCATAATTTACTTGATCTGCTGTTAGAGCCAGTTGAAAACAGCACTTTTTGCATTGCAAGCCCTTTTTCAGGTACAAAGTATTCAATAATGAGATAAATTAGCATATGAAAATTGAATAGGATTTCAGCAAAACAAGTTGTCTCGCTTTTGAAACACTGTTGATGCACAGTTAGTAATGACATTGAGTAGGCCTTCAACGATCTGGTCAAAAATACAACCAAATACCTGCAAAATTGTATTTGGTTAAATCTAATGTTTTATTGAGTTGGAGGAATCTGTTTAGGCAATGTTAAGAAGCATTTTTAAACAGAAATAACCTTACCCCTTCTATCCTCCCAAATGAACTTTGAAGCTGTAGCCACAGCAACTACGAGCAATTCAAACTCCTTCAACATTGAAACGGAAGGGGAGTAGGGGTAGGGTATTTTTACCTTTTTCGAAGATCTGGACCTTTTTAATTGAGCATTGGAGCTGGGATATCCTGGGCATGTTATATCACCACATAAAAAATATTTTAATTGACATTCAATGCATGGCATCCCGATGAGATTTTCCCTCCCTTTAGTTTGCATGTAAATTAAAGGTAAATTATTTGTTTAGTTTAGAGAAACAAAATATCAGTTTTCATTAAGGTTCATTATTTGTCATAACCTCCAACTTTTAGTTATCATATCTACACAGCTTGTTCGTTTTAGTCAATGTTAAAATAACACGTTATTTCTGGAACGCAAAATTTTGTTGTTTTATTGTCATCATTTGCGAGTATTTTCTGAACAGTTAAAAAAATAAAGAGTACTGCAAAATATTTTGTTAAAATTAGGTAGGCCCGTTCACGTGGTATGAATGTAGCAAATTCTTATCTTGATGAGAAGTAAACTGTTACCGTTAAAGTATTACAGTAGAAAGGAGATGGCAAAAGGTATATCAGCACGAAGTTCAGCCCCATTGTTTAGACGTTTGTAGGCTCTATGCATACATTCTGCATACTGTCGACAGCAGACCAGCAGTTCACAATGGCAGAAAGTGACAAAGCCCTTTCGTAAAAGTGAATGGTCAACGCTATACTTTGCTTCGCAGATGCATTTCGAAGGTAGATGGTCCAAGTTTATGATTCGGTTGCCTTTCATTAAGATATCTTTTGTTTTGTTGCTTGTAATTTCTTCCATACATTTTTTGTAAGGCTGGATCTCTTTTTCTTTGTCCCATTCTCCTGTGTCTAAAGTTTTCTGAACTTTTTGAAGTACTCTGTCTTTCTTTGTTTCTTTTTGTATCTCTTCTAATGTCATGGACTTCGGTACTGCATGTCCTATTATATAATTGACATACTCTTCTGCTATGCGCTCTGCTGAACTATCTGTGTTTGTAACATCGATCGGATGTCGACTCAAGTAATCAGCTTCATTTGTTCTTCCTCTCTTGAAAATAATATGAAAGTAATATGGCTGTAGTCTATTAATCCATCTCTTTATAGGTGCAGGAGGTTTTGATCTTCGATTATTAAAAATAGTCTCTAGCATATTGGAATGAAAATCTGGAAATTTTCTGAATCGTGAAAAAGAGCTGATCCTTGAATAATAGAACAAAGCTTCGTTGCGCAGAACAAAAAGCTTATAAAATGTGATTCTGCCATTGGGCAGCATTTACTTGAGAACCAAGGTTGTGCCAAAAACTTCAAAATGTTTCGGATTATTGGTAGAGCCCGGTCGCCATTCCATCTATCAGTCTAGCTTTAGAATCTATCTGCATAAAATGTGAAAAAGCGTTATTGTGAAGATAGAAGGTGTTCGTTTCACCCTAGGATTCATTTGCTATTATTTTCAATAGCCAGGCAGCACTGATTGGGCAACCATTACAGTCATGTGCTCGCGTTTCTGATTGGCCTGATCAACAATTGGGTATACATATTTGCCAGCTTAATGAAATTACTGTTTACTGGTGTCTATCATAAAGTAAAGTGCGCGATGACGCATAAGCAGAGCTGTTCGCGCTGTTGGTGTATAGGACAGGACGGTTCTAAGTTGCTACCCCGATTTCAACAATGAATTTGGAAACTGAATGGCGTATATATTATACGCGGATTCAAGGGGGGCAACTAGGGGCAGGTGCCCCTCCCTCAACGAATTGAAGCAAGTCTGGCGCTTCTTATATGGAAGTTATGCGCCCCTTTTGAAGAATGAGAATCAAGTGAGAAAGTTTCTGTTACAGATAAGTTAATTTGCTTCAAGGATTACCTCAAAGTTATGTTGTTTATTCCGAGAATGGATCTGAAATTGTTGTATACTCTCGTCATCAATTTTTGCAAATTTTTTAGCGCCCCCACCACCAACTGCCCTTCCTTCAAATTTGCTCTGGATCCACCCCTGCGTATAATAGAGCATTTCCTAGTATATATCTTTAGTTCTATATTCTGTCGTTTTATACTCTGAGGAGTATCAGGCAAGAAGCTTTAGTATGTTTCAAGTTTTTTGCGTTTTCCAAGGACATAAATAACATATAGAGATAAAGAGGCATTATCAAGAGAAGAGATGATCGAAGGAATAAGGGATTAAAAGAAAATCAAGAAGTTATAATTTTTTCAAACAAGGAACAAACGATGTTCAAGCCGACTCTGTTTAAAAGCTTACAAATTTTTTCTTAGCTCATAATGATTTTCGTAATCTGAAATCGGCAAAACAATTTTGTTTTCCTACAGTAAATGCTAAACTTTTTATATACTTGATGAGGGCTTATCAGCTGCGACGTGAGCTGTTGGTCTCCCTGTACACATCTCGTGCCTTGCAGTCTTCACTAGATCTCGTATCGTCTTGGATGAGGCAAAACAAACCAAACTAAAATGCTGAAGAAAATGAGTTCATTTTGATAGGACATCCAAGACAACTGAAAAGAGTCAAAGATAAACATAATCTCGAACACCTTATGCAGACGAGGAGAAAATTATGCAGAGTTAAAAAAACAAAATATCTAGGTGTCATTATAGACGAAAGTATGAATTGGGAAGAACAACTCAAAATCGTAAAGCGAAAGGTGAAAAACAGGTTAGGGACAATATAAGCTCAAAAGCATTATTTCCCAGAAACAATTAGCAACTGTTAACCGAGCATTAATTGAAACCAATCTTAGATTGCATTAATTACAATGTAATGTAACATGGGTAAGTCAGTCAAGCTCAAAATTTGAATTTAGGTTGCAAGATAGGACACGCAGAGTAATCGAATGCGCAAAGCGCAAAGATGGTTAGGTATTTGATTGGCTCAAAGTAGGCAGTTTAATAAAATATGATAGGCTTGTTACTGTATACAAAGCAAACATTGGACTGTGGCCTCATGTAATATCACTACTAGATATTTCGAAATATATTTCGCAATATTTTAATATTTCGATACATGACACGTCGATATTGTAAACAGTTCTTCAGATAGCAAGTACCTGGAACGAGACCCACCCGAGACCCCAACACAAATAAGAGACTACCTCGCAGATTTCTTTTAAATTATTCATGAGAAAGTTCTTGAAGCAGAGCAATGCAAACACAACCAGAGCAGCTGCTTTTCTTTTAATCAATATTTCAGTTATTTTCTTTGTAAATTGACTGGGTATTGTGTGTGTACCAGAATAATATGAAACTATTGTACTCACAATAGCTTCGCGTTCTTTATTCTTTTACTAGCGCCCAGATTCCCGGCGTTGTTAGGGATTAGGGACCGATAGCGTAAGCATCGATACAGAAGGCCAGAGGAAGTAAATTTGATAACTCATCGTTTTATCTTATCTCGATGGTAAGTTTGAAAATAATGATTTTTTTCTTTAATGTGACATATTGTAGATTAAAGGAGCGGACATAACAAATTCGGATAGGTATGGTATGGCATCTGCATTTGCACACGTGTGTAATCAAAGTTTAATGTGGTGCTCTTCCACATTCGTGTACTGGCATGCTCTGCAGACTGCCTTGTCACTCAAGAGGAAGTATAGCCTTGCCTACAGCAAACACATCTGCGGACAGGCGCCAATTAGACATTTTATTCGAAAATCAAACTTACCGTCACTTGCTGACTACTGTACAATCACGGATAAGAAACTGCATGCAGTGCTCGAAGCAAAAATATAAAGAAACAATCGAATTTTTAAAGAACCCAGAGCTCCGAACTTCCGTGAAATTCCATCAATATAAATAGCTGGTTGGCATAAAACTAAAAACTTGGAGCACAAAATATTCTACCCTCATCTCACTCCAGCATTAGAGACTACAATGCCTGCCAAAAGTACTTGGAACACCCAGCAATTTACGTTGCATTTGTTATCTTTCATTCCTTTCATGAAAAAAAATTGCTACTTCCGCCCCCTTCCCCCTAAAACAATGTTGATGATTTAGAGAAATATCATAAAAGAAGCGCAAAAGAAAGTGCTTCCTACAATCCTAACACATTTGATAGTAAACCAACATTGTTCTGTAGGGGAGAGGGGGATGATTGATTTTGACCTTGGAAATTGATGTCAGTGTTCCAAGACTTTTGGCAGGCATTGTACATTAACTACAAAAAATTTTCTCGTGACAAAATTTCGGACAAATTCAAGTGAGACGAAATTTGGACACGACGAAATTTTTTGCATTTAAGATTTTTGAGAACCCGCTTAAAAAAACTGTTACATGAGGTCAGGAATCAAATTTATATAATCCTTTTAATAATCTTCATTGGCGATTCTTAAACTAGCTTCGTTTTCACAATCATTCGATAAAAACAGTTCTAACTCTCTTTTGTCGCCAATTTCAAGGGATTTCACCTGTTTTCTTATACTCATTACTATTTCTTTTATTCCTTTGAGGTATTTGCCCTATTGGACTCAAATTTTGAACTCTACAGTAAGCAAAATTTCCAGGCCAACTTTGCCCATTGGAGATGGTCTTGTGATTTCCAAATCTTAAATTTATATTTACACTCATTTTAATTTAAATTTATACTTTTAATCATACTCTGTCTATAAACTGTCATACCATCTAGATATAGAATAGAGACTCTTTGAATGCTAAAAGCATCTCTTCTGTCCCCAACTTTGCATAAACTGAGTAAATATGCCACTTTAATTGGGTTTTCCTGATTTTTGCCCCTTAAGATTTTGGTAATATGTTGCTATCTCTGTGTTAAAAATCCACAACAAAATTTTGTCATGACGAAATTCTGAAAAGTTGTTTCGATGAAGTTTATCCACCAAAGATTTATCTGACAAAATTTTTGTTGTTAATTGAAGACACTGCCACATCCCTGACCAAAGCTGCATTCCTCATCACAGGATGCAACCTTGGGCCGTTAGAGCACCAGCACAAGTTGCTCCATCCAACCCAAATAAAACCCTAGACCTTAGAAATAATTTGATTGACTCAAGTTCAGGCAACTTACAGTTTTGGGCAGGAAATTTACAAGGAAAGTTCAATTTTCCCCACCAGCAAGCTGATGCACCAGTCCTATTTTGAATATCTAAGGTAAGAGGGTAAGAGATGGGAAGAGAAAACATGATTGAACTAAGAGCCTAATCTAATCTAAAAAACAACAGGAACTTTTAAAAGCTTCTGTGATGAAGATATTCTAACCACAAAAAGTGCAATTAGAATTAACAAGGATTTGGAAAAAACACCCTTCATACATACAGGGGAGGGAGCATTCAAGACAAAAAACAACAGGGTAAAAAGAGCATACAAAGCAAGCATGAAAAGCCCTACTCAAAGCATTTGAATACACGTATCTGAGCCAAGCGACCAACACTTTCATGCAATAGCCCAAACTACAGAACTATTTCTCTTATTTTCCATATTTCTCTTACTGGCATAGTGAGGTGGAGGCAAGAGGGGGCAGCTTCCCCCCCCCCCCCCATTAGCAAAAAATATCTTTGAAAAGGAGTGTTTTCTAGCATTCAAATAGGTGTGGAGCCCCAATTTTTCCCTGCTAAACTCACCTTTGCCTAATTTTATCACCCTGGCTACATTACTGCCTATTGGATACTTTTCTAATGTATAGTCCAATTGGGAATTTAAATGGCCATCAAAATCTAGTAGTACAGTGCCTTTAAAATTAGAAACATTGAAAGCTAGTCTCGCTTTTCTCAGCTGCAAAAGCCAACCCAAGCAAGTTTCTGTGGGAAAATTTCCTAGCAAATTAAATGTAGGAATCCAAATGTTAAAATGAATGACTTCTTAATCAAGCAGCTCTTAAGAAACATCAAGTATTGAAATTAATCTAATTGTTTGATATGAGGTAAAATGTATGTAGGAAAAGAAATATTCATGAATCATAAATTCAAAAACAAACTGTCACAAAATGTCAAAACCTCAAAATCTATACTCTCAAAGGTCTCCTCCCCCTTATAAATTTTTCAAAAAAATGCATCCTTGACATACATATGCCAGTTTATCATTTTTCAAAATTTTTGTATATTGAGAAACTGCAAGGTGTATATAATGAAGCTTGTTGTAATGTAAGGAAGTGCATTGTGAGCAAAAAGAAAGAGTGAATGCAATATTAAGAACTGAATTATATATTTTTAATAGAGTTTTTCTATAAAGAAAAATCTTGAAGTAGCAATCTTGTTTATATATCTTCTTTGTCCGCTTTTGGTGTATAGAACAGGACTCTTATAAGTTGCTATTCTTATTTTCATGCTTAATGTGATCATTCAGTTGCCTGATGATGGTCTTAAGCATGTAACTCATAGTAGCAACTTAGAACTGTCATTTTCTATACACCAAAAGCATATGTACAACTCTGTCTAAATGGCATCAAGCTCTATGGGAAGAAGTACACTTTGTGAGCAAAAGTAATGCATAGGTTCAACAATTCAATGATGGCGACTGTGTTGTCAACAACAAAGCGATCAAAATTCAAACCACTTTTGTGAAGCCATTAGGCGTCTTTTTGTGATTCAAATCAATCAAATCAAATTTCAAGCCATTGACAACACTTTTAATTTAAAGTTGAAAAAAGTTACTTTTTAAAAAGTAAAAAGTTATAACTTTTTCTTGGACAGTCTACCAGCTTTGAAACCTTTATGAGACTTGCTAAAACTTTCTTCAAAAGTTCAGTAACAGGTTCTGTTAATCACGAAATGATAAGTTCAGAAAAACATTTGCAAGATCACATATAGGGGTTGGAGTACCAAGTTGATCATAAATGGTCTTGTAATTGGTGGAAAGTAGCATATTTTAAGCCATTTTATTATGTCCACTCTTTTTCAACTATTGAGACACTCAAGTGAACCTGTTTATTGTGGGAATTTTGGTGTTTTTATTTAATGAAAGGATGAATGCTGTTTTACGCAATTTTCAGCATTATTTGTTCCCTTTACAAAATTGCAATCGGTTGGAAAAGATGGGCTTTACGATTTGTGACACATTTTATTGACTAAATTTTGCTGCAATATATTATAAAGTGGCCATTACCATTAGGCCCATCGCGGCTCCAAAAATCTCCAACCAAAACATTTGGCGGATTCTCCAACAAAAGTGAGGAAATGAGAAGTTCTAGACACTAAAGCATAAAGTAAGTACCCCCGAGTTCATTGTAATAAGATATCGCAAATTGGTGCAAAGATGAACTTTTTTATTGCAAATGTTTCACAGGTACTTCAATCATCATAGCTCAATTTGTCTTTGTTGCAACATGTCAATATTGCTAAGAAGTTTGCAAAAATCAAGAATATTCTTGCATTTTCTATTTTCAGCATCAAATCTTGGTAAATTTTCCAACATATTCCAGTTAAAAAGGCATCTTACAACTTTTATGAAACTTGCTATGACCACTTGATTTTTGGTTCGCCAAAATATTTTGCTACAGTGCCGCCATTTCTGTTTCAGCTTGTGCAGTACTTTTGGCCACTAAGTGAAGAAAAAAATTGTCATTAAAGGAATAATATAATTTGCTTTTACACGTTTCCAACAACATCTAGAAATCCACCAGTTCTTGATTTTACCATTATTGGTTTCCAGGACAACTGTGATGATGTAACATGTCTGAGGCAATGTAATATGCCAAGGGGACTCATTGAAAAATTAACAAAAGATGAATTCTTTTTATTAACAGGGGCTTTTTCTTTGAGACTATCAAATGTATTTGACAATTTTTTTTATTCTCTTTGAACGGATGAGAATTTGGTGAAGGAGTAGGGGGTTTCAAGTTATGTAATCTTCATTTTTCTCCTGATTACACTTATGAATTCAATTCTGTTATTCGAGTTGAAGTTATTACATTCTTCATACACAACAAACTTCATAGGTAGGGAGAAAAAAGCTTTAAGAAGTCACTGTTTTTTTTAAATTCCTTCTGTTTACAATATAGATGAGTTGCTAACCATCTGCCAAATTTGTTATGATTTGAGAAATTTCCACACACCCTGCTTTAGCTGAACCAACTTCTATGGAAATTAAGAAATTTTCCAAAGGAAATGCTACATGCCAGAGGCAAAATATTAGCTCAAAAATAGATGTTAACTTGTTTTGTCATCTATCTGTTTTCTTTTTCCACATCATGGCATTTTATATTTCTTTCCCATAAATTTAGTCTTATCATAGTCTATTAACCAGTAGCTTTTCAAGAAAACCAGTCAAGCTAATTTATTGCCACAAGGCTGCATTGTTGTTTTTTGTGTTTAGATTTTCTTCATAACAATTCAAAGAAAGCATTACAGCATCAAAACATCAACCTTTATTTTAAATGTACAATAAATATGATATTACAGACAGTAATAAAATTCATCAGAAATGTTTGAGACTTGCAATATTCAGTCATAGATTGCTTCAAGAGTTTTCCAGAGTAACAGATACTTTTTCAAAATTTTAGATAATTTTGCTTTGCCAACAATAAATTATTTTTAAATTAGAATAATTAGAATATAGTTAAGATCAGAAAAGTTAGATGTTTATGTTATCTTGCAGCTTATCTGAGATGATTCGGCCTTACCAGGTAAGACGTTACTTGGCTGGTCTGATTGCCCTTGTGGTAATTTCAACTCTTATTGTTTGGAACAGTAAAAGTAAAATTAAAGATCCCTATGGAGATTACAGTGAAAAGAAAGAAACATGGCACAATGAATGGCAGGCTCATCTGAAAAAGGACACAAAAGTGATTCTTCTCTATACAACTTGGTTTGACCATCAATTTTGGAATGGTATGGAAGGATCTAAGCTTTATAAATTTTTTGAAAAATGCCCAAAACCCAAAAACTGCCTCCTCACATATGACAGGTCATGGCTTAGTAAAGCAGATATCACTATTTTCCATGGCAGGGATGTTGAAATGGCAAAAAATAGCTACTATAGTCCTAGGACATTAAAGGAAGTGCGAAAAGCAGTGCCAAAGGATAAGCCTTGGGTTTATCTAAGCCATGAAAACCCTCAAAAAGACCTTAGTTATTATCAGCCATATGATGGTCTATTCAATATGACAGCCACTTTTGATAGGAGATCAGATATTTTTGTTGCATATGGTACCTACCTCAAGCATTATGAAGTAAAAGGAAACGCTAGAAACTATGCAAAAGAAAAAACTAGCCTTGTTGCATGGGCAGTGAGCAACTGTGGGTTATTGAGGGAAGATTATGCTTTAGAGTTAGAGAAATACGTAAGTCTGACAGTGTACGGGCGGTGCAGGAAACATTTCAAAAAGCAAAGGAACTGTGCACACAATAGCTATACTTGTAGAAAGGAACTGTCAAAATACAAATTCTACCTAGCATTTGAAAATAATTTTTGCCATGATTATGTCACTGAAAAATATTGGGAAAGACTAGAGCAAGATGTTGTCCCAGTGGTAATGGGTGCAAATTATGACAATGGATTGGTTATTCCAGAGTCGTACATAGATGCCAGTAAATTTGACTCAATCCAGAAACTAGCAGAGTATCTTCTATACCTTGACAAAAACGATGATGAATATAACAAGTACTTTTCTTACAAGGCAAATTACAAAATGGGGGATATGACAATTTACTGTCAAATTTGTGATAGCTTGCATGAAAACTCCTTAGTTGCAACCAGACAAGTTGAACTTTCTGCAGAATACAATTATGAAAGAAATTGTGGTGCTTATAAACCCAAGATGAAACTAATTCGTAAACAGATTGAAAATTCGCAGAAAAGTAGTAGTCAGTTGACCCTTCTTTGGCGCAGGCTTCGCCGTTTCCTTCGTTTATGGTGAAGAAGTTGGACTTAGTGTAAAGTCAGAACTATCAAAGTTGGTTTTTATATAAATTTTCTGCATCTTTTAATCTTGCTATTTTATGTTGGCATTGGTAGAATCAAAACTCAGGCCCCACTACCGGTACCCCACCCAACCCCAAAAATTGGGCTTTCAGCGCTGTTTATCATCAGGTGTTCTTCCTTGCTCCATTGATGGTGCTAAAAAATCATTTAATGTGGTAACATTTATAATCTATAGAAGTTCCAACATATGGTATAGTGCACTGCCAGCAGGGGGGGGGGCTTATTCAAGAGAGGGGCTTATTTAAAACTTAACGTTTGAAAAGGGGTTTATGCAAGGAGGGGCTTATTCAAGAGAGGAGCCTTATTAAATTTTTACGGTAAGTCAGACTATTTTGTCTGGTTCCATAATATCTGAATGATCTACCTAAAAGTTACCAAATGCCTTTGAAAGGTCTCCCAACCCAAAGCCAGCAACCGTTTTTTTAAAAGTCTATTTTAGCTGTTGTTCGTGTAGATATTCCTTCCTTGTCGTTATTTAGACAGATGATTCAAGATGTAGAAACTTTTTTGCTACTGATTCTTATAAGATGTTACATAGTTTAATGAGAACACTGTAGTTTCTTTTGTCTATCCTGCTACACATTGTTTAAATGGAACTCTTATCAAGAAAGTCGCATCAAGAAAATCTATCATCCCTTTTTTTGGGCGAAAAGTTTTTGAACTTAACCTTTAGAACGTCTTTGGCGAGCAGATTAACGTCACTCGTTTTACCTTCTGGATGAAGCTTGATATTAAATTTAAAAAATACTGAATAGTTTGATAATATTTTTAAAACACCAAAACCGTCATAATTTCCGTTTCAATATCAGCTATAATATAATCGAAAATTCAGAAGTTTGAGCGAACCGCGGTATATAAGAAATATACCTACATACACATTTCTTATAACAAGGGCAAAACAAACGAGGGATTAAAACTAAATACGATGATTGTAAGTTTAGGCTACATGAGAGAGATGATCCCAAATCAACGAAGAAATATTTAATCAATAACAAAACAAAAGATGACTAAACCAGGAAAGTCTTACTTAACAATTGTTTGATAGCTCGATATTATTACAGTACTATAAGTTAAATACTACATAGATCTGTGCTTCCTGGAAACTGGAAAAGTTCGAATTCACACAACACGTTGAAAAATAATCCCAAGAAGTTGTTTCGACCGCGTCCGTTTACAGTGTGGTTTCATATTCCAGACAATAAATGTTCCATTCCGGACGTTTCTCAAATATCAAGAAATCAAGGGGGTATTACAAATATCCTTTATCCAGTCATTCAGATTCAATGCTACCTATAATTAAGAAAAATAATACCAAATCTTTGTCTAGACATTAAAAATTTAATATACTGTTTTCAGATTGAATATTTGCCAGGGTCTCCGACGAAGGCGGGGGGGTGTGGCCCCCACTTTTTTTAAAATATTTTGCAATGATCGCTAAATATTCCCTTGCCCCGCCCCCAACTTTCCAACCTGCGTCGGAGCCCATGTAAGCTATAATTAAAACAAATAATCACAAATATTTTTCTAAATAAAAGCAGTTCTCTTCATTTTTAGGTACATTAATTCTAATAGATAGGAAAGGTGAAGATTGTATCTTTAGACAGTGTAAACATTATGCCACAAAAGTTGGTTTCGTTTTTTTTGAAAAAAAATGAGAAAGGCTGTAAAGAGCGATAACAAGTGTAAATATATATTATTTCTGCTTATGTAATCATTTTTAGGTATTGCATTGTCAACTTTAGGCCTTAATTAGCAGTAAATTAGCTACTTTTCTAGCAGCCTACTGTAAACAAATTGATAATAATGATAACAGGAGATAACAGAGTTGGTGCAAAGAAAAAGGAAAAGATAGAGACATATAATAGAGGCAGTAGCATAGCTATTGTGGCAGCTTCTCAATCCATACGTACTGTGTTTTTCAATAAAGATATCCATTGTGCCAAAATCTGATTTCATATCTTTGTAAGTAAATCTGATTTCGATATGGCATTGACATATGATGTTGATGTGCTCTAGCCAGGGGCGGATGCAGAAAAAAATCTGACATTCGCAAAGTTTCGACCACGCCTATATGACCACGCCCAAAAAAAATCAGTCAAATTTTACTATAGTCTCAGAATCGAAGTTTTCCACTTAAAGATGTATTTTTCCTTATATTAAGTTTTAGGATTAGGAAACAGAAAATGTTGAGGCTCAAAGGTTGAGAAATTAAAGGATAAATATTAAGAATAACAGCCAGGTCTGGATTTCATTGACAATTTGGTATTTTACTTATTGAGTGAACAAGAAAAGAGATCTCTGGAAAAATTTTGAGAAACACTCATCAAGTTTTTGTTGTGTTGGCATGTTTTGTTTCCTACATGGCTTTTGTGATGGAAAAACAGCAGCAAAGATTTGAAATGTCCTCTTAATAATGATTTAATGGCAAGTCTAGGCACAGAACCACAAATTGTCAAGAACAAAGAGGATGAGCTAGAATAAGGGTATATTAGATGTGTGTATCACCCCTTCTCAGGGAGAAAAACTCATGAAAAACATTTTATGTCACTCACTTAAAAAACAGCCATTTACAGAAAGGAATCTTAGTTCTATTTATACAATGATATTATTTAACAATCAAATACTGTGTTTAGTGTAGAAATTTTCAATGCAATATCCACCCAAATGTTTGACTTCAACACCAAATACCTTAGGGGCTCAGAGCTTTTCTGTTATTTATTTTGTGCATTCACCTTTCTATCTAAACTGCTGTGTGATGTGCCTTAAACATGGCCAAAAATACCAGTTAGGTCAATACACATCATACAATTTTAGTATTTTCAGGTGTTGGTAAAACAGCAAATGTAACAGAATTTAAAACAATTCATTGTCTTTCCATAACAAGAACATCATAAATATATATTATATACAAATTTTAAATGTACATCAAACAAAGTCAGTAATGGCATAAGAAATAAGGCAAACATGGTAACTTTTACTATATGGATTTATATAAAGATATTTACTTGGCAGAACCAACTTGCTGTGAATTTCTTATTAATAATGTAGTAATTCCCCCATTAGGATCATTCCATTGATTGCACTTATTTACTACCCATATTTACATTTATTTACACACACAATAACATAGAAAAGAAAACTGTCAGTCACTTGCAAATTCATAAACAAAAATTAATGAATCTTAAGGGTATTTCAGAACCAAAAGTTTCAAATGGTATACTCTTATAGTGTGGAAACCACAAATAATTTTACTAGTTTTAGAGGTTAAACTCATGAAAAGGGTTACCATATTTATGGCATGACCAGAAAAATAAAATCAAAATACTATTACAATTTCTCATTTACAAATATGGCAGTCTAGATTTTTCCAAAACTGACAGCATAAAATTAACAAGAAAAGAATACGCCGTAGAAAATGCAATATCTTATTCAAAAACAAATCCCCAGCACAGTCAAACTATTTACAGGTTTGTGATAATAACAACATCTATCAAAAAAAATATCTAGAACTCTAAAATTCAGCATATTCAAATTCATCAAGATATTTATAGAACAGCATCATTCGTCAGAATGCTACATCATCATTATCAAGATATACCTGACTTGAACCCTAAAAGTTCTGATTGACAGCCTGTATAAAAATGGCTATTTACCTTAAAAAGCATCACGTATTCTTCAAAATATTATTTGAGTCTGAATCTCTGTCTAAATAACGTCCTCCATCATGAAAATGAAAACATAGGCAAAATTTTGGTTCAACAATTTTAGGTCCAACTGAACTGTCCTCGCATATTGCCATCTATCAAATTCCATCCATCAACCAAAATCTTCGACAAACTTTGAACATGTTCATAAGAAATCCGCTGATTCAAATTAAAAATCATCTTATATTTGACTCCTTTCACTCACTCTGAAGTACAATTGCTGCTCTTCTGCAAGCAAATATCTTCACAGCTTTCCAACAACACTCATGGCCGTTGATGTGGAAACGAGGTTTCAATCTGCTCACTTTCCAAGGTTCTCTCCCTCGACTGGCTACCGAACATAGTTCGCATCTACCTTCGCCACATTCGCAAAAAAATTTCCCATATACATTTCCTATTGGTTTTCAGATGGCTAAATAACATAGCTTGACTGACATTCGCACAAATTTTTGGCATACATTTTTCAGTACTACTTCATTTGCGCACGCATGCCTAATATATTATAATTCCATTCGACATTCGCATCAAACCTTATTGGTGCTCTGTGAATTTATGCGTAAAAGGGGGAGCCCTCTTTCGAATATATCATCTCTAAATCACGAAAACGAGGGAATAAAACCTAAAAAGTAAACAACAAGGTGACATCATAGCAACTAGGGCAGGAAACAAAACTTTTATTTCTTGTATTCTGTGGACCTTTTTTTTTATTATCTGGCCATTTCTAGTACAATATTCACAATGCTAAAATGTATTAACAGACAATTACAAAAAGACATGTGGAAATCTGACATTCGCCAGTGCGAATGTTGCGAATGTCTGGATCCGCCCCTG